AAAAAAACCCTTGCGGTTTTTCCCTCTCATGTGAGGGTTTTTTCCCCTCCTTGAGCTACCACCTTACCGTGGTGGAGGGGTTTGTGTGTCCCAATGATCCCAAGAGCTATGTTGTCAGGGCTGTATGCCTCTGAAAGGTTACCCAAGGCAAACAGGTCCAGGGGGAGGGACCAGACTAAGAGTAGCACATCCAGACAGAGGTGCCAGGCAAAAAAAAAAGGAAAAAAAAAAACTGAAGAAAAAAAAAACTAAAGAAAACATCATGTCATGGCATTGCTCGGGAGGTATGGAGTGACAACAGCGGACATTCAGTGCAGACCTCTTCCGACAGTTTGCCTCAGAGTGGAGTTTTGTTCACACTACCTCCAGCCCCAGATATCCGCAATACAATGGGGAGGCTGAAAAAGCAGTAAGAACTGTGAACTCTGAAAAAATGCGCTGACCCATACATGGCCCTCATGACATATCGGGCCACTCCGCTTGCCGCTTGCTGATGGGGAGAAAGCTACGTACCACAGTTCCAGTTCTCCCATCTTGTCTGAACCCAAAATGGTCAAATGTCAAAGCCCTGAGAAAGAAAGAACAGAGGGAGAGAGAGAAACAGCAGAAATGGTTCAATGACAGACACAGGGCCCGCAACATGGCCAGCCTGAACCCTGGTGACCGCGTCTGGGTCACCGATATGAAGGAGAAGGGGACAGTGACAGCTGGAGCTGACACAACACGCTCCTACATCATTGACACGCTCCAGAGGGAATCTGCGGCGCAACTGAAGTCATTTCGTCACCTTGCCTGGGGCCGGCGCTGGACCTAAAGCCCCACAGACCCCTGCTTCACCAGCGGACATCGCACCGGTCCACGATCCAAGAGACCAGGTAACGGTGAGGCCCAACACTACACCGCCGATGGTCCAAGCGATGGAGAGGCGTTACCCTACCAGAGAGAGAAACCCTCCAAGGTACCTTATGGACTTTGAATCAGATAGAAGGTACTCTCGTAACTCTGAGTGACCAGCCCGGTGCAGAATAATCCCCTCACTCAGATGAAGGAATGGGTAGTCCACCCCACCTTCATAGTTAGGGAAAGAAAGGAAAGATAAGTGAGTGTGATACAACGGTGTTGTTAAACAGTTTGGAATATTTTGATTTATTTTGAAGTTACTTGGAGTGACTAACAAAAGAATGGGCTAAGGATAATCTGCAACACAACTGGTGAACTTCTGAGGTGTTCTATTATGTTATGGCCTACTCAGAAGGGAGGATGTGTTGTGAGAGCTGTTGTGATGTTGCCCTGTGTTTCCCTAAGCTACCATTAGGTGGGGAACTGTTATTACAAGTGACGGGATGTCCTCTGTTGTTGTTGTTGAATAAACATGCGAGCAAGCTGCAGAGTTTATCGGCTCCGTCTGACTACACGTTATATAGCATACGAGTTATTGCTACCGTGACAGACATTGCAGGTGTCGGTTGAATACAGGTGGGGGCAGGGCCGGATTATGGGGGTCTGAGGGGTCCGAGAGGGGTCCAAACCCCCCCCCAACACTCCGAACCCCACCCCCACCCCCCACCCCCGCACCAACCTACCGTACCGAAGGATTCTATAAAAGTTTCTTTCTGCTCTTCCTTCTTGCAAAGTCGTCCACTAACTAATCAAAGTTGAGCTGTCAAACAAACTCTGATTCTATTGCAAGAAGGGATAGTGAATTCAACCCATTTTGGCACATTTTCATCCTGAGCTCATTTTCTATTCGAGCCAGTCTAGAGAATGACGGTTCCCCTTCACAGTTTGTTATTGGCAGGGTCAAAAACAGTCTGAGTGCTATGTAAACATTTTGGAAAGCATTTTTGTTCTTCTGAAGTGAATGATTTGTACTGAACAAGTTCATCTGTCAAGCTGATCAGTGGGTCAGGTCAGATCAGTGGGATATGCTGCACCAAGAGATTCTGCCCTTAAAGTGAGCACACTGTTGGACAGATTATCAGACATGAAAAGAACATGAAAAAGATTGGTCAAGTGTGTATAAGACAGGACACAAGTTTTTCAAATAGAACATTGAACGTTTCAATCAGAAACTTTAGGGGGCCTGTAGGGGGAGCAGCAGCTTAAACCAAATCAAAAAAGAGTCACTAAAATGAGCAGAAGAAGAGATCACACTGGTTGGTTATTAGTGTTATTGTTTTTTCCTCAATGAAGCAGTTGATAGGTGAAATTTATCAGACGAAAGGGCTTTCTTTTTCTTTTTTTCTTTTTTATGATGGGCTGAAGTCTGAGCAGCTGCAGGGCTTTAAACAGGGAGGAGAAGCAGGACTCAGTCTGACCCCTTCCTCCAGGTTTCTCCAGGTTTCTGCAGGCTGAACTGGAGCTGAATGTCCTTCTTAAGGGGCGTTCAGACCAAATACGACGCGACTTGGTCGCGTCGCTTTGGTCGCGTCGCTTTGGTCGGTCACGTCGCGTCGCGGGGTGCTCTGGTGTGTTCACAACGGGTCCAAAGCTGCAGTCGCAGGTCGCGGCTTGTCGCCGGTGACGTCATCCATGATAGGCCACTAGCTCAGTTTTCAGTTCATCTGTGCTGCCGCATATCTGTACATCCGCAGTAGACGCCGCCGGCGTTTATGGGTGCATGAAACCATCCGGAGGAGGACGGAGCTGGGTGAATTTCACCGCTTGCTCCATGATTTCCGCCTGGACGACGGCCGCTTCCAGCGGTATTTCCATGTGTCGACGGCGCAGTTCGAGGACCTCCTCGCCCGGCTGGGAAGCAGCATCTCCCGCCTGGACACGAAATACAGGCGCTCCATCTCAGCTTCGGAACCCCTGTCTATCTGTCTGTCACTCATATAAACGTCCCTAAGCCCCTTCCACCGCTTGCGGCACACATCCACTGCAAAGACACACACACATATGTTGAAACATGTAGCCTAGCGAGCAGGGGCAATTAGCTATGTTTTCTTTAAAACAGTCCGCTCACTGAAATAAATACACAAACAAACTTACCAGATAGCCCGAAATCATGGGCCACCTTCACCCATGCCTCCTCCTTGGAGGTGCGGTCCCGGTAAAACGCGCACCCCACGTCGTACAGGACCGGGTGATAACTCACGGCAGTGATAAACTGCTCCTCTATTGTGATTCTTCTTCTCCTCTTCCTTGTTTCGCCGGTTTGTTGACGTCTGCAGAGCCCTGATTGGCTGTCGCGGCACGGGGTCGCGGATAGTCGCTCCCAAAGTTCAAATATTTGAACTTTGGGAGCGACGCGACTTGGCGTCCTGCGACCTCGGCGACGCGACTTGGCGACGTGGTTGCCAAGTCGCTTCAGGTCGCGTCGCAGGCAGCCGGCGGTCGCCAAGTCGCGTCAGGTCGCGGCTGTCCATAGACTTTGCATTGGGAGCCGCCGCCAACGTCGCCGAAGTCGCATTTGGTCTGAACACCCCTTTAGCAGGCTGTCCTTCACAGAACCCGTCCGCTATATCTACAACCCTCTGGAGTACGCTTGGGAAACTCACTGCTGCTATGTGGAGAGGTACTGTCAGAGCGGACAATCGATCCTGTTCCTGGGCATGAATCCAGGTCCTTTTGGGATGGCACAGACAGGGGTGAGCACAGCATTCTAGCACATAAGGATATTTTTTTACTTAGAAGTAGAAGTAAAGTAAATGCAGACTAATAGCATTAGAATAACACAACTTTAATATGACACTGACATATTTTAAATGCAGGCACTCAATATACAATCACCCTGGCTGGTGCAGGGCAAGAAGACATTAGCAACAAAATAAGATCTACATATGTATACACTCTATATTATTACTCAATATTATTTTCATTCTGGGATTTAAGGAAATCACGCTATTCAGAGGCCCTAAATTCGATGAAGTTAGGCAGCTTCTCATTCAAACAGTACGTCAATTAATGCCTTTGATGTCTGACACCTGTTAAGATGCATTAATTAAAACACACAAACACACACACCTTCTTGTACTTGCTGCTTTTGTAAAAACCTGGTTAAAACCTATGACAATACCTGGTAATAACCTGGTTATAACCTGGTTATAACCTGAGACATTACCTGGTAATAACCTGGTTATAACCTGAGACATTACCTGATAATAACCTGGTTATAACCTGAGACATTACTTGGTAATAACCTGGTAATAACCTGGTAATTACCTGGTAATAACCTGAGACATTACCTGGTAATAACCTGGTAATAACCTGGTTATAACCTGAGACATTATCTGGTAGTAACCTGGTTATAACCTGGTTATTACCTGGTTATAACCTGACACATTACCCTGTTATAACCTGGTAATAACCTGGGACATTACCTGGTTATAACCTGGTTATAACCTGAGACATTACTAGCATATAACCTGGTAATAATCTGAGACATTACCTGGTTATAACCTGGTTATAACCTGGTTAGTACCTGGTAATAACCTGAGACATTACCCTTTTATAACCTGGTTATAACCTGAGACATTACCTGGTTATAACCTGGTTATATTCTGAGACATTACCTGGTTATAACCTGAGACCTTACCTGGTTATAACTAGGTTATAACCTAGTTATAACCTGAGACATTACCTGGTTATAACCTGGTTATATCCTGAGACATTACCTGGTTATAACCTGGTTAAAACCTGAGACATTACCTGGTTATAACCTGGTTATGACCTGGTTATATCCTGAGACATTACGTGGTTATAACCTGGTTATATCCTGAGACATTACTTGCTCATAACCTGGTAATAACCTGAGACATTACCTGGTTATAACCTGGTTATAACCTGGTTAGTACCTAGTAATAACCTGGTTAGTACCTAGTAATAACCTGAGACATTACCCTGTTATAACCTGGTTATAACCTGAGACATTACCTGGTTATAACCTGGTTATATCCTGAGGCATTACCTGGTTATAACCTGAGACCTTACCTGGTTATAACTAGGTTATAACCTGGTTATAACCTGGTTATAACCTGAGACATTACCTGGTTATAACCTGGTTATATCCTGAGACATTACCTGGTTATAACCTGGTTATAACCTGAGACATTACCTGGTTATAACCTGGTTATAACCTGGTTATATCCTGAGACATTACCTGGTTATAACCTGGTTATATCCTGAGACATTACCTGGTTATAACCTGGTTATTACCTACGACATTACTTGGATATAACCAGGTTATAACCTGAGACATTACGTGGTTATAACCTGGTTATAACCTGAGACATTACCTGGTTAAAACCAGGTTATAACCTGGTTATATCCTGAGAAATTACCTGGTTATAACCTGGTAATAACTAGGTTATAACCTGGTTATATCCTGAGACATTACCTGGTTATAACCTGGTAATAACCAGGTTATAACCTGGATATTACCTGGTTTTAACTTGAGACTTTACCTGGTTATCACCTGGTTATATCCTGAGACATTACCTGGTTATAAACTGGTTATAACCTGAGACATAACCTGGTTATAACCAGGTTATAACCTGGTTATAACCTGAGACATTACCTGGTTAAAACATGGTTATATCCTGAGACATTACCTGGTTATAACCTGGTTATAACCTGGTTATATCCTGAGACATTACCTGGTTATAACCTGGTTATATCCTGAGACATTACCTGGTTATAACCTGGTTATAACCTAAGACAATACCTGGATATAACCAGGTTATGACCTGAGACATTATGTGGTTATAACCTGGTTATGACTTGAGACATTTCCTGGTTAAAACCAGGTTATATCCTGGTTATATCCTGAGACATTACCTTGTTATCACCTGGTTATATCCTGAGACATTACCTGGTTATAACCTGAGACATTACCTGGTTATAACCAGGTTATAACCTGGCATTAGCAACAAAATAAGATCTACTGATGTATACACTCTATATTATTACTCAATATTATTTTCATTCTGGGATTTAAGGAAATCACGCTATTCAGAGGCCCTAAATTCGATGAAGTTAGGCAGCTTCTCATTCAAACAGTACGTCAATTAATGCCTTTGATGTCTGAAACCTGTTAAGATGCATTAATTAAAACACACAAACACACACACCTTCTTGTACTTGCTGCTTTTGTAAAAACCTGGTTAAAACCTATGACAATACCTGGTTATAACCTGGTTATAACCTGGTTATAACCTGAGACATTACCTGGTAATAACCTGGTTATAACCTGAGACATTACCTGATAATAACCTGGTTATAACCTGAGACATTACTTGGTAATAACCTGGTAATAACCTGGTAATTACCTGGTAATAACCTGAGACATTACCTGGTAATAACCTGGTAATAACCTGGTTATAACCTGAGACATTATCTGGTAGTAACCTGGTTATAACCTGGTTATTACCTGGTTATAACCTGACACATTACCCTGTTATAACCTGGTAATAACCTGGGACATTACCTGGTTATAACCTGGTTATAACCTGAGACATTACTTGCTTATAACCTGGTAATAACCTGAGACATTACCTGGTTATAACCTGGTTATAACCTGGTTAGTACCTGGTAATAACCTGAGACATTACCCTTTTATAACCTGGTTATAACCTGAGACATTACCTGGTTATAACCTGGTTATATTCTGAGACATTACCTGGTTATAACCTGAGACCTTACCTGGTTATAACTAGGTTGTAACTTGGTTATAACCTGAGACATTACCTGGTTTTAACCTGGTTATATCCTGAGACATTACCTGGTTATAACCTGGTTAAAACATGAGACATTACCTGGTTATAACCTGGTTATATCCTGAGACATTACGTGGTTATAACCTGGTTATATCCTGAGACATTACTTGCTTATTACCTGGTAATAACCTGAGACATTACCTGGTTATAACCTGGTTATAACCTGGTTAGTACCTGGTAATAACCTGAGACATTACCCTGTTATAACCTGGTCATAACCTGAGACCTTACCTGGTTATAACCTGGTTATATCCTGAGACATTACCTGGTTATAACCTGAGACCTTACCTGGTTATAACTAGGTTATAACCTGGTTATAACCTGAGACATTACCTGGTTATAACCTGGTTATATCCTGAGACATTACCTGGTTATAACCTGGTTATAACCTGAGACATTACCTGGTTATAACCTGGTTATGACCTGGTTATATCCTGAGACATTACCTGGTTATAACCTGGTTATAACCTGGTTATATCCTGAGACATTACCTGGTTATAACCTGGTTATATCCTGAGACATTACCTGGTTATAACCTGGTTATTACCTACGACATTACTTGGATATAACCAGGTTATAACCTGAGACATTACGTGGTTATAACCTGGTTAAACCTGAGACATTACCTGGTTAAAACCAGGTTATAACCTGGTTATATCCTGAGACATTACCTGGTTGTAACCTGGTAATAACTAGGTTATAACCTGGTTATATCCTGAGACATTACCTGGTTATAACCTGGTTATTACCAGGTTATAACTAGGATATTACCTGGTTTTAACCTGAGACATTACCTGGTTATCACCTGGTTATATCCTGAGACATTACCTGGTTATAACCTGGTTATAACCTGAGACATAACCTGGTTATAACCAGGTTATAACCTGGTTATAACCTGAGACATTACCTGGTTATAACATGGTTATATCCTGAGACATTACCTGGTTATAACCTGGTTATAACCTTGTTATAACCTGGTTATATCCTGAGACATTACCTGGTTATAACCTGGTTATATCCTGAGACATTACCTGGTTATAACCTGGTTATAACCTAAGACAATACCTGGATATAACCAGGTTATAACCTGAGACATTACGTGGTTATAACCTGGTTATAACCTGAGACATTACCTGGTTAAAACCAGGTTATATCCTGGTTATATCCTGAGACATTACCTGGTTATAACCTGGTAATAACTAGGTTATAACCTGGTTATATCCTGTAACATTACCTGGTTATAACATGGTTATATCCTGAGACATTACCTGGTTATAACCTGGTCATAACCTGAGACATTACCTGGTTATAACCTGGTTATATCCTGAGACATTACCTGGTTATAACCTGGTTATATCCTGAGACATTACCTGGATATAACCTAGTTTTATCCTGAGACATTACCTGGTTATAACCTGGTTATAACCTGGTTATATCCTGAGACATTACCTGTTTATTACCTGGTTATATCCTGAGACATTACCTGGTAAAAACCTGGTTATAACCTAAGACATTACCAGGATATAACCAGGTTATAACCTGAGACATTACGTGGTAATAACCTGGTTATATCCTGAGACAATACCTGGTTATAACCTGTGACAGTACCTGGTAATAACTGGGTAATATCCAGGTTAAATCCTGAGACATTACCTGGTTATAACCTGGTTATAACCTGAGACATTACCTGGTTATAACCAGGTTATAACCTGGTTATATCCTGAGACATTACCTGGTTATAACCTGGTAATAACCAGGTTATAACCTGGATATTACCCGGTTTTAACCTGAGACATTACCTGGTTAAAATCTGGTTATAACCTGGTTATATTCTGAGACATTACCTGGTTATAACCTGGTTATAACCTGGTAATAACCAGGTTATAACCTGGATATTACCCGGTTTTAACCTGAGACATTACCTGGTTAAAATCTGGTTATAACCTGGTTATATTCTGAGACATTACCTGGTAATAACCTGGTTATAACCTGAGTCATTACCTGGTTATAACCTGGTTATAACCTGAGACATTACCTTGTTATAACCTGAGACATTACCTGGTTATAACCAGGTTATAACCTGGTTATATCCTGAGACATCACCTGGTTATAACCTGGTAATAACCAGGTTATAACCTGGATATTACCCGGTTTCAACCTGAGACATTACCTTGTTATAACCTGGTTATATTCTGAGACATTACCTGGTTATAACCTGGTTATAACCTGAGACATTACCTGGCTATAACCTGGTTATAACCTGAGAAATTACCTTGTTATAACCTGAGACATTACCTGGTTATATCCTGAGACATTACCTGGTTATAACCTGGTTATAACCTGAGACATTACGTGGTAATAACCTGGTTATATCCTGAGACAATACCTGGTTATAACCTGTGACAGTACCTGGTAATAACTGGGTAATATCCAGGTTAAATCCTGAGACATTACCTGGTTATAACCTGGTTATAACCTGAGACATTACCTGGTTATAACCAGGTTATAACCTGGTTATATCCTGAGACATTACCTGGTTATAACCTGGTAATAACCAGGTTATAACCTGGATATTACCCGGTTTTAACCTGAGACATTACCTGGTTAAAATCTGGTTATAACCTGGTTATATTCTGAGACATTACCTGGTTATAACCTGGTTATAACCTGGTTAGTACCTGGTAATAACCAGGTAATAACCTGGTTATAACCTGAGTCATTACCTGGTTATAACCTGGTTATAACCTGAGACATTACCTTGTTATAACCTGAGACATTACCTGGTTATAACCAGGTTATAACCTGGTTATATCCTGAGACATCACCTTGTTATAACCTGGTAATAACCAGGTTATAACCTGGATATTACCCGGTTTTAACCTGAGACATTACCTTGTTATAACCTGGTTATATTCTGAGACATTACCTGGTTATAACCTGGTTATAACCTGAGACATTACCTGGCTATAACCTGGTTATAACCTGAGAAATTACCTTGTTATAACCTGAGACATTACCTGGTTATATCCTGAGACATTACCTGGTTATAACCTGGTTATAACCTAAGACATTATCTGGTTATAACCAGGTTATAACCTGGTTATATCCTGAGACATTACCTGGTTATAACCTGGTTATAACCTGAGACATTACTTGGTTCTAACCTGGTTCTAACCTGGTTATATCCTGAGACATTACCTGGTTATAACCTGGTTATATCCTAAGGCATTACCTGGTTATAACCTGGTTATAACCTAAGACATTACCTGGATATAACCAGGTTATACCCTGAGACAATACCTGGTTATAACCTGGTTATATCCTGGTTATATCCTGAGACATTACCTGGTTATAACCTGGTTATAACCTGAGACATTACCTGGTTATAACCAGGTTATAACCTGGTTATATCCTGAGACATTACCTGGTTATAACCTAGTTATACCCCGAGACATTACCTGGTAATAACCAGGTTATAACCTGGATATTACCCGGTTTTAACCTGAGACATTACCTGGTTATAACCTGGTTATATTCTGAGACATGACCTGGTTAAAAACCTAGTTATACCCTGAGACATTACCTGGTAATAACCAGGTTATAACCTGGATATTTCCCGGTTTTAACCTGAGACATTACCTGGTTATAACCTGGTTATATTCTGAGACATGACCTGGTTAAAACCTGGTTATAACCTGAGACATTACCTGGTTATAACCAGGTTATAACCTGGTTATAACCTGAGACATTACCTGGTTATAACCAGGTTATAACCTTGTTATAACCTGAGACATTACCTGGTTATAACCTGGTTATATCCTGAGGCATTACCTGGTTATAACCTGGTTATAACCTAAGACATTACCTGGATATAACCAGGTTATACCCTGAGACATTACCTTGTTATAACCTGAGACATTACCTGGTTATAACCAGGTTATAACCTGGTTATATCTTGAGACATAAATTGGTTATAACCTGGTTATATCCTGAGACATTACCTGGTTATAACCTGGTTATAACCTAAGACATTATCTGGTTATAACCAGGTTATAACCTGGTTATATCCTGAGACATTACCTGGATATAACCTAGTTATACCCTGAGACATTACCTGGTTCTAACCTGGTTCTAACCTGGTTATATCCTGAGACATTACCTGTATATAACCAGGTTATTCTCTGAGACAATACCTGGTTATAACCTGGTTATATCCTGGTTATATCCTGAGACATTACGTGGTTATAACCAGGTTATACCCTGAGACAATACCTGGTTATAACCTGGTTATATCCTGGTTATATCCTGTGACATTACCTGGTTATAACCTGGTTATAACCTGAGACATTACCTGGTAATAACCTGGTTATAACCTGAGATATTACCTGGTTATAACCTGGTTATAACCTAAGACATTACCTGGATATAACCAGGTTATACCCTGAGACAATACCTGGTTATAACCTGGTTATATCCTGGTTATATCCTGAGACATTACCTGGTTATAACCAGGTTATACCCTGAGATAATACCTGGTTATAACCTGGTTATAACCTGAGACATTACCTGGTTATAACCAGGTTATAACCTGGTTATAACCTGAGACATTACCTGGTTATAACCAGGTTATAACCTTGTTATAACCTGAGACATTACCTGGTTACAACCTGGTTATATCCTGAGACATTACCTGGTTAAAACCTGGTTATAACCTAAGACATTATCTGGTTATAACCAGGTTATAACCTGGTTATATCCTGAGACATTACCTGGTTATAACCTAGTTATATCCTGAGGCATTACCTGGTTATAACCTGGTTATAACCTAAGACATTACCTGGATATAACCAGGTTATACCCTGAGACATTACCTTGTTACAACCTGAGACATTACCTGGTTATAACCAGGTCATAACCTGGTTATATCCTGAGACATTAATTGGTTATAACCTGGTTATATCCTGAGACATTACCTGGTTATAACCTGGTTATAACCTGAGATATTACCTTTTTATGTTAACTATATAAAAAAAAGAACTTTTTCCCCCCGAAAATTTTTCAGTTAATTCTGAGATATAATTCTTGTTAATTTAGGAAACAAGAGCAGTTGTATTCTCAAATAAATGCAGTATGCCTTTGTGTCGAAGAACTCTACATTTCTGTCAAACATTAATCTCAAATATACCTCAAGGTAGGATAAAAAAAACATGTTAAAAATAAATTTGACTGCATTAATCAGGTAAAAAGTTTAGATTTTATGGCGTTTCCGGGTTAAAATTGTGTAATTTCCTGTGGTTTTAGTCAACATCAAAGCAGAGCAGTGGATTAGCTCTGGTGTTAGCCACAAGAGTGTACCCGAATGTAATGGCGTTTACTATGGCTATGTGCTATTCGAGACTCAAATGTTTCGGTCGCCATATCTACTATTTTCAAAACATGTTTGTTTCTCACGCATTTAAATGAATATGGTGATGTCCACCAAGTTGCACCTCTTTAACTATGGAACAGGTAGGAATCAACTGAGTTCCTCAGAGAGTTCAGAAGCTGCGTGCCACGTGCAAGCCAATCAAATAAAGTATACCTACTGAACAGCCAATAAAAAAGCAGCATTGCTGTATCCGGGTAGATTTTGATATCTTACGGTTTGACTACAGAAGAAGACAGACACTCGCCGTAATAGAGCAGGTTTTTATAAGGACGAGATAGACCCGATGATTACAGTAAGTCAGTAACCTACACATGCCTCAACACCTCATGGCATATAAACTCATATGATAAACTAAAGCCCTATGCTATTGCTATTAACAGCTGTATTGACGGATTTAGCCTCTGTACAGCCATTTCCAGCCATTTTCCCCTCCACAAAAGCAGCATTTCTCATATATCTCAAATATAAGTTCTGATACTCACGACAGTGTAATGCTCATGTACCAAAGCATTAAGTATCTCCATGTTTGTGAAACCTATACTAAAGTACAATTCATCTAAATGCTCCACAGTGCTGATTTTAACAACTCTCCTTCACAACAGGTAACTTTACGACTTAATACTAATATTAATGACTTTATTCTGTTTTTTTTTTTCTAATTGTGCCCCTTATACTCCGTTGTATTTAAGAGATAATCATACTAATAATTATCTTCAATCACCCCCCCCCCCCCCCACCCCCCACCCCCCCCCAAGGAAATCTCACTCTAAGCTTAGTTCAAAACTTGAGAGCCCTGCGGATATTTTCGGCTGCATTGACAGATATATCCGCAGCATATCCATTTCTGCCTCCACAAAAGCAGCGATTTCCTTCTAGTACACCAGTTTTTTTCCCCATGGAAAAGACGTATTTCTCATATATTCTTTTTTTAAGTCTTTATACTTGTGACAATGTGATGCTGAAGTGCCAGAGGACGAAGTATCTCCTTGTTTGTGAAACCTATACTGAAGCACAGTTCCTTCAAATGCTTCATGACCCTAATTTTAACAAGTCTAACAAGTAACTACTACTTCTACTACTATTAATACTTTCTTTACTGCTACTATTACTTCTACCACTACCTCTACTACTCTGACTTATACTTCTTCTATTCTAAAACTACTACTTCTACTACTAATATGACTACTAATATCACTACAATGACTACATATTATCATATCACGAGTACTACAACTTAAACTTATGCCACTCCTCACTTTTTTATGTTTTAAGGTAATTGTCTTCTTCATACAAATTTTGTGCAATTTCAGACATTTTTTTAGCCTCTTTCCGCATGAATTAAATTTCAATGTATGTAGCACATTCATACTACTTGTAATCCAACACCTTTCACAGTCATCCAACTTCTACTTCTTCATCACCTCTTTGTCACTTTTTACATTTATACCTTCCTCCATTTTCTTTTAGCAGTTTTGCACTGCTTTTTCTGCTTTCATTATTCAGCACTTAGTATTTCCATGCATTTTCTGCAAGGAAATGCAAATTTATAGTTAGCAATGGGGTCAAGTAGTATAGCAAGTGGTCAGTTTTTTAGTTCACTCATATGTAGATAATAGTAGACTTTATGTTTGTAATCGTGATCAATGAAGCACAGGACAGCTAACAGTGTGTTACTGCAAGTATCTCCTGGAAAGGTTTTGGTAAAGTGATGAAATCTTTTCAGCATAACATAAAAAAACTTATTATTTATGATGAAATATTACAGTCCAAATTCAAGGCAGTAACATATGAGTGCCACTAAATGAAATATAACAATGTAGCTGATTTATTGAGCAAGTAATTATGACAGTAGTGAAAACTAAGACTGTTATTTCTGCCGACATAAACAAGAAATAGAGCTCTCAATACTCCCTGCTGAGTGCAGTCTTACTTTTTCTTAAATGCTTGAAAAATGAAAAATTTCAAAGTTGAGTCAAAAAACAGAATACTTTTATGATAAAAACGAGAAAATCTTTATTGTTTTAAAATCATGAATCCATCAGCAAAAGCAGAAACAGAAGGACAGAACCAGAGACATAGAGTTTAGACTGAGAGAAGGAAGAGAAGAAAAACTGAATCAGGGTCCCAGTGAGTTAGATCACTACTGGGGACACCGTTCTCTCCTCAGGGTCTGTGAGACCGGAGTCTGGGAGCCCTGGGTGGCCTCACAGGTCACAGAGCCCACCTTGGTCCACTGGTCTGCAGGGAGCCTCAGGGTGCTGCTCCAGGTGTATTCACCATCCTTCTCCAGCACCGCAGGGCTCCTGCTCTCCTCCCAGCTGCTGCTGCTGCTGCTGCTGCCGTCCACCTTCCAGGCCAGACTCCAGCCTGAGGGGAAGCCCTTGTTGGCCAGGCACATGAGCGTGGCCATCCCCTGCTTCAACTCCTCTTTGGAGGGGGGCAGCACCGTCAGGGTGGGACGGGCATCACCTAGGAGACACCAATCAGCTTAGAGGACAGGGAACACACAGCTGTCAATCAAACAGCAGACACCGGGACAGCTTTAATATTCACTCACTCACTCACTCACTCACTCACTCATTGTTTCACTTCCCTTTAATAAGCCTCTCACGCACATCAGCACAGAGACACTCATCACACAGAAGTTATCACAAATATTTACAGACTACATTTTTGTGTTCGTCATGTCAATTTGAATCGACAGAAAAGGAGGAAAAAGTTTTCAAAATAAAAATAGACTTCAAAGACAAAACGACTTCAGAGACTATCTTCATTTTTACACTGATCATTTTTACAAATTGTTGAGAATCTTGATTCACATCAAAACCATCAGAGTTATTACTGTGGTGCAAATTTAAAATGCATTTTTGAAAGTAATTCAAATCCCTAATGTGAGCCTTTTAACCCTCAGCCTGTTTTACTTGAACTCAAACTGTGCAGTAAAGCTGTCCTGACCTCACCTCCATTGTAAATGATGAGAAATTAAAGTATTTTTCCAGTTTAATCTAACAAGCAACATTTATCTGCATTGAACATAAAACACTACTCCGTACTCAGATTGAAAAACTGTAAAGAAGCTTACTTCCAACATCCAGTCTGGTTCCTCCAACAAAAGTCCACCACAGGGATACAAAGTGATGGAGCAGCCGTAAAAAAACCTCTGACTGTAGAGAGACACGGCTCTCTGACTCTGGCTGAACTAAACCTACCAGCCCTCAGGATGTCACTTTGTTCACTCAAGTCAGAAGATTAAATAGTAAATTTGTAGTAAAAGAGGAGCCTGACTTCAAAATCTGAAATTACTTTTTCTTCAGTACCTCTTCAATCCAAAGTGACATTTTTCTGTTTTCTTAAAAAGTCACTTTTAAATAAAAAAGCAAATTGACTTTTGTCCTACAGATTTCAAATTCAAAGCAAAGAAGCTTCTGAAACCAAAAAAGGGTGAATTTTTTACTTACTTCCGACATCCAGTCTGGTTCCTTCACCAAACGTGTACCACAGTGATACAAACTGATGGAGCGGCCGTACAAAAACCTCCGACTGTAGAGAGACACGGCTCTCTGACTCTGACACAAACAAAGTCACCTAAACGTGTCTCTGTCTGCAAGTGCTTTGAGCTCCAATGAAAGCAGAGAATTCAATGTTGTACTTTTGAATGAATCCAGTTTTTGAAGATCTTTATTGATTGACAACATTTTACATTCATTTTCCTCAGCATCGGGCTAAGACTGAAGAAATCTCTCCAAATAGATGTATGAAGAAGAACAAACCTAAACTTTCATTATAGAAGTCATGAAAGCTGTTTGATCAATCAGGAGGTGAATTAATTGATCCATTATTGAACATAATCATCTGTATAATCTAAGACCCTGTTGGAGTTCATCTGAGCATTTCCATAGAGAGTGAGTTTGCATGAGCAGCATGATGCTCCAGTGCTCAGGGAGACTTTATAGTCCTGAGAGTTGAAGACTGGGTGACTGACTGCTGTCCTTCATCACAACAGAAGCAACAGAAATCCTCCTCATCAGAAACATGACTGTGATCCGCGTCCTCATCTGGACTCTCCTCTGCTGCTGCTTCACAGGTAAAGTCCTAAGAATCCAACTCCTCTCTTCGATGAACATCCATCCCTCTGTGATGAAGTCCACAAAACCATGACGTTGCTTTCTGTGTTTGTCTCTGTAACCTTTAGAGTCCAGAGGACAGGTCACAGTGACTCAGCCTGCAGCAGTGACCTCTGTTCTGGGAGCCTCCGTCACCATCTCATGTAGGACCAGTCACAATGTGAGAGTTTGGAGCAACTATCATTTCTTGGCCTGGCACCAACAGAAAGATGAGGGAACCCCCAGAATGCTCATTTACTATGCCAACAATCGAGTGTCAGGGATACCAGGTCGTTTTTCAGGCAGTGGATCTGGATCAAGTTTCACTCTGACTATCAGTGGAGTCCAGACTGAAGATGCAGCAGTTTACTCCTGTCATGGTGCATTCATTGTAAATAGCCAGTACATGTTTACACTGTGAAAAAGCTTCATACAAAAACCCAACTCATTCAGGCTGAAGTGACTGCTGCAGCTGGAAGTTTCTGCAGAGACCGACACACTTCAGTGAAATCACACACCCTTAAATAATACATGTTTGTGGTTGTTCTGAGAGTACTTTGAGCGGTTAGAGGACAAGAAAACCACTTACAGTATGTGCATGTAACCTGTGTTACTGTCAATTCAAAGCAGTTCATTTTCATTATGATTTATGAACCTTTTACCTAAAGGCTTTAAATTATATATATGTATTTTTTTTCTTTCAACATAAGTCCACAATCTATATAATTCAAATCATCTATTCTGATACCAACAGAAGGATGGAGAAACTCCTAAACTGCTCCTTTATGTCACCAGCACTCGAGTATCAGGGATATCAAGTTATGTTACAGGTAGTGGATCTGGATCTAGTTTTACTCTGACCATCAGTGAAGTCCAGGTTGAAGATGCAGCATTTAATTACTCAGTTACAACATCAGTTCATAAGTCTGTGGGTTAATTGCACTGAATTATTATCTAAGTTAACTGGACAAACTTTAGAATAAATAAAGTAACTTTTTAAAAGATGATAGTAACTTTTTTGAAGGTACTCTGCCTGAAGTAATTCTTCAAAAAAGCTCCAAACTTTTTGACAACAATGTGTTGGCTAATTGTTTTTCTTTTAATGGTTTGATTTTGATTTATTTGGGATCCCCATTAGCATTGGCCAAGCCTAAGCTATTCTTCCTTGGGTCCTTAATGGGTTTTATTTTTTTACAAAGTGTATAAAATTAAAACCCTGAAATCAATATGTTTCTTTCATGGTTTATCAGTGGTGCAAAAGTTACTAAGGACTTCTCTTTTATCACTGAAACATGTCTGTAGTCATGGTTAAGCAGTGATGCCTGTCGGTTGCCATGGTTACTGAAGTAAGAAGGAAGTGAAACACCTGAAATAAGTTTCATCATATCAGCAGCTGCAGTGGCCTCTCCTGCTGAAGTTTATTTAATCTCCAAAATTTTGATTTATCTCTCTCTCTCTCTGCAGTGGATCAGGTGACCTGCAGACTGATGGAGATGGTCTACTCCACACAGTAAAGTCTGAATAGACAGGAGCTTTCTCCTTTAAAATCACCTTTTGATATAACCTCTGTCCTCCTTCAGCTCTCCTTCTTTCCAGTGGACACACCTTCAACATAACATGCCACAACTTTTAACAGTGTTACTGTGATCACTTTCACTCATTGTTTCAAGATGCTTGGTCACCAAATACTCTGTTCATCATCAGGTGAACTGCAGATTTTTAAACATCATTTGTCACCTGCAGCAGAGTTGATGAGTGCATTTGTCCATTCATAGGAGTCATTTCCATAGAGAGTGAGTTTGCATGAGCAGCAACATGTTCCAGTGCTCCGGGAGACTTTATAGTCCTAAGAGTTGAAGACTGTGTGACAGACAGCTGTCCTTCATCACAACAGAAGCGACAGAAATCCTCCTCATCAGAGACACGACTGTGAAACATCACAGAGAGTCAGTCTTTGAGTTCAATTAGGATTTCAAAAAGTCACTGATAAAATCAGACATGAAGTTATCAGAGATAAACTAGCCAATCATTCATCACTCCTGCTTTGAAGTCTCCAAAGGTCACCTGGAGGTCTCATGACATCATCAATTCAATGGCCCTATAGGAGCTTTTAGAAAGTCATCAGATCAGCCAAATCTGTCCTGCTGTCCCTTCTGTTGTGAGGCTTCGCTTTGATTCATGACACACAGAAATCTTGAATTTCTGTGATGAGCATGGTGTTTTCTCTGGCTGGCTTTTTGACTCTGTTTACACTGCAGCTGTGAAACCCAACACTGGTGCTTCAGTGAATACTGGCCAGTCTCTGAAATGTTTCTCTGTGCAGGAAGATCACAAGGTCGGGAAGAGCTAGACTCTAGAAAACCATCTGAACCTGATTTGATGTAATTCACATAAACTGCAATGTCTGTCTTTTAACCCATTTAAACCGGAACAGCATGCATGCATTTCAACCTTCCAACCCGGGAGCGCGGCTGTGCATTTCTACTCGGAAAGCTGGGTGCATGAACGCATTTCTACCCCTCAAGCCGGGAGAAACGTGAACGCATTTCAACCTTCCAAACCAGTGGTGCCGCTGCATATTGCTACCCTTTGTAGTGATATGCAGTAGGAACCATATAGCGCTCAGTACGCAGCCCGGTCAGTTTATTGTATTACACTGTTTACTATATATGCCGGCTTTTCCCTCCAGTAAAGTCGAGTCTCTTCTATAAACACTGCGTCTTCCTTGACTCCATAACACTTCATGGTGGCAGTGGCTATTCATGTGGATGACCTGCAGATGCCTGCAAGATTGTATGAGGATAATAATGCAACTGCAAGTAGGTGGGAACAGCAAGTGCTAACGGGGGCTAAACAAACCAGCTGTGCAGCTGTCAATGCGCCAAAACCCAGTAGGAGAAGTCCGGTCACGGGAGTTTATCGGCCTCATTCGCTAAATGGCCAAAAAGGGAGACATCATGGCATCACACTTGCCGCCAATGAACTGGGCCGACCCGGATCTGAGTGAAGCCATTTCACTGTTTTAACAAAAAATGTCTCTCTACCTGGAGGATGAGGAGATAACTGTTGCAGCCAAACAGGCAAGGAAAATATGCCGTGGTGTTGGAGATGAAGGACTGAAACGGCTAAATGCCAGTGGACTCAGTGATGATGACAAGAAAAAAACAACAAAACTATGGGAATTCTATGAAGGTCAGTTAAAATTGAATGTAAACCTCAGGATCCATAGACTCCATCCAATGCCATACAGGCAAAAAGCAGATGAAAGCATTGATGATTTTGTGAGCAGAGCCAGGACACGAGCCCAAAAGTGTCAGTTCACAGATGAAGAACTCAATGAACGTTTGATTGAACTTATCATTGCCAGCACACCCCATGATGCTCTGAGAAATGACCTGTACAGCAAACATAAAGGCCATTCTCTGGCTGATGTACTAGCAGAGGGGCGAAAATACGAGGCCCTGTTGGCAGGCAATGAACAATTACACCAGCTTGGCATGTCACATAGTGAGACAATCCATGCAGTGGGCAGAGGGCGAACATGCCTACCATTAACATCCCATGCCAGTACAAAGAATCCGAATGGGTCAATGCCAAATTCTATGTTGTGGATGTGCCAGGTCCGGCTGTAGTTGGCCTGCCAACAAGTGAACGGTTAAAGCTGGTAACTGTCAATGTCGATACAGTGAGTGAGAAGGCAAACAAAAGCCAGGATAATGCTCACAAAAAAACAACAAAACCACTGAAGAGGATATCGAACAGTGCAGAGCTGAAGGCGGCTTATCCAGACCAGTTTGACAAAATAGGCAACTTCAGTGGAACCGTTAAGCTCTTTCTGAAAGAGGATGCTGAACCATGCATTGACACACCATGGAAATGCAGTAACCACAGAAGACAAGCTACAAGCAGAACTGAATAAAATGGTGGAGCAAAATGTGATACAAAAAGTTGAAGAGCACACAGACTGGTGCTCCAGTACGGTGTACAGCACTAAAAAGGACGGGTCCCTCAGGATATCATACACCTACCTGTATGGGAAGTCTTCGTGGTAACAGACCACAAACCACTTGTCACCATATGTGCAAAGCCGCTGCATGCTGCACCACTCCAGCTCCAGCGCTTGCTGATAAAGACACAAGGATACAACTATCAAATTACATACAGACCAGGAGACCAAATGGTCCTAGCTGACACCCTCAGCCGCTTGCCAAACCCAGAAAACCAAGGTGACATAGAGCTGGACGAGCGCATTGATGGAGTTGACCATAGACTGCATAAAGAATGGACAGTGTCTGCTTCCTTGCTCGGTGAAGCCACTCCAAGAACAGCACCCTCTGTTGATGGGCTGCAGTACAGGTCATAAATCCCACCTCCGCCAGCAAAGCTTATGGGGCTGTGGACAAACTTTAGAAATTTATTACATAGAACATACATTTTTCTCCCCCCTGGTTGTGATGTTGACATGTAGTTACAGTAAGACTGGTTTGTGCTCAAGTCCCCTTTTTTCTGTGAAGCTCCATTTTTAAAAGTTATTAGGGGGTTCATGTTTGCTATGATTGACACCTGATACAGCCTATGGGCGTTCAGGGATTGCGTAGCTCTCCGGGGAATACGCTATTTGAGCCGAGCGTCACCACAGCAACTCTCGGCGACTGCACAGCCGAATGTGCTCATCGCTACTGCGCAGCGCTGGTTTCAGGAAATGAAGAAAAATCCTGGAAATACTGAGAGCTATTAGGCTTCAAATCCGTATACAGGCAGAGTGTCCATCGTATATACAGTCTATGGAGTTGACACAGAGATTGAGGACCCGAAATAACACAGCGTTGCAATAATTAACTTCTCTCCCGAGAAACAGGACACTCTCCACACTGAGACTGCCAAGGACCTCAAGCTTAATGCGCTAATGGAGGTTATCCACCAAGGATGGCCAGAGAGCTGCCGAAGGACCTGCGACCCTACTGGTCCTTCTGGGATAAACTCCCCATGGAATCAGGCGTCGTATTCAAAGGCAGACAGATAGTCATCCCCGATCCTTGACTGATGATATACTCAGACAGCTGTATGTGGGCCATCAAGGCATCGAGGAAACACATCGTCTGGCAAGAGAGTGTCTATTGGATAAAAAATGAATGATGACATTGAGAGAGCTTGTAGATCCTGCAGTGTATGTGTGAAATACCAGGATGCTGACCCGAAAGAACCTCTCCACCCACACACTGTACCCCTAAAACCATGGCAGTCCATAGCTTCTGACCTGTTTGAGGTCAAAGGTCGCCAGTTCCTGCTAACTGTGGACAGAAACTCTAAATACCCACTCGTGGATGAAATGTCCATGCCTGTGTCCGGCCATGCAGTCACACAAAAGTTACAAGGGTATGTGTCACTGTTCGGACGAGTGGACGAGATTTTTACAGACAATGGGCCACAATACACAGGACAGGCCTTCAAAGAGTTTGTTAAGGACTGGGGTATCAATCACATTACAAGTTCACCCCATTACCCGAAGGGCAACAGGTTTATCGAAAGGCATGTGAGACACATAAAGTCCATAGTGACAAAATCTATCAAACAAAGAGACAACCTACAGATGGCACTACTGCAGGCCAGGGCTACGCCTATCGACAGTAAGCTGCCGTCGCCTGCAGAACTGATGTTTGGAAGGCCAGTCACCACCCTGCTGCCGAGCCGTTTGTTCCCCCCTTAGCTAGGGAATATGTCTATCGGAATCGTAAACACACACGTTCTTTGAATGTAAAAGTTGTGTGTAACTCAAAAGGGGTCGTTACAAACATTGTTGCGAAATACCCAGGGTCAGTGCACGACTCATTCATCTTTAAAAACAGCGTCCTTTTTTCAAAGTTGAGATATGGTTAATATGGAGATGGCTGGATTTGGGGTAAGTTAATTATATTATTTATTTTTTGTAAAAATCATTGCTCATGTCAATGACGAATATGTGATATTCTAACTTTAAGGTGATAGTGCATACCCCCTTCACCCCCTTCCTCTTAACTCCTTAGGGCAACCCGACCACTCGGGCAGAACATCTTTACAATGTGGCTCACATCAGGACCAGAAACATCGTGGAGCGCACCCTTGGTGTGCTAAAAAGTTGGTTCTGTTGTCTGGATTGTTGTGGCACCAATCATAGTCTAGGTGTGCTATGGTATGAAAATTCAGACTCCTTCAAATTCAGAGTTAACATGAAAGACAAACCAATGACAAGAAGACGAGTTCTTTCAGTGGTGAGTTCCATATATGACCCACTCGGGTTGATTGCTGTTCCTGTTTATTCCTGTTGTGCTACCCGCCAAAGTCATTCTTCAAAGTCTGTGCAAAGAAAAGATATCCTGTGATCAAGAAATTCTCAGCATCTCTTACATGATTGGTCTACTTGGCTGAACCAACTGCCTCAAATATCCAGCTTCCAGATAGCTAGGTGCATCAAGCCTAGCAACTTTGGGGCAATTGTAGCAGTTCAGTTTAATCACTTTTCAGATGCTACTGAAACTGGCCATTGAACAGTCTCATTTCTAAAGTTGACAAATGCTAAAGGCCTTGTTCACTGTGCCTTTATGTTAGGGAGGTCCAGAGTAGCTCCAATAAAATAAACCACATCACACATATGGAGCTTACTGCAGCAGTGATGGGTATAAATATTGACCAAATTATGAGAGGGGAGCTTGAGATTCATCCTCAGGACTCAGCATTTTGGACAGACAGCACAGCTGTACTGAAATACATCACAAATGAAGCACTGAGGCTGAAGACTTTTGTTGCAAAGAGGATTGCAATTACCGAAGAAAACAAATGTGGAACAGTGGAATTATGTGGACACTTCTGAAAATCCAGCTGATTGTGCATTACGTGGTCTCACAGTGGAAAACTTCTTGGTCAATCATTCCCGGACTCAGGGGCCATCAGTCTTTAAGGGCACAAGCAGTAAAAGGACAAAAGGATGTGAATTCATGAAACTTTCACAGGATGATCAGGAAGTGAGAAAAACAATGTTAGTGTTCTTAACAGCAACAGGAGATTCATGTGCAATAGAAAAGCTGGTAAGCTGCTACTCCAGCTGGCTGCAGTTGAAAAGAGTCATAGCCTGGATACTCAGGCCAAAGACATTTTGATTTTAAAAAGTCACAAAGGAAAGGAAACAGTTAATACCGCCAAACTTTCCCTGCACCAAGGGCCTTTGACAGTGGAAGAGCTAAAAGAGAGCAGAAATGGAGATCTATCAAAGTAGGCTATAGCTCCAGAGAGGCGGTGAATAGGAAAGACAACATGGCAGCGGGGAAATCTATGTAAACAAGATTATATTTATGTCTATGTCTAAAATGACTCCATTCAGAATGAAATATATATTTATTTATATTCAATAAAATAATTTAATTTTTGTAGAGAAATAACCAGTTCAAAGAAAATACTGTTTTTACAGTGCAGTGGACACATACCAGTAAACACATATTCACACCCACACTGAGGGAACACACTACAGGTGTGGGTTTAAGGGGGTTCTGTGTCAAGCAACTAAATATATTTGCTCACAAATTGAGTTTTTTACACAACATAGGCTAACATAGGCTGATCTGGACATGCCTCTGTGTCCAAAAAGAAAAAAAGCATTTTTGCAATAAAAGAACAATCAGCAGGACATTGTAATTATAGCAGTTTTTATAGGATTATAAAATATTGAGTTTGTGCATTCCGCTTTCTCTCCTTTGGTCCAAACTCATCTGCAAACTGTAGTTGGAGAAAAACATTTACAATCCAACCGAAATGTCAAAAGCATTTTGACAAATATGTTGATAATCCTCAAATAGTAGAAAACAGATTTTAAGTCTTTGGACATTGAACTCGAGGAGCTCAGAAACATCTGGAAGTCAACAGTCTGAACAGGTTTTGGACAAAAATGATGATCGAAATGGTGAATGAAGTCAAAAGTTATTAAGGGAGCCAAATAATGTGATTCATAACATGACTTGGGCTCGTTTGATCCAAAATGAGTCGTGGTCATGGTGGTCATTAAGAATCCAAACCAAACAGTCAACATCTTAAACTAATACCAGAGGGTTCTATTGGAGGAGGAGAGGAGGAGCTGCAGAGGAGCTGGAGGCTAACTAATGCCGCATTACAAAACAACACAAAAATATTTCTACTTCAGCCAAATTTAGAGGAGAGGTTGGAGCTAGAAAAGAGCTTGGTGTTGCTGCAACCCTCCTGAGCATCAGCCTGGGACAGGACCAGTCAGAGCTGTGCACAAGGACCGAGGTCCATGTGCAGTGTCGGCTGGTCTGAAGACAGAAACAATGCAGATATTTAAATTAAACAAGCTGTAACATTTGACTGTGTGGTCAAGGTCATGAAGGAAGCATCTGTAACATCACTATCATCAAGAGGAGAAAGTTAATACATTTGAATTTGTATTTAGTTTCTAATCAGCAGGTTAGTTGTGCAATAGAAATAGATTAATATCAATGCAACCCACCATTAAGAATTGATATTTTTGGTTTGTCTATTTCAGTCATTTTATTTCATTGGGGGAAAGACTGTGTATTTTCAGGATTCAATAATAAGAAAATCCTCAGTTTTCAGTTTGAAAGAAAAAAAAACGGATTTCTACAAAAGGACAGTGTTTTGATTACACTTAAGGTGAGTTTTTCCCTGTCAAAACCATAATGAAGTTTTACATTTTGTGGTAGAAAACACACACTTGATTCATGGAAACATGAAAACATATTTGAGTGAAACTTTATCAAACTCTTAATTTTAAAGGCTGTACATAAGAAATTTCTTTTCACTTAATTTTGTCTGTTTTTGTAAGTTTTTAAATAGATTTACATCTTTTGTAAAAACTAAACGCAGAGATTTCTCACAATAACATGAACTTTTCTGCTGTTAAACATGCAGGACAGGACCACAGTGGTCAGTGGTGGGCAGGACTTTAGCTTCATCATTCAATGCATCGCTTTTAAACTAACTATTCTCAAAGTCTCGACGATAACACAAGTTTGTATGATGATATTGTCATGAAATCTTACGGTCTCCATGTCGTCGATGTTGTCCTCTCTGTTCAGGTGTTTGTCGGAGTTGGAGTCTTTAGTCTTCTGGGGAGGTTTTATTTACGATGGAGCTGTCAAAAGGTGAAAGTTTGTGAGCCACAGAAGTTTTTCGTGTCGATCTTCAGATTGAATCTTCAGAAATGACCAATCTTTATCGACTTGTAATGATTTAAAGTTTTTACATAGTCACAGGTTACCATGGAGATTTAAAATGCTGTTTACTTTAGAAAAACACTTACACTGGTAGGTTATATCTAAAAGTTTAATATCAACTTTAATTCACTTTAATCTCAAAGGAATATAAATATCTCTTGAGGTAAAGTTGAGGTTATTTTCTGTCAACTAGTTTAAGAGTTTAAAAAGCATATTAAATCAAAAACCTTGGTTATTTCTTTACAGAACTGCCCATTTTTGAAACTATATCTTAGTAGTCTCATAGGTAATCCAACAAAAACTGGAAACTTTGTGTTTAATTATATGTCAAAATGAGGTCTTACAATTAAAATTGTGTCAGATTTGGAATCCTCATGGTTGACTTGTATAGAAAAGTGCCTTCATACATGATTCCAGGTCATCCAGATCAAAAATTAATTTTTAGGCATGGCGCCAGGCGCCATTTTAAATTTGGCTGTCCAGCAAAAAATGCCGGGATTTTTGGGAGGGACCTGGGGGCTAAATCTTTTCTAAAGGGTCCATAGAGGTCAAATCAATCGTCAAAACATCCTTGCCAAAGGATGGTCACAGAATCTCAGTTCATGATCAAACTAGAAAGACCCAGACCGATGAACGAGTTGACTGAAAGACCGAGTGAACGAAAGATCCAGACCGATGAACGAGTTGACTGAAAGACCGAGCTGACTGGCCGCCGCAGGAGCCGACAGCCGAGCCCGAGCGAGCGGGACAGTCACACACTCACAAAGGCACACAGTTGCTGCTGCAGCCAGAGGCAGAGAGACAACTATTAATACGCATTTGCACTGTCTGTTGACATTTTGTACTTTTTATCATTGTTTTTAATGCACCTCAAAATAATAAAATAACCAGTAAAAACCTTATATATTTTGTTATTCCTACTATAATTTTATATTACAAGGAGTGCAGCGCGATCGCAGCGTTGGACCAGGGGTGGGAAGTGGGGAGTGCAGCGGTCACAGCGTCGGACCGCGGGGGGGTCGTAACGTCGGACCGGGGAGCTGAGACGCTCGCAACGTCGGATCCGGAGGGGTGTAATGCTTCAGAATTGACCGAAATGACCGAAATGAACGGGTCTTTTTACTGAACGACCCGGAATGATCCGGTTCACTGAAATGAACGGTTTTGCCCACCACTAAACGGAATAAATAACTTCGCCTGAGACAGCTCATCCAATCATGGATGCAGAAGCTTAGGGTCCTCGAGAAAGTTGGGACCGCCCTCTCGTCATAGAACTCCAGAGACGCTGAGCGTCCGATGGGCAGGACAAAGACCAGCATTTATCCAATGAGCGTCTAGTTTCGCTGCTGGAACAACCCACTTTGAGCTTCCACATTGAAGTCAGCAGACGCTGAGCGTCCGGCTGTGTGAAGAGCTGAGGCGCTGCGAGGATGAATGAGAACGAAGTTGTGCTGGTTACCTGTGATTATCAGCTTCTGATCACACTGTGATCAGAAGCTGATTCTGAACAAAAAATGAAGGCTTTCTAGCGTGTATTTAGTTAATGAAATGTACACACAGCAGTACGTATTTCACCACTTTTTCTTTTTTTTTTGGGGGGGGGGGGGTGACATTTTAAGGGAAGCTGAGCTTCCCTTGCAGTCTTAGAGCAATCGCCACTGGTTGATAAAATCCCAAGATTTTTAACCCAAATTCAAGTAAACATATGTACAGTCTTAACATGTTTTAATGCAATCAGTAACTTACCATGCATTCATTAGGTAAAGGACTTCAGAGTGCTTCCCCCTCTTCAAGACCCACTCCGATGAAAATCATATATTTCTTGTTTCTTATATGTTCATATGGCATTTTTCTGAAGCTACAGGACATATATTAAGAAAACTAAATGCGAAATTGCTATTCTAAGTACTTCTTCATTCAAATCGCTGTGAATCTCTGGCAGACCCAAACGGCAAGTTCAGAAAGTAAGATTTCATACCTAACCAATCCAAGCTCCGCCCCTGGAGCCCCACACTTTGCATATAGAGGAGAAATACAGAGGATGATTGTGGAACAAGCGTGTGTGTTAACAGATTGCACCACTCGTTAGAAAGCTAATTATGGTACTAGCTTTCATTGTGTCCATAAAGACATAACGCGATTTTGTTAAAAACGTAATAATCACAATTTAAAGACCACTGAGAATACTTGAAGTGGTAAAAATAACATTGGAGTGGGACTTGAAAGATTCAGGGGTGTGGCAATAATCCAGACTCAACCAATAAATTAAATCTTGTTTCGGTCATGACAAAGTGTGGGGGCACTATTTTTTAGCATATTAAAACTCATTTAAACCTTAGTCTCACAATAGATCTAAAACTTTCAACTCCTTATTAGACATAATCACAAATACCTGTTAAACCACACTTATGTGGTGTTATTTACATTTATTAAATTTTAGAGGTCTGGGCTAGGGACAGCTACTTCCCAATAAAAAGTAGGCCTTCCCTAAGTATAAATGAGGATTTTTTTTTTTTTTTTTAATACATATATTTTCAATCATATCTAATGTTTTAGGTTTAAAGAGTTTATAAAAGACCTTTGCAACCATATATGATTGAATTCCTTTTTGTTTGCTTGATTTTTTCTTTTTTTGTCAGGAGACAGCAATTCGGACACGTTTGGTTAAATGCCACATATACAATGTTATTAATATGCATGGAATTTGATCACTTCTCAGTATGAGAAATGTCATGTGTGGCGTGTGAACTTGTTAAAATGAGAGCCTTGCCTAATAAATATCTACCTGCTTAAAGCAAGTTTTAACCAAGAAAACAATTCATTCCTCTCCATAAAACCATAACTTGATTAACTGCATAACATGACAGCAAGAAATAAGTTGTTTTTTTCCAGAAACACAAATCTTTATTTCCAGTATGACAATAAATGCAAGCCATTTGGCTGATACTAGTTTTCTTTAAGAAACTTCAGTTAACCATATCATTTGAACACTGCTATGAAAAAGGATTTTTTTCTCACTCCATTTCTTTTCTAGAGATTTGAAGCAACATCAATTCAACAAACATATAAAAATATTGGCATGCAGGTCAGCCTATTTGTGTCAAGGAACAGTCCAAAGGGCATCATGGGAATGCAAAATAAGCTGCTGCAAAGCTCCGGGGTGTTGCAGAGTGCAAAATTAAGACAAATTTCATGACTTTCAGTGTTCATTGGGAAGGCGTAGACTTTCTGGCAGGCTCTCTGATGTGCAGTTAGTGATGCGTTTCCAACTCCACGATGGTCCACTCCCCCTGTGGAGATGCAGCGTCTTCTGGGGAGAAGCTGGTCACCGTGATGCTGGTGGAGGAGTCATCCATCGGTGAGATGAGCTCTGCCCAGCGTTTGAAGGTCTCCCTCTCTGGGGAAATGAAGGCCTGCGAGTCCAGGCAGTCACGTGAGAGGGACAGAGTCTGCTTGATAAGGTACTGGGCCAAGTTGAGCTCCTCAGGTACAGGGTTTATGACGCCCAGAGTGGATTCATGGTCTGAGAGGAGTTGCCTGAGCAGACTCCAGTCCCTGTCTGCAAACTCACTGCTCTTGTCATGGTTGTCTTTAACCTTTTCCTCCTTTTCCTTCAGTTTAACGTCCCTGTCCTTGTCCGAACAGTGCTCAAAGGCTTCTCCCACATCCATCTCGTAAATGGGAGAGAGGGCTTTGGATGGTCGGCGATCATGTTTGCAGCTTTGATCCAATCTGTCACAACCATTGTCCCCTAAAAGCAATTGACAATACTGCAAAATGACATAATGAAATACTCCTCCAAATTGACTTCAAGTTTTTTTTTTTTTTTTGAATCATAGACAAGTCTAGCCTACCAAAACAAAACTCTAAGATTTACCCTAAATGCAACTGTGTCCTTAAAGATAGTCCATCATAAAGTAAGGGAAGGGCAGCCAATGGGGTAATAACACTGCTGGTAAAGTAATGTCTGATTGACTTAATGAATGAAAATTTCACTAGTTACTTCTATCACGGGTATCATAATTACACAGTTGCTTTGAAGGTAATGCAAAGAAAATTGCTTTTCTGTGTGCATGTCTTTAATCACACGTTCAAACAAAATAAGCCATGCATAGCCAGCACCAGTGAATTTTGCATTTGTCATTAAATAACAGTGATATGTTCTGAGATTTGCGTGCAGGTCTTTGAACGGGCAGACCCATGAAACAGACTTTGTACTGTCACAAAAGAAAAAAAAAAAAAACAACTAAAAATGCAAGCAACAGTGCCTCAGTTAGCAGCACAAATATATGGCACACCAGTTTCTTTTGACATTCTTTGTGTTTTTTTGTTTTTAACATTTCAAGAAGTAAAAAAATCACTGTCGGGTGAATAAAAGAAAATATTTTACACAAATGCAATGAGACAAACCCTAACTGCTGGTGCAGCAGGACGTTTTTTTCTAAAAATGATGGGTGAAAAAAGAAAGACATGGCAGAACCATGACAGCTGCTCTAGAGACACATCACAGACTTTATAGAGGAGGCTACTGACACTACATAAACCTACAAAACAAAAAACAAAAGCATTTCCTGATTAAGTGGACAGCTTCAATCTACACACAAGTCTACTGGGAATGACAAATGGTGATGGGTAGTTACAAATAAATAAATAACATGATGAATGGCATAAAGGAATGATAAATTAATCCTTATAGAAGCATGCATGTGTGCAGTGCAAACAAACATGAAATAGAGCAAACAAAAAATGAAGAAATACATTCTCAAATTTATAAAGGAAAAATAGCACGGAGATTCAAGGGAAAAGTTCCCAGGTGTAACACACCTTATTGAGTAGCAATGGCGTTTCAGTGTCATTAATATTGTAAAAACACTTTAATTTGACCATAAAGTCAGTTAATTTCATTAGAGAAATTTGACAGTTATCATTACTTGCTTGTAATTTACCTGAACATAAATTTTAAAGGTGCTACTTATAGAATTTAAGCATCAACAGATCATTTTGTTGACATTATGAGATGTATATAATATAATAACTGTAAACAGAGAGACCAATGCTGAGAAGCCAAGCAGAACCAGGTGCTTAGCCTCAATCTCAATGCAACTGACAAGGTAGAGATCTGTTTGGGTGCCATGAGATTGATCAGAATGTGTTTCTTATTATGGCAGCAAAGTAAAGAACACATTTATCCTGTACCACAAAGCTTTTTACACCATTGAGACACAAAATTGCATAATTAGCACACTGTGAGAAATTTACTATGTAAAAACAATTAGTTTGACCCTGTACCACTTCATTCTATGAGCATTAAGATACTATATAGATGGCCTGAGATTACGTCTTTAAGAATGTGAATGCTTTTTTGATAGAGGTGTAAGAGCAGATATTTGCTTGACACGTTTCACTAACACAAACAAACATCAATGATTCTGCAATGAAACCAAAACAAGCGATGCTGTTTTGTCTTTTCGTTTGTTGTCCTATGTTTAACCTACAGTGAGGAATTTGCGTCTACTGTGGCAACATCTGCAGTCACAGCATTTTTGATCTTGTATGTAGTGCATGTAATAATGTAGTAGAGGCGTGTTCTTACTCAAATTGTCATCTGGCTTTCTTATCTGAACCCATCACTCACTGAATAATATAAAGTGATAAATATAAACAGAATAAACATAGAGGGGTTATCAGTCTACATCACTCTCGGTTACACCGCTGTGTTGATAAACAAATAGTCCCGCTATATGTAGGCATCGACTCTGACAAACCTGGCTGTAGTGGTAACAGACTTGTAGATATACTGGTAGGAAACATCAGTATTGTTACTGATAGTCTTGTCTGTTTTTGGTGTAGTTTTTGTCAGTTTTTCAAGCATCTCAAAAATCCTTATAGTAGCTGGAAACAGGAAAACAATAACTTTATCATTTATCAGTTGCATATAATTATCACGACAGTGGTCTAACTGTAACAGTAATTATAAAAACATAATTAAGCTTGATCTGTTCATGCTGAAATAGGATATATAGCACCTTTAAATGTGTCAAATAATTTATGGCTTTAAAAGGCCAACAACTGTTACACTGCATCAAAGAAATGACAAAAATAATCAAAAACTCTTTTTTTTATGTACATAAAAGTGCATTGGTATAACTATGTCACAGGCCTTATTTCTCAAGGCAGATATTTTTGACAAATACAACTGTATGATAGTCCAAGTAAAGAGTACACTGCTTTCCCTTTTTTTGTGTGTAAAACTGAGATACCAGGCCTACACGCCTCTGACTACAGGTAGTTCAGTTGCTTAAATGTACAGGTTAGGTTTTTTGTTCTAATGAGACCAATCTCCATCTTTACAAAGGATATTGAGGTTGCAAATTCAAATCTACAACAGCTACACAATCAAGTAAGTTGAGATGGTGATAGGAAAGTAGGATGATTACGTTTGAATTTGAACTTTTACTTTAAACTAGTTGCTAAACTAGTTTGCTCACTGATATCCTTTTTCTGAAAGAGGGATAGGTACATGTTGGGTGTAGGTCTAGGAATTCAAGCAGAGGTGAATGAATCTTGCAAGGACAAACTACATCTACACTTGTGGAGTTTAAGGATAAGAGATGGGTTTGGATTTGGGGTCTATGAAAGGTCCTTAGATCATACATTACCTGCTGGAGATTGTGCAGCATGTACAGGAGAGTCCCCTGCTAGCTGAGGCTCATTTAAGTCTAGATGGAGATCAGCTTTCTTGCTTTCTGAGGTGTGATTTTTACGCGGGCCTCCGTTGTATTGTCCAGTATGCCGCAGATCCAGGTGGCAGGGACGCTCCTGGGGAGGTAGGTCTCTGATGTCAAAATCAGGACCACTAGACTTCACTCCATCAACCTGGATTTGTTTGTTCTCCTCCTTTACGGGCTCCTGAATCTCTGTAATAAATATGGGGGACTTTTCTTCCTTTTCTTCACCCTGTTGTTTGTGCTTCACACCTTCACTCTCAGGGTGGTTCTGTTGGTCAGTGGATGGAGCACAATTAGACTGAGGAGTTATGGAGTCAGACTCGAAAACATCACATGGAGTCGCAGTGTCATCATGCTGTTGAGGTGGAGTTTGGATGCCCCCCTCCTCTGATCCTAGCTCCTCACACTCGTCCACAGAGAGCAGCACTGACCGGCGGAAGTTCGAGGTTGACTGATAGTCAGGCTGGTCATTCTCCTGTTCCATGCCATCATCATCAAATGCTAGATTGACGATCCCCTGAAAGTGTGGTGAGGGTTCAGTTGGCGGCGGTGCTGCCTGACCTGGGATCACCTCAACTTCTGACCTCTCATCCTCTGTCGCTTGCTCATCTTCTTCTTCCTCTTCATCATCAGAGGAGAACAGCTGGGGGTCAGGGACGCTTTTGACAGTCACAGTTGCCTCAACCTCTGAGTGCTCCTCCTCCACAGGAACCTCCTCCTTGTGCAACCAGGAACGAGGACGCTGTCTCACTCCCTCCTCCTCACTGGTGGTCTCCGCTTCCCGCCCGCGCAGCCGAACCTCCACTCTCAATCCTGCTCCACCTTCGTACATCTTCAGCTCCTCTGGGGTGCTTGTGTCACTACTACTGCGGCCCAGGAAGTCGTGGCAGCGCATGGTACCACACTTAGAAACACCTCTGTCGTTGGAGCAGTCGTCATCCTGTGAGCCTCCTGCATCATAGTCCTCTGAGCGGGGCTTGATGTCGTCAGAGGAGGTGGTGTGTGTGCTGCCAGTCTCAGACTCTGGGCTGACCTGATGATGGATGCCGCTCCACGAGTCCTCTAAGGGAGTCTCAGTGCTCCCTATGCTGCAGGGAGTATCTATAGGCATTTCAGTGTCCTTTGGGGAACTTGGAGAGCTCACTTCACGTACTTGCCCCCTTCTGACTGGACCTTTGTTGACATTACCTGGAGGCTGTTTGAAGGTGTTTGGTTTCGCAGATTGGACATCAGGCATGTTGCTAGCAGCTGGTTTAGCGCTGGTCTGCCCATCTGCATTATTAGTGTTTTCTTTGTGTTTGTCAGTATTCTGAAGACTCTGCTGAGAGCTAAGTAAATCATTTGTGGTCTGGCTTGATGGCTGATCTGAGGACACTACCTTTGTACTGTCCTTATGCATCTCGTCCTCAACAGTTTTTGCAGCTGGGGCTGGCTCTGTTTTACATTCTAAACTTTTGCCATTTGTTGTCTCTTTTCCTTTAGTTCCCGATTTCTTAGAGGCAGCAGCAGCAGCTGAGGTTTTGGCAGTTGCTCCAGATTTTGGAGAAGCTTTCTCCATAGATAATTCTGTACTACTTTTTGGCTTGGGTCCAGTCTTGGCAGATACAACAGAAGATTGCTTAGAGGGTGCTGGAGAGGGTTTTGTTGGTTTAATGCTGGATTTAGACGAGGCTCCAGTTGCTGAAGTGGGTTTTGTGATTTTCTTTTTGGGAGCTTCAGTGGCTGTTTTGTCTGGTCCGGAGGGTTTGGAGCCATCCTTGCCATCTTCTTTCCTGGGGGAAGCTGGCTTTTTCAAAGAGGGTCCATGCTTGGGGGCTAAACAGAAGATCGAGCAGAAAAGAACATTCACACATGGCCATATTAAAATAAAAGACATAAAATCTATCAGACTCAGAGCATCTCACCGTGGTGGTCTGGTGTGCTTCTTCCCTTGGTGTCTGCTCTTCCTCCTGTCACTCCAGCGGATGTTTTATCACTAGTCTTGGTTTTGCTGCTTTCTTTCACACTTGACCTACTGGTAGGACTGTGAACAAAGAATCATAACACAGTGACCACTGAGGTTTTTCCCACAATATCTCAGTCAATACATGCTTGTGGTTTGAATGACCATCATCAAATATTTATTTCATGAGCAGCAGTGAAAGTAAATCATGAATTAGTATCTAACACCAGCAGGGGGCAGTAGGGTTTTTCTTTCATTCACTCAAGGTCAAGCCTCTAAGACATGAGCTGACTAATAATGTAAAGAGTTTGAAGTAGTTAGTGTTGTCCTTGTGCAGAACGTCCCTCCCCATTGAAAAAAAGAAACATTATTTAAATGTTAATAAATAAATAAGGTATTGCTATTATTTCAAAACCCAGGTGGTGGATTTTATTTTACTTTTTAATCAAACAGCATTTTGGTATGAGTTCACCCATTACAATTTTCGGAAATCTCTCATTATAGCTGCATTGATAAAAAATATCCTTAATGTATATGGTTGTAAAGGATGTTAAATCTCCCAGACTCCCTGCAATCTTTTTGTGAATGGCACTCTAAACCTTTACAAACTGGAGAACAAAAATCAAGAAAGATCAACTTTAGATTTACTTGAAAAAGAAACCAGTGCGCCACCATCTCTTCTTAGGTTAACATACATTTTTGCTTCCCAAAGAGTTAAAGTATTTATGTGCTTCCAGGACAAATGGAGTTTACATGAGACTGATAATAAAACTGGTATTTTTAACATTATGGAGGGACAGATAGGAAGCTTGTCAAGAAAACTGGGTGACACTCATTGCAGCAAAGTGCAACACCCACTATATTTGACCTCTGCAATGGACACACCGTCTAATGCTTGATTTGTTTTCTGTGGCATGAATACTTCCAGCTTCATGGAGTTGGCATTAATATAGTATATCTTGGTCTGACCATCTCAGAATTCCGGCAGAATTCAAAGCACTACATTTCTAAATTTTCTAGCTTAATTTCAGTTCAAAGTGCAGCTGCTTGATTTAGCAGGGTAGCCTAATACAAACAGTGTTTCTAATTTGAACTATTTTGCTTGTATTAGTGTAGGAGACTGTTATGAGCAAAGGTGCATTTTCTTTTGCTAACTGTCCTGATAGTGTTTGGGTTCTCATCTCATCTCTTTTGGTTGGTATTCTTTCATATTTTTTACATTTTAAGTGTTACACATCCAGGCCTCACATCCTTCAAATGAGCACATCTGTTGCCAGATAAATACAACCCTTAGGCACAACTCTTAAGGATGTAATGTACTGACAAATGATACTCCAGTAGTTGTAGAAAGTTGCAGAATTGGAGTAATGACAAACCTATTTTATCCATCACAGAAAAGTGATTTGTCTCAGCTGGGTCAACTTGCCTCTGAGAATCACAGTTGCAATATGTTCTCTCTTTAATGTTGGCTAGGGATATGAAAATTACTTGCTTCAAAGGAAAATCTCTGAAAACCTCACTCCAGTAACATTTATTCAAGCAATCTAGCACTAGATCGTTGGCACAGTCAAGACTTCTGAAACTGTTCACATCTTCAAATTGACTGATTTGTAATTCACAAATTACACTGACATCAAAAAGACGTTTCTTCTGCTAAAGGGGTGTTAGTTGGTAAAACAGAGCCATGAGCAGGACCACTGTAGCCAAGCTCAAGTTAAGCCTCCTGCCCAAACCACAGAGGAGTAATAACAAAGTCTGTTGACATAAACAGTGTATTTTTCACAACACTTTGTAGTTTGTTCGTTTGTTTAACTGCAGCCTGATCTACTTGTATAAGCCCAGTCAGGGGTGTAGCACCAAATAATGGGCCCTGTACATTCCCAATGTCAGTGGGCCCCTATTCATGCCAGTGCACGAGGTGTGTGAGCAAAAAAAAAAAATCAGGATTATCATGGGCCCGTCTCCCTACTCGAGCCCTGGGTAGTTGGGTCCACTTTTCCCCCCACTCCCACACCCATGAGCCCATAAAAAAACAGCAGGAAAGGGCATATCAGGGCTGGGCGGTGTGTTTCTACCTTTAATCAAGATGTACATGACACTAGATTTAGTATATCTCAGCAGGAATAAGTTCACAGCATTGTTTTGGGGTTGCAGAATCTTTTTTTTATTATTTCATTTTTATTTAAGTACTTTATGTATTGTTTATGTCTGTATGTGTCACATTGAAGTTGCTATTCTACATCCTCTTGTCTTGTTGTGAACATTAGTTCCTGCCTGTCGTCTCAGGTAGGACAGGTACGGGTGTGACAGTATACAATCTCATGCTGTATTAGCATGCTGTAGTGGATGTGATCCAGAGTCAAGAGCTGGGGGCTGTGCCGTCTTGCTGTGTTGGTGCTGATAGTTAAAACAAGAAGACGAATTTTGCAATAGATTTTTTAGATCTGCTTATTAAAAGAACTGGCGAGAGTTACCGACCAAGAATAGGGCATACCATGTTATCGGCGATATACAGTTAGACTGCATCATTAGCTTTCCACAGTGCTCTTTCTTGTCATACATGATGCAATGAGAAAAGGATAAATCTGAAGTAAGCAGGTTTTTGCAATTACTTGTTGGCTGTAACGGTCTTTGGTGTTTCATAGTGAAACATGTTTCTCTTACACAGCTGCATGCTTCTGTTTAAGATGTTAAAATAAATTGGTCTTCAGTTGCCTTTAGTTGCCACAGCTTTCGAACAAACCTCCTAGCAGACTTTTTGTTTGAGGTCTGGCTCTACCACAAGTATCCAGTTCTAAATGACTGTGCCATTTTGGGGACAAAAAACTGTAATACACCGAGCTACTGCCTGGGATTTGTCAGCTAAAAGTTGACATATAACAGGCAAAGAGGTTGTAGGCTCCAGCAGCCACAGGTGAACAGAGAAAATTAAAGAAAAATCAAGGTTTTAATTTTCAAAGATTGTCCTTTAAAAGGCGCCAATGGCCAGAGTGTGTGTCATAGTGTGTCCCATATATAAAAGTCACTCTTCACATGGGCAGCTAGGGTTCATATCCAGCCTGAGGTCTCTGCCCTGCATGTCCTTGCTCTCTCTACCAATTTCCTGCTCTGTTGACTGTCCTGTCCTCTACAAATAAAAAAGCAAAAAAGCCTGAAAAAAAAAAAAAAAAAAAAAAAAACTTGCAAAAAATATTTTTTTTTAAATTACGATGACAATTCTGTTTACCTGATCCAAACAGGTAAACAGAATTGTCCACCTAAAGGGAGGATGACATAGATTTTAAATATCGCTCTTTTTAATTGAATCTATCTGCTCTACATGCATGTGCTGTTTAATAAACTACTATGACTTAGTTCTACATATAATTGAGATACTTGAATTGACCTGACAATGAGCAATGAAAGGGCACACAGATATGCAGCATGATGCTACAAGTGAGACTCACCTGCTGGACTTAGCTGTGTCTGACTTTGGGTGGGGCTTTGTCAGAGGGGATTTGTTCACTGCCTTTGCCTGCAGTTTGGGCTTTGCACCTATAACACAGATTATGAACCACACACAGATCCTTTTTAAATAAATGTTTGTCAGCTAGACAACTCAGAGAACATCAGATACAACCACACATTTTCCTCTACGGAACTCTTAAATTAGGAAAAAGTAAAACAAGCTTCAGGGAAGGGGTGGTGTGCTGCTCGTGTGCGAGCTCACATCACTGTTATTTAGTAAGGGTGGGGTACAGAGACACATGCTGTGCTGCAGCAAGTCTGACAGCTGAGGCACACATTAGTGGTTGATTCCAACATCAGCTGTGATTACCCCTCCTCCTCAAAACCATCCTCACAACAAAAGCTCATAGTGATCAGTCACATCCCCCTGTGTGACAGCTGTATGGGGCTTTGACCTCTGCTGTTAGTTTGTACACTGACACCAGCAGTCTGCCAAGGACAGCCTTATGTGTTTTGTATCCTGATAAATCAACATTCATACATGACACTGTCCTTGTCTTCTCAAAATCCCTCTTGGCAACTGCACAACATTCATCCTACTAATTAGCCTACAGATCCGTTTATATTCCAGCTACAGTGTTATGCCTGGAGCTGACTCGCTGACACTTCAGCTTGGCTCCCATGATGTCCTGTATTGTAATTGGTGTCAGTTAAAACGATTAAATGGATGGAAGTCAATAAAGAGTGTAAACCTGGGATGGGTTGGGTGTCATTGCGAGGGCTGCTGGCACCGTTTTCTGGTGAGACACTGCCTGATGAGGGTGAAGCGCTGGGCTGAGCTAGGGTGGTGCCAGCAGTGTCAGACTTTCCTGCTGAGCTCTTCTGTGCCTTCATTGATGCTGTTAGGCTTGTAGATGTGCAGCTTGGGGGAGATGTTTTAGGTCGTGCACCTGGGTTTGGCTTCTTTTCCTGCTCTTTAGCTCCATGAAAGCTTCTGGGGCCATTGGCACTTGCAACATCCCGTCTGGCTCCTGAAGTTCCTGTGCCATTGACAACTGGTGATCCAGCTGTTGTTGTTGTCTTTGCTTTTGCTGCTGCACTCCTGTCTCCAGGTTTCTTTACATTCTTTACCTTGGATGTGTGACCCTCCGCTGGTTTGTTTGCTGTCCCAAGTCCATCAGACTTCATGGCTGATGTGGCACTTCTGGAGGAAAAAGCTGTGTTTTCAGACACCCTCTGGGTTCTGCACACAGGAGGGCTCTTAGGTGCAGATGAAGAGCATTTTACAGCCCTTGACTACAAATAAAAGAAACCACATTAGTAGACTTAATTTTTCCAAGGCAAAAAAATGGCTGGAGGCATTACAGATAATCCATTTAAAATGGATAATGACATAAAAGTCTATTGCATTTATCTGTAATGTTCTGGAGTAACATAGTACACCACCCTTGTCTTGACTTTCCTGTATCTGACTGACTGTATTGTCAGAAAGTTTTCCACATATATTATACAAAAACACCACTGTTGCGGGATGACTTGGCTTTGAAAATCCGAAGCTGAAATGGTGATAATACATTAGCACTTGCTGTACAAAAAATCGTGTGATGATGATACATCACCATTCTGATTTAGTGAAGAACACAAATACCTCCAAAGGGTGGATTACAAAGTCCATGCTTAATGATACCATAAGGTATGAAGGGAAATCTGTCTAGAGGGCTATACTATTTTTTAATTAAATACTAAAAATTGGCATCAGGGATTCTATAATTATATAAAATTATTATTTTGTCCTGCCCTGCGCAAAGCAATAGAATAAAAAGCTTAAAAACAGAAAAAGGTTCACATTTTAGAGCGATAAAACCACTTTCAGAGAGTTCTGCACAGTTCAAGCTCCACAACTCTGAACCACTCATGCCTTCCATCCTAATAATCCTTGTCTGGATTACCTTAGCCGGGCTTATATTTGCTGTGCATCTGTTAAAAGAGGTCCTGCTACTCACTTTATGCTGTATCCTTTGACTGTGCATGTGGGGCATGTATGATACATGACATCAGATGTCTGTCAGGGATTACACAAACTTAAGTGGATTTCTCTGAGCTAAAAAAAGACCTGTTCATATCATCAGATTAATTTAAAGCCAGGGTTAGTATCAATAAACTAAAAGGCAAAAAGCATGAAAAATAAATGTCAGTGTGTTGCTGAATGCTTTTACCTGTGAACTAGTGAATACAGGCTTTTTACCCAGTCTTCGGTTGTCCCCTTTATCAATAGCATCTATTAAAAAGGACAAAAAGATAAACAGAACTCTTATTTAGCCTGTGAGAATTTCACCTGCAAAACAAATCAATCAAGACCAGTGAAAAAGGTTTAACAATGTCCTTTCAACAGGCGGCAAAGGTCCGTCTTTCTGCTACAGGAGCTGTTTTTTTCATTAACAAACTCCCCCCCCGACACCCTTTGTTGACCCTCTGACCATGAGAAAATAAACATCAGATCAATACGCTGATCAGTCAACAATGTCTGGAAAGACTATTCAAAACAAAACAAACCATTTCTGTTATTTATAAGAACACACTTAAGGTTTTCAGGATTTATTTCATGAAGTCAAAAATGAGTTAAGTTAAATTTACTGTATTAGCTCAATACGTCTGTGATTTATGCCTACAAGATCTGGACTCCGATTACAGCAGCAAGTACACACTGATTCCATCCGAATCAATAATTCATGCTTTGAGTTTCAACACACTATTGGCTCAGCAGTGAGGAAACAGAATCTTATTTGTATTCGGGGAAGCTTTTAATCATGTGCAGACCCGCTAAGCTGAAATTCTGCCTCTCACTCCCACCCACTGACACAAGCATGGCGGGTTTGGTGCATTTATCATGTTAGGGTCCACTCAAGACAGTTAAAAAGAAAGCTCACTTAAAGTAACAATTTCTAACAAAAGCACTGCCCAGGATATAAATAGGTTAGTAGTGGTCAGACAGCTGTGAAGGAAGAAGATGTTAAATGTTTTATCAGCTAACAGCATACGCTACAAGGGCTTTGGTTCAATCTCAGATGATGCAGAGCCTGTGCAAAGCTGGGTTAAGGCAGGGAGGAAAATAACATCCACACACACCGCATTATAAATATCCAGTGTGAAAGTACAACAAGAATATCCTTACTTACCTGCAAGAATCCTTTCTCTGTGTTTGGAAGAAAGGGTCTCCCATCCCTGTGTGTGGCGGACCGCATAAAAAGTCTGGAGCAGGAAGGTCCACAGCCGACCACGTAGCGTACAAATCTCTCGCCTGAACGGCTGGCAGACACACAGGAGAGAGAGGCAGAGGAGAAGAATGGAAAGGGGTGCGCTACAGCACAAGCGAATCAGCAGCTGCTTGAAGAACCTTTCGCCATGGCAACAAATACCCCTCCCTCCCTTCCTCTCTCTGTCCCTCCCTCCCCCTTCTGTCTGTGTTGCAGAATCCACTTGAGCTCCCTTGAGTGAATCAGTGATGTCAGTGGCCGCTGCCCATACTCCTGTCTCAATGCCTGATTATAAAAGCAGGGCTGGAGAGAAAGGAGGAGCTTTCTCTGCCTCCTCCACTGCACTAACCACACACACCCCTGACCAGCAGAAACACAGCCAGATTAGTGAAGGCCACTGGCACACGTCACACAGTCTCCCTTAGCTAATCCATTCTGCCATACTGTATGGTATTTACAGGGGATCTACGCTTTAACTCGTGCAGCCAGGTCACTTTCTACTGAAGTCACCACACAAGCTTAACCTTCCTGACTACACAATTGATTTGGTTAGTCTGTAAATCTCTTGACTGTTTATTGGACTATTGGCTGATTGGATCAACAATGATCTTTGACATTATTCAGTATAGTGCTGCTCAGTTTGTGTAGGGGTTCAACTGTACAATTTCCTGTGAATACTTTACCACCATAATTTCATATCTTAACTTTGCATTAATATTTAAATGCACTTAATGGAAAGATTGGTGTTGGATTACAGGAATAATATCATGCTTCATCTTAATAACTTGGCTTTTTGAAATTAAAAATCAAGATTTCCAGTACTAATCGCCATGCACACAACAATTTTGATGAAATATAACTGAGTGGGGATGATTAGCCTCAAATAGCAGAAAACACTAACATTAATTTCCCTCTTTTTGGTGGGATGACTACTGTGCTCTCAGCGCAAACTGGACCCTCCTAAACTCTCCCCTACAATTCGTCAATCTACAAAAGGCAGTTACTCCAACTGTCCTCCAGAATACGAATGTTAAGATTGTTTTTATATACCTATTTATAAAGTAATTATGACTAGTAGTACACTTAGCTTCAAACACAAAACTGATGCTTTGTTTGTAAAAAGGCCCAAGAGCAAATGTTGTTTTTAAGAAAAATAAGCTCATTCAATGTGTGTAATGTTCTGATGACTTCGTTTTTGGGGTGCAGTGAGCCTAGCTGCATGACATTTACAGAGAGCATGTAGTCAAAAAGACAAAATTTAAACCCTCCTGACTACCCTCTTTATGTGGCTTTTGATCTCCTTCCCTCTGGACTCCGTTCCAGGATGTACAGAACTAAAATAAGGTGTGCCAGAGCTTTTTTTTCATACCTGTACAATAAGCATACTAAATTTGCTCTCTAAATCTTGCATTACCTTTTGTGATATTTTTCTCTTTGTGTATCTGGATCTTTTTGCTCTAAATTCTTTTTAAACTACATAGTTTCAGGTCTTTGAATATACAGTTTTCAGTAGTCAAATGTATACCTTGATAATTTATTGCTCTATTAATTATCTTATTTTGACTAATGTTTACTTATTTTTAATCCAAATTGTGCTGCTCTCTGACTGCTTGGAAACTTTGTGGGTCATAATTGTCCTGTTCGTATTTTGTTCCATTTTTTATTTCATGCCTGCTGCAAACCAAATCTCCTTTGGGATGATAAAAACTTGAACTGTTTTTGTACCGTACTGACAGTTGTACGCAATAAAACTGAACATGGCAGATGGTTAGTGACTAGACTTGTGTAACTGTCTGAATGAATTTGGCTTAGCTATGAAAGTTAAAATAAACAACTCACAGTCTACAGTAATGTGATCTAGTAAATTTGAGACTCAGAGGACATACGTGTCTGGCTGGAAGCCAAACAAAAAATAAAATTAAAAAAAAAAACACAAAAAACACCATTGCAAATGATCTTAGAGTTATAAATGTGTTTAAGTGTCTCATTTTTAGACTATTTATCATTTATATCACAGCCAAGCAGCATCAGAAACAACATCCCAACCAGGTCAGCAAAGGGGTTACAAACCCAAGTTGGACAACTCTTGCACACCAATTCAGACTAACTCTATGTTGTTTCTACTTGAAGACCTTTGTTTTGGTCTGAAAGGAAATTAAACAATGTGCTCCTCAAAAGCCATATGACACCCTGCATCCACAATGAACTCCAGCAAAAGATAATGAGGGACATTAAAGCATCAAAAGGGTTCTTTGAAAAGATTTCTAATAGCTTTAGGGAGACAGTGATGATTGCTTCCTGACAGGAAGCAATCATCACTATCAAGAAGGTTAAGTTTGACTCATGCCTGTAGTTTAGTTAATATATTGCTATTGCATTCAAACTGATGAAACAAAAACGCCAGTAATAGTGACTGTGCACCACTTATTCATTTGGATATTGAGGTGGTCCTGGTGACTGACGACCTTGAAACTTCAACTGGGCTGAAAGAATTGTTGACAACACTGACGTCTAGATGCTTTCTGCATTATTTTGTTGTTGAGGATAAATCATTGACAATTTCAATTTGATTACATCAAATACAAAAAAATACATATCATAAAATTGGAACTAAAAGCTGTGATGCAAGCAAACCAAAGAGTGATTTTAATTTTCAGTACTCAAATACTGACCTTTTTGTCACACTGTTTTTCAAGTAAGCTCTGGTTCCATCAAAGCTCTTTTTTTCAGGCTTAAGTCCCCCCCTTCTTTGGTTGCTTAGAGCTCAGAATACTCCCAGATGAACAGCTGACATAGACATTAATCAGGACATAACAGATTTAGTCAAACTGCAGCTATTTTAAAAGCAAACTGAAAACATACCTTTTTAGTCTTGCCTCTAACTGAATTTTATATCATTAACTTTGTTTAAGTGTTTTAGCATTTATCTCTTCTGGTTTTAATGACAGGATTGTCTTTTATTGAGCTATTTTGGTGCTCTTTCTTTAGTATCTTTTACTGCTGTTTTTATTTCATTTTATTTATTATTTCTTAAATTTCATTCTATGCTACTTTGTTTTTAGGTTTTAACCTAAACCTGCAGTGTTTCCTTATCTTGACTTTTAAAATGATGTTTCCTCAGTGCGCACACTCCTGTTTCCACAAAATCAAGCCCTTTTTAAGTTTATGCATTTTAATACTGTTTCTGATGCATTTAGATTGTGGGGTGGGAATGAGGGGTTGGGCTGGGGTAGATTTGGGTATTCTTTGTTTCTTTTACTTCTTTTTCTGTGTAAAGCACTTTGTGCTACATGGTTGTGTATGAAAAGTGTTATATAATTAAAGACTGACTGAAACTGCAACCATTTCAACCTTCCAATGCTGACTTAAGTTTTTTGGTCCTTATTTACATTTTATAAGTTGTCATCTCAATGATCCTAAAAAATAACACTCAAGTCAAACCACAATACACCCACACAGTGTTAGTTAAACCAAAGGATCTGCTATTTCACCTCCTCTTGTTGGTACATTCCCAGCTCCAGGTAAGAATCCTCTTCTGTGTCCTCCCCACACAGAGTGTACACAGCAGAGTAAAGATCACAGCAGTTATCCACAGTCACACCTTCTCTTATGGCTGAACACAGCTTCTTCAGCAATGTGGGTTCTCGGGTGAACTCTTCCCTCTGTAAAGATGCATAAAAAACTGTGAGAAAAGGGCACTACAAAAACAGGACAGTGTATGATCACTGCTGCCTCACCTTGCGAAGGTCCCAGAAGGCTTGAGTGTGTATTGCTTTGGGGAGATGCTGAACAATGACAGTGAGGCTCTCCTCCTGTAGCTCTGTGGCCAGACTACGAACCTGTTGGGCCCACTTCACTTCTGGGAGGCTGCCAAGCAACTGCTCAGTGCCACAGAGCATGGTTACTGCGTTCTGCACAGTCTGAATGGAAACATTTATCAGCTCAAGGCACTTTCTTAAGGTGAGTACACAAAATACAGTCAAATGAACACAATCCTTATGGAAAGAAAAAAAAAAAGTGTACTAAAAAAAAAAAAAAACAATTTTTTAAGTGTTTCTGCTTACTTTAGCCAGTTCACCCAATTGGCTACAGGTGTTTTCTTTCACCTTAACCATAGATTTGGTACAACAGCTGATTGACCAGTGTACAGCGTAGTTCAATTTACAACTAATTTTTCAATATTGGTACCCAGGCCCTCCGACATGGAGGGACAACTGGGTTAACTGACCTAAGCCCTGGGTCAGCGGGACCACTTAAATATGTATAAGAATAATTTCGAAAAATGTGGTTCCGTTATCCAAAATGTATTTTATTTAAGTTACTAATAAACATTTTCCTTTTTTATATTCTTATTTTTCTTTGAAATAATGTTCAAAAACTCTTATTCTCTAACTTTAAAAGTTCTGACCCATGCCCCTCTGCTGTTTCTGTGAACTGTCAATATACACACTCAAAAAATCGAAAAAGGAAAAAAAAAAAGAAAGATCTTTGAGAATTCATAAACATTTTTTAAAGATGTGAAGTAAACAACAAAGAAGAGGTGACGGTTAAACAGAGAAGGAAAGAGGGTTAAATACTTCAACAACCGCCTATGGCGTTTGAACAAGCTTAATGTTGATGTCTGATAGTGTCCACTGTCAGGAGATGAGACAGAGGAGGAGAAAGCAGGGCAGGAGGGGCTGAAGCCTCCTGCACAGGTCACAGGGAGAGAGAAGGAAAGAGAGAGAGAAAGAGAGGGAGAGACAGTGACAGCAATCTGGGAGGGGCTCGAGGGGTTCACCAGAGCTAGCGGAAAGAGTCGATTCAGTCAGAGCAGTGAAGACTAGAGACAGAAAAAGGTGTAAGTGAACCAAGGAAGTCACATGCTTGATGCAAGTGTCAATTCATCAAAAGAGGAGCATACCAAGTGTTGGTATCATTATTGTGGATTAAAAATACAAATACTTCAAATCCATGGTCTGATTTATTTTTATCACTGTGTGAGTAAATCCTGCCATGCTGTCTGATGCACTTTCATTCCTGTCCAGGACCTACTGATCAGTGAAGGGAGTCCCTGGATTTTATGACAGTTCTTGGCCAAAATCTGAATCTCAATACTTGCCAAGAGTAAACAGTAGTACAGTTGCCTCAGTCTACTCACAGTGTACTCAGCTCCTTTCCAGTGATGAAAGACAGACTCAAAATGTCATTACCAATAACACGACTGGATCACCCCCATCCGTCTACGTGCACATCATATCCCTAAATTAGTCCCTCTTTAATAACTGAGAATTTAATCAAAGTCATCTTTAATCAGATCATGTTTGGGTTTCCTTCCTGTGGAAAAACACTGCAGAATAAGCTGATGATACTTGTGCAATTACATGAATCCAGTGCAGCTGATGACAGTGTGGGAGGAAGAAACTCACCATCGTTTCCATTACAGCAGTTAGACAGACTCTCTGGAGCTCAGGGGACAAGAGGGAAAAATTTCTCTCACACCAGGTCTTTACGAAATGCTCAGCGACCCACCTGAAATTACATTTAATTATGCACATTAGCTGGGCATAACTCATTTTAAAAAGCACTTCATTATCAGGAGCATTTCTGCAGTCAGTCAAAGTCATGAAGACCTGTCAAAGTTTCTGCAGTGTAATCAGGCGCTAAAAGTCTAAGCAGAGCTTTGCTCAAGGAAACAATGCAAAGAGTGAAGATGAAAACATCTCTGACACACTGCTGCACAAAGCAGCAACTCTTGCTTCACCACCATACTCGCATGACTCGTCAGGATCAGCACAGACAACCTGACAAGGCCACTTGGCCCCCCTGCACACACACAGCTTTAAATCAGAACTAGCTCACAGCCTTGCTCAACACATCCTTTCCCCCTGACCTACATTCACACACTTCTTGTCCGCTCACTGCAGTGTGGGGAAAGCACAGTCAGCTCACAGTAGTTATCAACCACAAGACAACTTGAATTAAGACATTCAGAGTTGGTGTTCACGGGGATGAATAGAAAGTAATAACAGCTGAGCAGCTTTTATCATCCATCTCCTCCTGCAGGCTAAATCTTAGTGTCATTTTCTAGTCAACCGTCTCTAGAAAGCCTCAGCCTTTTTCATCTGAAATTTTGGACTGTTAAGTAAAAATAATCTGAATAAAACTTTCTCACTGCCCAAATAATGCATCACATGAAGTGTTATGAGCTTATACCTGTAAGCCCATACCTTTAAAGCTGTTTTTGAAGCAACTGCTATGACTTCTGCTTAACCTTTGATTTTCTTTTTGTGCAACTTGGTATGGTTTTGGTCTTTGGTTGTTGGAAAGATGAACCTTCGGACAAAACTCTCAGTCCTCTTTTTCATCTCTTTTTTTTATCATTGGGAATTTACTTAGTTGATTAAAAATTAAATTCTTGTAACCACGTAAAACCAAACATGAATGGCCATTGTAAGATTGTAATACATTTTACAGCTTAAAATGGGCTTTAACTCCTATTAAGGCTAACTACTTTATAGAAATAAAGCTTCCTGCAGGCTTCTTTATGACACAGAAGTATGATCCCACTTGCTGGTTACCTAGCAACAAAATGCAGATGTAAACTGCAGAGACAACAGTTAGGACATGCTGCAGTTTTTAAAAGGTCAGGTTAAACAGCAATTAAAATCTAAAAACCATAATTCAATAAAGTGTTTTTTTTTTTATTCAGTTTAAAGTGCTGTTGAAACTCACCTCTTACACAACACATGGAGGTTTTGAAGGCCTAAGGCATGTGTGAGGGACAGGCACTCAAGAACTGTTCTCTGAACCCCGTCACTGGGCTACAAAGAAGAGAAAAAGACACAGGTATTCATAGTCACACTCTAATTTCATCTGTGGTCAACAATACTGTCATGAAATGTACTAAAAAAAACTATACTTTGTAAAATCAGGAGGGAAAGATTCTTTGAAAAATGAAACAGCTTCATAGTTGTTGACACTAAGCATGCAGGCCCCACACAAACTCATCAAGTGAGAGCTGAACAAATAGAAAAGGATTTCAAGACCTGTCTTTTCAGCTGTTATGCTCCAATTTCTACTAAACAAATGATCTTTAGGTAAACAAGGGACAATATACTGATCTGATATCCCATCATTAGAAATACAATTAATCACATGGTTAAAATTGTAACACCACATCTGTAACATTTGGATTTGAGGCAGATTTTGTGTGGCTAAAATCTTTGCTAATATTATAATTTATCTATTATTACAAAAAACCACTCTTGAAGGCATTGTCGGCATGTCCTCCTTCAAAGCTGACCTTAGGGAAGAAACGGCAGTAATCTCTAGTCAGAACCATCTCCACAACGTCTTTCAGTCCTTCCAAACCCAACATGTCTGCTGCCAACACCACCTGACTGCAAGAAAACATATCCATGTCAGCTTGATTTTGGCCTGTAGCTGTTTGATGGAGAACTTGCAGATCAAATTTTTACTGTTTAGTAAGCAAAGCAGTGAGGGTAAGGAAAAAAGATGACAAATAAAAAGTTCCTACGTCAATAATCCTATCCCAAATAAAAAACTTTGTCTCACATAAATTAATATTTCATGGAAATCTAACCACCAGCTTGTGTTAGCTCACTCATTTAGTATGTATCCATTAACTCTTTCTGTAACAACCCCAATCCTAAAATGTTGGGATGCTTTTTCTCTGGATTCTCTTCTCACTTTCTTCATTCCTCGAATTTACAAAGTAGTGAACCATAAGACCCTCTATCAATATCTTGACAAATGTTGGCAACGCTTACAATAATGACCTGTTCTGAAATGCTAACCTTTGTCTTTCGCATCTTGTTTTTTAGTTTGTCTAAGTTCGTTTCAATGAGGAAAATAAATGAAAATCAAAAAAACAGACATGAGTATGGTCTGATATATTACTGTTAGAATACAGGCTTTTCTTTATAGAGAAAATACATGTTTGTAACTCTTCCTCTTAAATAAATACTTCAGTTTTAAATGTAAAGCCCTTAGTTTTTATCATTCTGTTCACACACAGTACCTGGCACTGGCTCCAGGTGGTAAATCCACAATGGCCCCATACATGAACTGGAGCAGGATCTCCATCTCATCTGGCCCTAACCTGCAAAGGTACAGTTATCTGTTCAGAAGAGATTCTACAGAGTTGTTCCCAATCACAGTCCACACTTCAGGCACAAGTCCAAGCACACTGCTAATTCTGCGGTTGTGTTTTCATGTATTTGCTGCAATGAATACAATGAATGCAGACAAAAATATGAATGCTGTAAAGTAAATGCAGCATCGAGCCCATGTGACAGCAGCCTGAGGACCACTTCACAGGTTTCCCCAGAACATCAATGCTGCTGCTCTGCTGCTGACAGCAGTGTCTTCCCCCCTTACCCTCAGATCAGTAATGCTGAGGAGAGTGACATGCTGTTGGTCCCTGAAGGGAAAAGTGGGCTTCATTTGCTTCTGCCTCAGAAAGACTGTGGGTAGTAGTGAGGGGGGTGTGGGTGGTAGTGTGGACTCCTCAGCAGGCAGTGGATGAGAAGACATTTCTGAGCCTTGCAGAGAGATGACAACAACTCTGCTTGGTGGAAATCTGAGCAAGCCATTTGAGATTCCTCTGCCAGTGGGTGGCTTTGAGTGTTTAAGTGCGTGTTGGTATGTGCAGTTAAAACCTGGCATTGTGCATGAAACCCCACTTACTGTACTGAGCCACCTCTGTTACAAAGGCATGAATAATACATGCTGGGTATGCAGGAATTTAGCTGTATTGTTATGAAATGAAATGTGGAATTGTTGGCCAGAAGTGGAGGTGTATAACTGATCCATGTGACCCTCTCCTCGATGACTCTGATGCACCAAGTCTTACCCTTGCAGTGTGATGCACTGTCTGGAGCTCTCCATCCAACTCCCGCTCAGCATGGCTCTGAAGTACTGAGACCGCGCACACAGAATTGCCCTAGAAACCCAGTAAAGTAGACAGTTGCATGTCAGATTCACCCACTACTTCAATAATTCAAATGTCATCTAGTGTGCCTGTGTTTATCTGAGTGGCTCTGAAGCAGGACGAAGAAAATTACAGCGTGTGTTCTGTATTCTCTGTAGATAGTGTTTTTATTCTCCTTGGCTTCTCAGAATAGTCCACTGATGTGGAAATACATAGCCACTGAGGTGCTGGTAGTTCTTAATTAGCTCCCTTTAAGGACAAATCTCAAGAAAACATCAAAATCAACAACACATTTATCACAAATTACAAGTAATGTCTGATAACTTATAGGGTATACATCCTGTATACAGCTATGTCATAAATAGTCCAACTGTACCCCATAACTATTTTAAAAAATGGGTTTGGAAACAGTTTTGACCATTACACTGTTTACCTGGCTCAACCCAATATACATTGGCATGCTGCCAAAATTATGGATTAATCTAAAACTGTTTCCCCTAAAATGCATTTCAACCTTACAATCCCCCTTAATTGAGAAACATACTCAAGAAACATCTTTGCACAGCAACATAAATGCCCAACAGTTTCAGAAGACACTTCTGACCTGTTTTTTTTCTTTTTGTTTAATTTACGGTTTCATTAGGAGCCAGTAGGGGCTCACAGCTACAGATGGGGCAGGGAAATCAAAAGGGATTTTAGGAAGGTGTTGTTGGTTTTGCTTTGTTTTTCTTTGGGATTTTGTGGATGCCCCATTAATATCAGCCTTACTGTAGTCAGCCTGAAAAAATCTGTAGCAGAATTTTTGTAATGATATCCTTCTGTTCCCTATTTTGACCTGTGACTTGCGCCTCCATATTTTTACCCTTGACTGAAGTTAAAACACCTTCTTTTCTTGTGTTATCAGTGAATTGTGCCGTTAAGAACTGTAATGTTTTTCAGAAATTTGCAGATTCAAGCGAAGGGCCCTTTTAAGATTTATGACTAAATGTTTTTTTTTTCTACAATATGTTCAATGTCTGCAGTACTCACACATTTCTCTGTTACCTTATCTTAGTTCAATTAATTTGCCATCCATGAATGAGAACACTATCAGCACTGAAAGAAAGAACCCCCAGCAGCTAAAAACATACAACCCTTATAACTCTGAAAAACAAATTTCATAGTTCAATATTACAATGGCCTGATGAGATGCTAAAAACTCTATATTATTCCACTAGAGCTGTGAAGTCCTAGTCGAATTGGTCAATACCTGCATAGACAACCAAAATTCTGATTGGTCGACTCTACCGCATCAATTTACAGTCTATGGTTAATTTTATCAGGAGGAACTTACTAAGTGCTAATGGGGGTGTTTCATAGCACCCCTGTTTCACAGGTAACAGCCCGTCTCAGAACACCCCCCTTGTTTTCACTATTTTGGATGGAGACTGGCTGGAGACAAGAAGATTGTGGAGTGTCCATGCTCATCAATGTCTGGTGGTTTGCTGGATATTTATTTTTACAAATAACATTAAATATAAGAAGAGGTAAGTACAGTGCAGACTAAAATTACTAAAAGAGCATATCAGGAGAGCTACAGTAATTAGCAACCATTCCAAAATATACTAGAAGAAGTTGGGCAAGAGGAGAGCAAAGGAGCCATGTAAGGACTATAAAATAATTTCACTTGAGTGGTGAATAATGGTGCTCTGTTGCCCTGGGTCTCAATTTTTTGATGCACTTTGGAGCAGAGGCAAATCGGGTAAGTTGCAAGAATGAGCTGGCACTTCATCTACAATATCACTGTATCAAGGAAATTGACCAAGAGTGAATCATAAAATCAGGATTCCCACGAGCAAGTATTGGATGATACCATACTCAGGAGAAATGATTTTAATAAAATTATTGTATGCTAAATAATAAAATTAATAAAAAATTAATAAAATTAAAGTATGCTAAAAGTACTTTTGAAGTATAAAGGAAAAGTTGAAAGGGCTCAGGATAAAAAGCCTGAAATACTTCACAGGGAAACCAGCAACAAAATTTCAGGGTGCATAGGTAGAAGTTATTTGTCAACCCTAGGATCCAGGACATGCAGGTATGTCCAAATGATTCTCCCATGAAGCTAAGATCATTCGTATTCTGGATATAGGTGCAAATAGAAATGAAATGTGATGGAAAACTGAGCAAAAATAAGCTATTCTAGCCATTTTTCATACAAATATGGGATAACACACAAATGGAAAAACTCAAAAAAAGCATTTTGCACTATGAGGAAGTAATATTTTACACAAGCAGGCAAGTGGGGCTGACTCCAGATGAGGTCAGGACTGTATAATGTGCCAAATATGGTGATTTTCCACCTAACGTACCACGCATTTTGACTAATTACTCAAAAAGTTATGGAATGCCCATCCTGTAACTTGCAGGGATGCTAGTGGACATGATAGTCTTTCTTAAGTGTGAATATGAAGAAAATTGAAGGACGCGCGTTTTTTGCTATTTCCAATTTAAGTGTTTGGTCTTTTAAAACTTTTTTCTGGTCCAATTTGGGAAAAAATGACACCTGAATCAGCTCTCTAGGTGCCATACTTCCAGATATATGAACACTTTTGTAACGCATGTCATGCTGGTTAGCCAAAAATTCATTAGCCCCTATCTCACTAATTAGATGGCTTTGAACAAAAATATTTGAGCTCTGACAGTTTCTCCTGAAGGCCAATCACCTCACCAAATTTCATCAAAATCTGTGATGTGAGTGGCGATTCTTGGTTAAATTGACATGGAATGATCCAGGTGTAATATGTTTCATTGATACTGATGGGTATTTGTTTGGAAAAGGCCATTGTTTTCCCAGAGACTTGAACTGATTCATCATAAAGTAGATGTAGAGGCGTCAGATAGGAGAAGCCCAGGTTCAGCCTGTGGGTGAAAGCAGCGGCAGCTAACACTGTGCTGCAAAGCAACCACAAACAGGCCAGCTTCTGCTCTTTGATGAGTGCTCACTGGCTGGCTGCCTCTGAGCATGAGCTGGAAGAGACCTGTCTCCATGGTAACGAGCTGCTACTACTACCTCTGCATCACTGAATGACCAGCCACGAGTCAACGGCAAATGCCAAACCTCTGTAGTATTTAATATGGTTCATTTGGCTGTGGTTTATCTGACTGTGATGTACTTACATGCCCTGACTAGGCAATCAAAATATGACAAAAACAAATAATCAATCAAACAAACAGAAAACATACTTTTTGACTCCAAATGTTGATAAGGTGAACCTTAAATAAGTCTACCTGTGGCAGGAAAAGACCTGCTCTGCTACTTGGATGGTGATGTCACACTGCTCTCCTCTTTGGTACAGATCCAGCAAGTCAGCTCCAAGGCCTGAGGCTGGCTCAGGACAACGGTCTATAAAAAGGCAAAGAACTTTGAAGAAAAGCAGTAATAATAATGATTAAAAATAAAAAAGCAGTAAGAAAGTGAGGTGCATAACGTAGGCATTAAGGCTGCACGATATTGGAAAAAACTAATATTGCGATTTTTTTCAACCCTGCGATATAAATTGCGATATTAAAAAATACAGGAATTTTCACCAGATGACCTGAATAGCACTTAATGTTATGCTGCACTGCTGAAATCTCAAGGACAGTTAACCTGCACTGATCTTACCTCTTTTTGTGAATGTTTGTAGAATGGCTTCTGTCTGTCTCAGAGATATTTTTAGCTTTTATTGTGCTGTATGTTATTGTGGAAACAGATGAACACAGAACACGTGTTTCGGTCGACATCATCCTTCTTTTAACCGAAATAATTCCAGATAACTGACTTTCCTTTTCTTTTTGGCAACAAGTCTTCATCTTCTGTGGTTTTCTCTGTTTGTTGTTCAGTTTGCGATTGTTGTTGTTGTTACCGGGGTTGTGCTAAGAAACGCATGTCCTCCGAGAATTGCATGCACCTCACAAAACGTACACTGCTTATAGTAGAGTGGTCCACGGAAATGTACAATTTAAAACCCATACGGTTCTTATTTGTTGGGCTAAACAGTGATGAGTAATGTTCCAAAAGTAATTCTCAGCGGACACACGTTTCTCGGCTCAACTCCGGTAGCGGCAGCGACTCACTCCATGTGCAGGACATGTGCAGGGGTGGGTTGATTGGTGGATCACTGCAAAGCACATGCAGTGTATTTCAGTCAGCTACCCTTGAAATTAACTGAGTTCATTCACCTCTGACATTGCAGGCTCTGCAATGTGACTATTGCACACACGTACATCGCGATGACGATGCTCAAACGATATATCGTGCAGCCCTAGTGGACATACGTGTTTATGCAAAAAAAAAAAAAACTGTACTGTACCACCAAACAGTAAATATGCTAAAAAAGAGTTTGGAAAAAAATCAGCCTTTAAAGCACAACTTCATTCAGGACCACGCTGCAATTAGCAGTGATCAACAACAACAACAACAACAACAACAGGGATCCAAACAATGAGCTTTAAAGTGGATTACAGCTAGGACAACATGATGTGATGAAAGGGAAGTAGGGGGACAGCTGAGCTGTCACATGACCCAGAGTAACCCTCCATGATGTAATGTGTTTGTGTTTACCTGAGTCAGTGGAACTATGCAGGTCTGTTGTGTTAGGAACCGATGGGGTGATTCCTGGCACTAAGCCCTCCACATCCGGAATGATCTTAGTGAAGCGAATGCTCTGATCTGCTGTGTACACTCGCCTGGAGGGAGGAAGCATTTAAGGTTAATTAAAAGTAGGCCTTTCACGCCTCTTTGAATTACACCCTTACTTTATGCACTGAGACCATGGTGTCAAATGTGCACAGCCTGCACAGACCTTACTGCATTTACTCACTGCAGCCTGCTTCATTTCTTTCGTAGTGTCTACTTCTGAAACATCTTCTCAAATGGGCATGGATTTTTTTCTGCATGTGCAAAATATGCTGGATAATTTTTCTAAGCCTCTAAAACCCTGTTACAGTCTGCAGGAAACTCACAGACCAATTTCAGACATTGACAAAAGGGTACAAGTAAAAGTGTTGGTCTATGCCAATGCTCTCAACACAGAGGAGAGATGAGAATCATCAGTCACATGATTCAGATGAAAATGATTCAGAGAAAGTGACTACAGACTCATTTTGGCTGGGCGGCCAGCTCAAGGAAGAGTCCTGGTGGTTCCAAACATCTTCCATTTCTTGAATGGAGACCACTGTGCTTTTTGGGATCTTCAATGCAGCAGATATTTTTCTGTAACCTTCCCCAGATCTGTGCGCCGATACAACCCTGTTTCGGAGGTCTACAGACAATTCTTTGAACTTGATGGCTTGGTTTGTGCTCTGACGTGCTCCGTCAGCTGTGGGATCTTAAATAGACAGGTGTGGCTTTCCAAATCATGTCCAATCAGCTGAATTTGCCACAGGTGGACTCCAATCAAGTCAGAGGAACATTTCAAGGCTGATCAGTGGAAACAGGATGCCCCTGAGCTCAATTTTGAGTTTTATAGCAAAGGGTGTGAATACTTATGTATATGCAACATTTGAGTGTCTTATTTTTAATAAATTTGCAAAATGTTCCATTTTGGAATAAGGCTGTAACATAATAAAATGTGGAAAAAGTGGAATGAATACTTTCCGGATGCACTGTATGTCTCAAACAGTTTGGGATGTGGTGAATGCTAAAAGTGGCAGTGTACATCACCACTACAAGATAGAGGACTCCCTCGGTTTGACAGCAGAAAATTTAAATGTAAAATATTTTTTAAATGTTCTTCACATTTTTGGCCCAGACAGTAAATTACTGTACTAATACTCTCTTGAAGTATATGATCATGAGTAAGAAAAGTGATCCAAATAAATTGTAAAATGCAACTTGCACTTCTTTTGGAATTGCAATACATACAGAACAGTATCTTGTTAGTTTCAGATCTGAAAACAAGTTAATCATTCCAGCCTTCAAATACACCATAGTACTTTAATGTACGTGATCACAATTCGCATTACAGGGTTAGGTGTCCTTATTATCCAACAAAATAAGAAAAACATCCATTATTACAGTTTCTAGTAAGAAATAAAATGACATCCTGTGCTTGAATGCATGATTTCAGGCACTATTCACAGCTAGAGACAAACATATCAACTGCAAATTAATGACAGTTTCTGCCTTTGAAACGGCACCAACACCGTCAGCATTGGTTTGGTTACAATGTGTCTAACAAGATGAGGATTGAAACAAATCCTACTGTCACCTAAAATCTCCCATAATTAAAGCAACTGTAGAAAAGACAAAGACAACATTGCAAAACTGAAATGAGAATAATGTTAAAATTAACCAAAGTAACAACGTATGTGTGATTTACAACCCTGTTAATATAAGTTAAAGGATTTTAGCAATCCCAACTAATATGACTTGAACAAATCTGCCATGAGAACAAAATGTATTAGCAATGATGAGAGGAATTCAGGGTCGACATTAACAGTTAATGAACTAACATTGCAAAAATGTAATAACAGCAGGATAGGCAGAAGAGATGAGACTGAGATGGCTGCTCTGCATATGTGCACTATCATGGTGAGTATCTTACATAAATCCATCTTAACAGGGAGCTAAAAAAAAAAAAACTAAACTCAATGTAACCTGGATGTCAAACACAATAATCTTATTTTTTCTATTTGCAAAAGAAGCTTTAGACAGACTCTGAGGTAGTGTAGCAAAAGGACGCCTTTCTTCTTGTCCTAATTATAAACTGTTAATGAGACACTAACATATCAGGAGATCAAAGACTTTGAAACAGCAAGGGTCCATACCAGAAATCCTTGAAGAAAACCTTACATCTGCTGTACTAGACACACATATATACATATCAACTTAAAGCCTTCAGAGAGTTTCAGATCTTGATGCTAATATGCAGTTTATACATTTATAATTGCATAACTTGAAAGAGCCTCAAAACAAACACATACTACCAGCAAATTCTTTTGATCAAAAACTGTGTTTACTCTGACCTCTGTTGGCAGGTCTGTGAAACTGACAGACCACAGGGGACAGATAAATAATGTGTCATGACATCCTGTCCTAGAAAGCAGTTGCAAACTAAATACTTTATTTAAAACTACTGATTGGTAAAAGGAGCTTTTAAAGAGCTATACCGATATTTACAGGCTGGACTGGACCCTATTTTACATGTCTAGGAGGTACAAAAAGTTTTGCCCCAGTTTATCCCCTCAGCAGGCTGCCTTGAGATGAATGATAATGGCAGTAATTTGATGTCTTTTATTCACTGAAAAGGCTTGTTTTTGTGACTTTTGTGATTTTAAAGTGTTAGTAACAACAAAGACAGACGAAAGTCTATTTGTTGAAATGGTAAATAAACTGTGTTTATGTAGCGCTTTCTTAATCATCCTGCATTGCCCTGACAAGAACTTCCTATTCTTTTAGGAGGCACATATTAGGCTAGCTACACATGCTTCAGCATAGTTTCAGGTGTCCCCTACATGTAATTGATCGCACTGCCACAGCAAAATAAAAGCTGCCACACCGTATAAATGAGGGTTTTTTAACGCAGCCTTACCTCAGACTCAGTATGTATCAGTATATGCGGTGCACATGGGCACTGCATTGAGGGGTACGCACGGGAAGTTAATACTAATAGTGAGTTGTTGTCTGCGATCACAAAGCAGATTATTGAGTTCTCTCTCTCCCTCTTCCCCCACCACACCACCACAAATTGATTCCTGTTCACTGGGAAACACTGTAGTTTCAGGACTAAGCAAACCTAGGGTGTGTGCAATGGCAAATAAGTTTATATCAGGCTTTTGATGGCCTTTTAAATTTGAATCAAGATAACCCTTACATAATTTACCAGTTGGAAATGACAAAAAAGGTAATTTTACCACACAGAACACAAGTACATCAGTCAACTGCCTCCTTCACCACATTTTCTTGAACTGTCATATTGTTGCTCTGAAGACCCTCGAAGCAGTCAACTCGGGCAACTCAAAAACTTTTTGCATAGATAAGTGATTTAAATCATGAAAAGGGGACATGGGGCTTTGAGTTTTAATATAGAGGAACCCACTATAAGACATCACTGTACCAAAATAAAAGAAGGTCATGGGTACCTCAAATCGAAAACATAAAATAACCATTACTGTGATCATCAAAGCAGCAACCCCTGGAACCAGCAGCCTACCTGAGGAAATCCTTCAGTTCAGAAAGCTCATAGTCAGGCAGATGAATGATGGTGGGATCTTTGTGTGTGTGTCCACGAAGAACATGAGGAACCCTGGCCAGCAGAACAGCTCTGTGTGCTCGAAGGGAGCCAGAGGCAGCAAACAGAGAAACATCAGCCTCCAGCTCCTCCAGCAGTAACCTGGGGAGAAATACACAATACCTTAACAAGGGGAAACTCCCAAACTTAATAGCTGATGAGAGGAAAAGAAAATATCATTCAACTAATTATTTTTTGAGACAGTTTGGCACAATGCTCATATTGAATGAGAATTTCAAAGCCTACATGTAAAACTGAGGCTAAAAATAGGCCCTCTGCACCAACATCCAGGATCTATCAGATTCAGACATGAGTCTGACGTCCCAGTTTCCACTCCGAAGTTACAAAAGCACAGTCCTGAGGCAGTCCATTTCTTTTGTCCGCCATTACTTCTCATCTTCCCTCCATGTCTGACCCAGAAATCAGTCAGTTTGAGGCCAATGGGGCGTAAAGAGTTCAAACTCTGGTTCTGGGTTCATTACTGTAGGCTTCTGATGAGAAGTGGTCAAATTGATGGGCCACTCGTGCGAGGAGGAAACTTACATGCCCGTCAGCTCAAACCCAGCAAACTGCTTGAATCCACCTTAGCCTGATTCTTTTGAAACTCCAGTCTTTATAAGTGACCTTTACTGTAACTTTCCTCAGTGCCCAGTTTTACACTTCTGATCCCTGATCCTATTATCCAAGGAAATACTCCAGCTATGGCTTTTTTTAATGCTATGATCACTAAAATGTGAAATTCTGTTAATCTCAGGGTTTATTTTGTGACCTTAAGCTGAATCCCATCTTTTTATTGAACAGCATTTCCTTAACTCCTTTTTCCATCAGTAATTCAATTTGTATGCTTTACAAAAAAAAAAAAAAAAGGTTTGGACATGCTTTTGGTTGGTTGTGTGGCTTTTCTTCCTACAGTGATAAACATGAATCACTGTAGGAAGAAAATGCTTTTAATGATGATAAAAATATATACATTTAATTAAAATGTCAAGTAAAAGCTTTTCCTGTAGCTATTGTGAGGTTTAAGTGTGTGTGTGTGTGTGTGTGTGTGTGTGTGTGTGTGTGTGTGTGTGTGTGTGTGTGTGTGTGTGTGTGTGAGGCAGCCTGTTCTACAGTCAATCTTGAAAGCTTTTGAAATCATTACTCAAGGTCAAATGTGCCTTACTTCTTCAGATTAGACCATATCGTGCAGCTTTTTTTCCCCTTTCAGCCATCATACAACATTTAAAGTCTGTGGCAACAGAGGAAACCCCATTCTCTAATAGAAGGTCTGGCAGGGCTCTTGAAAGCGTGTTTACTGATATCTTATTCGGACTAACAAAAGACAAGGTTTATCAAGAATGGTAATGGTAACCAGTTTGTTACTTTCAATTTGTTAATTCCCACAATGATCGGTACCTCAGTACAGAAGTTCAGCTCTATTAACCATGAGTATAAAGCAGTGGATTGTCCGGTTTTCCTCTTCAGTGCCAGTGGTGTGTTGATGGCCATTGGATGGAAGCTTGCGAACAAACTAGTTTGTCTATCTCACAGTCAGCTAACACATTAGTAGCCCGTGATACTTTATTACAACTTTTAAGCTTGCTTGAAACCCATCCTTTGAAGTAATTACAGTGATTAAATCATAATTTAAAGACAAAGTTAGTATGTAGAAAAGAGATAATTTTGTCATTTTAGGTTCTTCTGACCCAAGGGTAAGGTATGGACCCAAGAGCAGACTTGCAAACAAACACAGGTGAGCTTAAAACTTTAACTGGAAACACCAAACAAAAAAACTCACAAACACTCTCACTGAGAGAGGAAAATGACAAACTAAAAGGCTGAGAGAATAAATGTCTCTTAATCTAATGCACAGGCCAGGTTAATGATTACAACAGTGGACTTCTTCTCAGGACAAAGAACAATGAAATTCTGGCAGTATCCTGCTGTCAGCCCACCACTTACATAACCTGCTGATTGCTGATCTGCATCAGCTGCTCCCAGCAGGTGCTCCATGATCAGTGAGCACACAGGTGTGCTGCTGCTGTGGTCACTGAGGGGAAACGCAAAACACACAGGCCAACAGGCAAACCAAAAAACAACCAAAAGCAATTTAATCAACAGAAAAATATCCTCATGGAGGTGGGATTGTGACATCTTCACTAAAACTGTCATGACAAAAGGCTCCTGTGATGCATTATCAATATGATCCTTTGTCAAGTTTCACCTTGAAAATGGTCAACCAATACAAATTCTTTTGCACACACCAACCATTCTCTCTTTATCCTTTGACTTCAAAATGGTACAATTGGTATCGCCACTCAGTAAATACACGTGTCCATTCTACGCTACTGTAAAAACATGTCAGTATGAGATGGTGGCCACTGTGAGAGGGGACTTGCTTTTACATTGTTATAAAAGTCTCAATCTATTTTTGAAAAAAAAAAAAAAACTAAATAATTATGTTTCATAATTTAAAGTGCACCTAAAACTTGTAAGTATTGTTCTCTTCATTTATGGAACATGTGGTCTGTGACAACGAAAAGGATTCCAAGCACCCTCTCAAAGTCTTAATTCTGACTTTTGTCTGTCAGTAAAGTCATTGTGTGATTTTACTGAAAGGTTTCCACATTTGGACGAATAAAGTCAATTTAATCTAATTTAGTTCATTGACTTTTCATATTCAGAGGATTACAGGCTGATTTTAACACATGGGGAACACTATAAACTAATTTTACCAAGTCTGTTCTGCTAATACTACACATGGCACCTTGAAGTATCAGGTTTTCATTGTGTGTAATTTACTTGTGGCAGAACAACCTGTATGGAGCTCAGTGAAAATGTAACATTACTATGATTTTGATTTTAGATTCCACAAATGTTAGAATGATCCACTGAAGTTAAGCACAAACAGAATGAACTAAACACTGCTTTATTTAGCTTTGTCACCACCCAGACTACAAAGAAACCTGTGTTTCCCTGTAATGGTACCCTAAGGGTTATTGTCAGGAGTTGCTGGTTAAGATAAGTAGAACCACATACGGACAGGAAAACCCACAGATCTCTGGTTAGACCCACTTGCATCCAACACAACATGTGTAGATCTGTGTACTGCTTGCCTCTGTTAGTGAGTTGACCATTGACCCCCTATGAAGAAAGAAAGTGTTGCTATTGAATTGGAGTAAGACTAAAGGAAAGGTTCTTTTGGTGGAATACTAATCAGTTTGTTAAGATCAGGTACTGATCAACCTGGACAATTAAAGTTTGGTACATCTTTATTTAAAGCTAATTTGAGACATGGAGATAAAAATGCCAGATAGAATGACAGATGACAAGGCACAAAAAACACTTGGCCCTGCACTGGAGAAGTTTAATAAATCCAGATTATTTAGCAACTCCTGTTATCATTTATCTATTAGGTTTACAGCTGTACAGACTTCATTGCATTTGTTGAAGGTTTGGTTCATGATTTCCATGCATTGACCTGATTAACACTCAAGTACGATCAAAAGCTATAACTTTCACAAAAATCTTATTGCAGCATGTAATGAATGCACAGATGCTGTAGGGCTGTATGACTGCAGCACATTCATATGCCCATAAAGAAAATGTAGACGCAATTACAAGGATCACTTGACTTTCAGGAGACCGCAAAATCTCTTAATGTTTCCACTTGAAAACCCTGTATTGCTTAAGCAAAAGACTCTGGTATTGACATTTCCTAATGCATTTCCTAAGGACTGACCTTTCCCCCAAACTCTAGACTTTGCAGCTCAGTGTATTGTTTTACATGCCTCACTTACCTGTTAAGGTCTGCAGACAAAGCAGATGATAAACATCTCTTCAGCTGCTCTTTGTACTTGCGCTCTTTGGCCTGGAAGTCTCTTGCAGCCTCCGTGGTGATCATGTTTGTTACGTTCTGTAAAATAGAGCAGCAGAGACGTCAGCCAGTGTTTTAGTTCTATAGATATCAAATAGGACAAGTTCCAACCTGCACAAATATAAGGGGAACATTTTGAGAGGGATAGGTGAGTAAAAGCATCTTAAACATTAAAAGATATGTAAAATGCCACTTGAATATATGTTTTCAAATAACTCTTACCAAACGGTTGGATTAAGTTTGAATAACAGTGTTTTAATAAACCAAAGCAGCACAAGAGTCAGGTTCATGGTCTTTTTCTTTCAGTCCACACACCCTGCCAGCACTTAATGTCTCTGCACTGTAATCATTAAAACTCAGTGTTATTTCTTTTCTGGACCAGGTCACCACTTTATTTAGAAGTTCTTTTGGTCTCAATGGGAGAAATTGGGATAAATAAAAGGTTAGTACAATGAAAAAAGAATAAAAAGCGTGACCAGCCTGTCCTTACATGACATGGCGTTTACCTACAAAAATGCGTATATGGATAATTCAGTCCATGACCTGCTTACCTTAACGTCAGCATCCACGATGTCGTATCAGAGATAGCATCATCCCGTTCAACCAGCTTTTCTCTGTTTATAGAGAAGTTTCATGAATGTATTAGTAGCCTTCGTGTCGGTTGAAAAACACTCTGCCATTCCCTCGCTGATGCCCCTTTAAACACGTGTATTTGTATTTCTCTTTTCTGTTAATCAGCTGAATGACACTACCCTCATTTTCCTCTCGCCGCTAGCATGCTATCGCTAGCTGACACACGCGACCGTTACTTATCACTTGTGTTTCTAGACCCCAAACCCCCACAACTAGGCGACAAAAATACACCTGTTGACATTAAATGCAGCCGATAAATTTCGGTAATGATACGGTTCGGTTACAGGCTCAAATTACGCGGACTGTTATCACGAACGGGCTGACCCACTGACCGTTGTTGTTGACATCACTGCTACACGCTGCTGTGTCCGCCCACTCGGACACACGGTTGAAAAACAGCCAAGGTATGGACAAGACGTCATAACCCGGAAGTTGCGGCAGCTGCGCAGTACGAGTTAGGAAGACGCCCTGAAAGAGCCGTGTCCTCAAATCAGACAGGAAAAAACCTCAGCTTCAAATCCAGACTCTAAATAAACACGGAAAGCAAAAACTTGTTTTGCCGCGGGGATAGTGGGATTGTTGTATGAAACAGGCCCTCTCTCTGGTGGTGAAGTTTCTGACTCAGAGACGAACGGCTCATATACACCAGTCAACACTGTGAGACCAGGATAATAATAAGACAAGTACCACAAAAATTCTAACGTATATATATAAAATGTGCAACCAAGAGATGTTCCTTATGTTTTCCCCACTTCACAAACTAAAAGGAGAGGTGCAAAATAATAGGAGCACTTTTCAATACAATGCTTGTACGTAGGCAGGACTATAAACACTCCCTACAACTTCAACAATTAATTTGAAGAACAATTAATTTCCATTTTAATTCTATCAAATATTGCATGCCTTTTTGAAAGGCAAATATATGTGAAATTTTAGAAAACAACATTTTAAGACCCCAGCCTTTCAGAGTTTTTTTCATAGTCTTTGTTTAAATTGATGAAGTACTGATTTAAAATATTTGACAGTTCCAGCTGAGCTCATTATGATTAAATCAAATACCCCAAGCTGCCAAGTTTTCTATTTTTCATCGTGCTTAAGGGAAAACAACAGCTTGTCTCTGTCAATGATGTCATGTGTGTTCCTTCAATTTTCTGTCCTATTCCATGATGTCAGTGCAAACTGAAGATATTTGAATGAGCAATACTAAGCCAGAGACTGAGAGATGTCAAATCCAGTGGATTGTTAGCCTGTCTTGCCTTTAGGTTGGTACATCTTTCTAGGTACGTCACAGTGTGAACTTGCCATTTGTATCTTTTTAAACAGGATTTATGGATGAATGATAGTACATATAATTATGTTACAATTAGAATCACAGTAGCATCAAGGATGTAACAAATGTTAAGTAGGTAGACAAATGACCGCTATTTTGATCTGGTATATGCTGCCAAATCAGAAAAGGGCACTTGTTTTAAAATAACAGACCACAAATGTCCATCAAAGCTTTGTTCATGAATCAGATTATAAATCCGCTCTCAAATGTGATGGGTTGTTCTTTGGCTCAGGCTACATCCTCCAAGGGACTAAAAATAACAAATCCTCTGAAAGGTTCCTACACTGGTTTGAAACAGACATTATCATGTATTGTTCTCTTCTTTAAATAACTCAGCAGTTCATATGTGTGAGGTTGTATGCTGTTCATGTAAGGCTGACGAACACACACCTCAGCATAATTCAACATCATCATATCTTTTGAAACATAACCACAAGGAAAGGTATAAATAGGAACCAAAAGAACACACTGTATCCTGATGTTTGTGGTCTAAAAATAACCAACACAAAGTGCTGTGTCACGCGGCTCTGTGTCATATATAACAGCACAATCATGACTATTTCTGGTGCTTTTTTATCTATTCTGATTGAATGCTAGACATGTTTGAAGGCAAACACATGAGTGCATTTAAAAAAAAAACATTTCCGCACACTACTGTTATTATGCTAAAACATGCTACAGTTTGTTAAAGAGGAGTGCAGTCCAACAGTTTGACACCTAGTTTATTTATAAAATCAAATGGTGTAGACCTGGCTCAGTGGATTTCAAAATGCAGTGTGTAGGAATAGATACAAAATAGTACAATAGTCAACCATCACTGACATTTCTATACATGAAGGTCAAGATAACAACATTCTCTACAACTGAGCAAGTATCTCTGAGGAAAAATTACAAAAAAGAAACCTCCTTTAGACAACACTACCTGATAAAGGGATCTGGAGCATTATGGCTCCCAAAGGACTGTGCCCAAAGAAGAGTGGAGCGACCCGATGAGACAGCAGAGTACAGTACAGCAGACGACACCATATCCCAGTCTCTCAGGACATCTTTACACCGCGACAACTTGATAGTTAAAAGGCACCACACAATACAAGTCACAAAGGAGATTTTGCCACACATTTGTAATGCTGTAACTGACAAACTTTAAGGCGGATGTCATGTGCAAAAAACATCTTGAATATGTGCCACACAAACTGCCCCAGTGTCCTCTCCAGTGACATGTGCTTTGATTCTTTCCTATAGCGACGTCTTTAAAAAATATCTGAAATGTGAAAGATTCAAAGAATGATTGCATTATCACTATGTTGCTTGTTATCACAGGCATATTCCAGGCTTCCAGGTGTGGCAGGGGGGAGGGGAGGGGGAGGGGGGGCCGGAGGAGGAGTAGGAGGCCTCTCTGTGGATTTAGTTCCTGTAGCTTTTGCGTCCCTCTCCCTCCTTTAGGAAGGTCCATATGAGGGTGTTCACTATATCAGGCTGGTCTTGCTGCAGCCAGTGACTGGCGCCAGAGATTATATTGAGACGGAAATGATTCCGAATGTAGAGGCGGCATGCCTCTGCCATTTCCTGCTCTAAGAAGGCGTCGCGCTCTCCCCACAGCAGCAGCACTGGGGACCTGACGTGGTTTTGGCTCAGGGGGAGGGAGCTAGGTAAACACAGAGAAAATACAAGGGGTTTAATACACTAGAGATCAAGAGACGATGTTCATTACAGAGAATTTACAAATAATACAATCGATCTTTGAAGTTACTGTCAAAATAGAATAGACTAGAGTACACAAAAATAGACTAGAGTAAAATAAAATGGAATAGATTAGAATAGAATAAAACTGATTAGACTAGAAAAGAAAATAATAGAATAGACTTGAATAGAATAAAACAGCATGGAACACAAGAGGAATAGAATTAAATTGAATGGAAATAAACAGAGTGGACTCAGATAGGGTAGAGTAGAATAGAACAGAATACAATAGAGTAAACTAGACTAATCAGACTGAATAGCATATGCTTAAAATCTCCAGTTTAATATTTTAAATGTAGGATCCAACCTTGTGTTTTTTTTTTCTGTATTTCTTGAATAGATTTGTAACTTTTTTGAGCTTCATGGTGGACTGGAGGAATTGAAACATAGAAAGAAAGACTAAGATGAGATGAAAAATGAATAAAAATGTCCCATGTGTATAAATATCGGTAGATTTATACAACCCTTAGCTGAGATTTAACTGGAACTCAGTTGACTAACAGTCTGTATCATCATTATCATAGACAGCTCATACATATTGTGAAATATATCTTTAGAGCTCAAACTCTTATCTATATTCTATATTGTGAGTTTTATACAGCTTATACCATGCCAACAATATGTTCTTAAATGTTTCACTCCCCTCTAATCTGTCCTGGGCAATAAAAAAAAAAGTTGATGGATGTCTCTGGGCATTTGTGTCCCCTGGGCCTAGGTACAGTATGTATTTTGAAGAGGCTAATTGGGCATGGGTCAGTGATATTTGTTTTACGTAAGCATATAAAAGCTATTCTGAGATAATGCAGGGCTTGAGAATGGAGCAGATGGCTTGTCCAGCCATGCATGTACAGTTCACATGTTTAAAAGTGCATGCACTAATACTTTCTTTGATCTGATCCGTGACGATCACTCTTGGCCAGCTAGTCACGTATTGCGTGAGAGACTGAATGTGAGTATAAATATAAATATTTCACCCCACTTTGGCCTAAGAAGAGGGTAAGGATTGTTTTTCATTTTTGAGCTCTAACAGCAGATGGCGCTACTAAATTTAAATTAAACAACAAACCTATGTCGGTCCATTACATGCATTTCAAATCAAGTTTTAAAAAGTACACTAACTGTCCTCAAGCAACCATGTCATTACACTGTACTATAACTAAACAAAGAGACTAATTCATAAGCATCTTAGAGTAGTGTACTGACACTGTAATGGTCTCCAATGGCAACAGCATGCCTGCACCAGAAGCTTTGATATAATTCATGTCCAATGAAATGGGGCAAGCTCCTCTATTGATTTGTTACATAGTAAATATTTCTTCGGGCTACAAAAAAGTGCTACTAGTGCTACTTGAATATAAGTGCCTCATAAATGATGATTTAGTATTGAAATCTATGGTAGTCTAACACCAAGCAGGGCTTGAACTTCTGACACTAAAAGAGCTTGCTCCAAAAAACAATACTTTTACTTTTATGTTGTATCTCTTTAATGCCTCAAAAAACTTCTTAGCCTAGGAAATGGTTTTAAAAGTTCTGTTGACACTATTTTTCCTAATATCAAAAGACCACTGATGCAATCTTCTGCTCAGATTTTTACCTGAAGACATTCCTGTAATAGTTAAGGGCCCCAGTCAGAGCTCCTGGCTGTGAGAGGGCATACAGATAGGCCTCTAAGTCCTCTGCAGTGAGCCATCGGCCTTTCCTTCCAATTCCTGTGTTTCGGCTGGTGAACAAGGCCTTCAGAGCCTGCAGCAGAGATAGAAGACACAGCAAACACTGAGGTAAGTTTCTGTTACTGCCAGAATTTGATCTACAGTAGAAGACATTTATAAAAAGGGCAGCAGAGTCGATGAAATATGAGTCAGAAAAGTTCTTCTGTGGTGAAATTAGCTCTGGTGACCTTGGATCGCAGCTCTGGCACCCTGACTTACTGCTGGCTTGACAACATTGCATGCTGTGCTTTAGCTTTTAAAAACGCCAACACAGGAATAGTTGAACAGTATCAATTTTCTATTTAATATGCAAATATCAAAACACAGTGTGTGGAAAATTTAACGTTATATGACTTTTAAGAGACAAGTCCTTTGAACATGACAAAATATGCAGAAATCATTTACCTCCATCCTTTGTAAACTGGAGTCAAGCTACGTTAATTGTACGTGAATATTTAACCTTAAACCATGCATTAAGTTTATATGCTATGCCAAGTTAATATGCTCCTGGCTGTAGCAGGTATTATTGTGGTAAAAATCTTGTCATCTACTCTCTGCCAGTAAACAAAAATGCATATACTGCTGACATGAGGCTATTACTGTAATCAAATCAAAAAATACAAAGAAGTGGTGCCCAACAAATCCACACTTTTTTAATGGACAAAAAAGCAAAAGAACTTGTGATTTTTCATCCTGTATATGTTTTACCTTTTGTGTAGATCTATTTTATATTTCATCCTTATTTACTTATACCTATTCAACTTTGAATTGTATCACATTGTTTCCCTCCTTTTTCTTTTAATAAATGCATGAACAATACATGGGTGAAGGACCAGACAAAGTGCAGCTCACAAGATCCTTTATGACAAATAAAATACTGTACACTAAAAGGACAGAGTGGGACATGTTCCATGCCTCAATTGTTGAGGTGGCTAGTCAGTGTCGTGGCCGTAAGGTTGTTGGTGCCTGTCATCGCGGTAATACCCGAACCTGTTGATGGAAGATACCAACTACGATGAAGGCAAGAAGAAGGAACACCAAAACCTCAGGGAAGCCCTAAAACATGTGGGTACCTCTAGTGGGCAGTCATCAAGTCTACTTAGAAACTGGAGAAACTGTTATTTCCTTCTTGTCTTGACTGTCAGAGAAACTCAGAAGGATCCTCCAGAAAGACAACATCCCAGTACACTTCAAACACACCAACACACTGCAACAGAGGCTGGTCCACCCTAAGGACAAAACCACCAGACACAAGCAGAACAATGTGGTGTACACTGTGAAATGACTGCAGAATGCAGGGACTCGTACATCAGGGGAACAAAACAGCTATTACATAAACCCATGGTCCAGCACAAAAGAGCCAACTCTTCTGGTCAGGACTTAGCTGTTCACTTACATCTGAAGGATACAGGACTTTCCTTTGAGAACAGCAATGTAATGGTACTGGCCAGGGAAGACCAATGGTTTGAAAGAGGTGGTAAGGAGGCCATCTTTGTCCAACTTGAACAGAGGTGGTGGACTAAGGCACTTCTTATCCTCTACTTACAATTCAGCTTTGGATTCTTTTCAACAACAATTGAAACAACGATTTTATACTAAATCACAGACTTCAGCATAGCAAAACTGAAGAAAGCCAGAAAAGTACCTCCCCAGGTGAAACCAAGCAACAACACTGCTAATGACTCTCATGTGACCGCCCACCCATTTTACAGCTGGGGGACCAACAGAGGCAATCCATTTTCAACTTTGGCCCCAGTCACTTAAGAACTGAAGAAGCTTTCTGGAAGAGAGGCGAATTGTCTTCAAGAACCTCAAACAAGTCCAGCTGCCCTTTAAACAAAGACCTGGAGGCTGCTTCTTTAGTTGCTCGGCTGATGTCTACCCTCTGACAGCAGTTTTGAAGAAACTGAAATCATAGAATCAGGTCAAACTTGATTTGCTAGCCAGAATAAATCCATCCTCTTTTTTACATTGACCACTTTTTTTCTTTTCCACCTTCTTCCCCTGCACCACTTTTCCCATTATTCATAGTCCTCCTCTCTTCTCTCTTTCCTTTGACCAATAGGTTCATAGATGATCAGGGAACCATCCTCCCACTTCACTCATTATTGTAATTTAATATTTCTGTGTGTGAGCATGCTAATATTGACCTTGGTGAAGACATCTCTTGGTCACAATCTGTCGGCTACTTAACATTCATACTGTCATGTGCAACAATAGTGTTTAAATCTGGCCTAAACCTTACAAAATGCCCTGGAGCTTTGAGGATATTTTTACATTTTGAACAAGCCCATCACAAACTACCATCTTAAAATATTCTCTTATGAGTATTTGTTTATTTTGGTGAGAACTTAACCTAATACCAGTAAAACCCAAACTTGCATTATTTGTTGCCTATTCGAATTGAAAACCTGTGCTGTCCCCCTTCTCTTTGTCAACAAAACTGATCCTCTTATAATGTCTGTTTATCTTATCATTTTTTTACACATCTTAATATGAACAGAAATTGAGTTTAGATAAGGAAATATGCATTAGTACTGATCCATCCTTTCATCTTATATATTTATTATATAAAATGTACCAATTCTACGGTGTAGGTTGGTGTTTTTATTCACTTATTCTGACCTCTATAACAGCGTGTTATTTTCAGTGGCACTGATGCAAACACTTAAAATAGCCTGACACTAGAAAAACAGGCATATAAACATGCATGCATGAACACACACCGTACACAACAACACAAACACACACAACCTTGACCTTGAAACTGCTTAAGCCCACACACAACAGACCACCTTGAAATCATTGATGGAGAGCATGAGCTCTGGGAAGCGGGGCAGCTGGAAGAAGAAGAAATGACTGGATTTCAGCAGCTGGCTCGGGTGACGCAGAGCGTAATCTGAAGGAGAGGAGACAGGGAGAAGTTCAATATTAATTCTAGCGCCAACTATGCACATGCTGTGAGGTTGTGTATGTGATAACTCTCAATGACTTTGCCTCTCTGTTTGCAGCAGCTAAACCAGCTGTTCCATCTCCACATTAGCCTCCTGTAATTAGCCTCTTATCTTCTTTGCCTCAAGGCAGAGGAGGAATTGTCAGATGGATGCATACATTGAACTGAAGTAATAATACTTCCTAATTAATGATAATAATTATGATAATAATCCAAGAGCCAAACCAGAGACTCTCTAATTAGCATGAATAAAGATGATTTCCTTTCATTGTGACAGACTATCATCATCTGGGAGAACATTTTTTTGCACAAAGAGCAACCATACCTGAGAAAACTGAAGGATGGGCACAGTTGAGAACAATGAGTTTTGTCACCATCTCAGGGTAGTGAATGGCAAAAAGCCATGCTATGGTGCCTCCCCAATCGTGGCCAACAAGGCAACATCTGTTGTATCCTTTGAAAAAAAACAGTACACACACATGATAAAGCTTTTTTTCCTAACAGAAGACAGGATTCTGTAACTAACAAAAGAACAGGGTGTCCATGCTGATGTTGTTGTTTATAAAAGCATGTCAGTGCCCTAAAAAAACCCATACTGTTCACATGTCTTGATTGTTGGCTTCCTCCCTCAGAGGACATTTACACCCATCAAATGAATGTATTTCACGACATACTGCCAAATGCAGACCAAGGTCAGGGCATGTGCCTGAAGAATTCTGATCATGTTAGTGCCAATATAGTTCTAATCCCCTTATCTCTGCAGGCGCCGTTTATACTGCTGCAAGTGTGAATCATACAAGCATGCCATGCTTTACAAATGGCCAGTGTTATAGCCAAGGCTGGAAGCCACTTTAGTGGAAAATGATGATGGAATATTATCTTACTTTTTGGGGTCAGATGAATTTAAATGTGCACTGACAGCATAAAGAGAGATTTTAAACACTGATTAAAATGTACCTCAGATGTTTTCAGTGTTATTATCTTCCAGTAGTAACTTGAATAGCTCATTATTTAATCCTTTCTTGCAAACTTTCTTTGGAAAAAAGTTGCCATCCATGGCATTGGTTGCAGGTGAGTTACATTTATTATCAAATAACATTAGGTTGTGAAAATGTCTTAGCTTGCGCTATCTCCCTCTCCCCTTGCATCTATGGCATAACACACATTTATCACCTGAAAGCATACCTCATTATGAATAAAAAATACAGAAACATAAAACAGTCAAATTTATTGAGGTACATAATTTTACTGATCAAACCACATCAGGTGCAGAGGGATGGAATCTGGTATGATCACTCCTTCCCCTACCTCCCCTTTCCCTTTAAAAGTATTTTAAAATGCTGCAGTTGAATCTTACATTTGAAAAACAAAATAGATGCTATTACCTTACAGCGTAAAACACAGCAATAAAACCAAATTTAATGTTCTTTACTTCTCTCTAGAGCGCTAAATGACCTTTCTCCTTCCTACATCAAAGATCTATTAATTTTATGTTCCAGCCAGATCTCAAATGTCCTTTGCAGCTCCTCTTTTAATTGTTTCTCCTATGTGAGTGTAAATACCTCCTGTTTTTATGGCTCCAAACTGTGCAACTCATCACCTCTGGGTATTAGAGTTGCAGGCTCTATCAGTTTTTTTAATTAGGAATTACAGGCCTATCTCTTTAATCTGACTTTTAATTTGGAGGAATGCTGCAGAATACAGACTGTGACTCAGTTTTTTAATCACTGTTTGATAGCCAATTTTACCTCTGGTGCTTAATTATTATGCACTTACTCATTGAGTCTGACGTCAGTTTTCTCTTACTATCTCCATTTGTGTTGTTTCATTCTCTGCAGTGTGAAACATATTGTGCTGCATGTCAGTTTTAAAGATACTGTACAAATATTGATGAGCTTACTTCAGTTGAACCCAAATAATGTAACTGCAACCAGAGGTGTAACTGCAGGTGGCGCACAAGGGGACCCATGATAAGCATTTGCATCTGTCACTGTTAATGTCATATGAGAGGCAGTCTGCTCTTAATGACCTGGGATATTGCTAACTGTATAAACTCCTTGAGACTTCATAGCATGTAAGATTTATTTATACCACCCAACTCATTCTTGAGTCAATACATTTTTCTTTGTGGCTATCTAAATGGCCTTAAACTAAATTTTACTCCCTTTTTAAACAATCATCTCCTTAATATGATGGTTCGTCTCTCAAAAATTATAAAGGTTGTGTGTACATCCATTGACCTTATGACCCCACACCAAATGAAACTTGAACCAAGGTTTTTTGCTAACCTTGCAAAGACTCCACATAAAAATAAGCAGATAACTTGAAGAAGTGGGAGTGGAATGAGCTGCTGTTACATTTTAGAAAGGCCTCCTCTGTTCCTGTTTTTAAATCTCTGGCCTTTAACACTGCATGAGTCGATGCACTATTCTAAGGAGATTTTATTGCATGTTTTAAATAATATTCTCCTGTCTTCTTCTGTTTTATTGTTATACCTTTGTTTTTATTCCTCTTTTGTACAGCACTTTGGTACAACTTTGTTGTTTTTCTCCTAAATGTACTATATAAATAAAATGGAATGGAATGAAGAAGAAACATGGGGCAGGATAGACTCAGCAGACTGGCTGAACTGTCAATACAGAAGAGCAGAGCCATGCTTAAATAAAGTTGTCATAGACTTTCTTGCTATAGTATGGCTGCACATGGCCTACAGGATGGACCTCTGATCAGTGTTCCTGGATTACTCTTTGTCATAAGGCTGGGTGAAGTTTAAACGTTATCATCAACAATGAGTAGGTGTTTAGCTTTTGTATGGATGCTCATCATCATACAGTGTCAGCTCCCTGTTGTTTAAAACTTCTGATGTTTGGTTCCTGAAGACTGTGGTGGTTTGAAACAGGCTGTTAGTGGAGATAAATGTGTTGCCATGGCTGCTGTCTGTGGTTCTGACCAAAGCTGGGTTGGATGAGAGCAGTGTGTTGTGTTTCCTCAAGGTGACAATGTCTGCTTTAGGATTATTTGGAGTGGTTTGCGTGTCTGGGCGTGTTAGTATGCATGGAAAGACAACATGAATGTGTGTACACTCGCTATAGGGCAAGAAGGAGGGCCCAAAAAAGAATCTGCACGAAAACCCATCTAATGATATTTGATTGCCTTACTTGGCATGTGTGGTTAAAACCAAACTGTTGGGTGTAATGGAAACCATGTGGGCTCTAACAGTTGGTTTTCACAGTGCTCTGTGAGGCACAATTTCAAACCAGAGCCCAGTGGTTTCTTCATATGATCAATGATTGCCTCCCACCTTCACTAAAATAACTTTAATGCATTATTGAGAGCAAAGCTCCTGAAAGCCTGTTGAGAAATCAACAGTGACAGCTAGAACAACGAGAAAAAGCTGCAAAGCATTAACGATGAAGCTCTCTCATAAGCACTTTAAATTTTTAATGTTGAATGTGTTCAAAAACTGCTTAGGAATATTTGCAGACCATAATGTTGCCCCTGTGCAGCAATGGGGGACTTCAGCTGTACTCTTCAATACATCTAACCAACAATGGGTTTTAGCTTAAATGAGGAAAGTATTACTTTTGGTGATAAACCAAAAAAGACCTTTAACCTAACATGACTCTGCACATCCTCTGAGTTTAAAGCCTTTTCTGCGCGATGCTGACGTTAAGTAACAAAATAATGAACTTGAAGCACGAGTCAAAAGGTTGATCAAATTCAGTCTAACAGTTCTCATCAAGGCTATTTCCAGATGCCTCTAAAGACTCAGCACTCAGCAGCAGACAGGCAAAGTAAACAGTGAGCTAGCAAACATAGAGGAGCATTTAGCCATTAAAAAATTACATCAGGAGGATTGATATTTGAGTGGCATTTAACACGTCAAAATGAACACTAATGCAAAATAATGTAGCTATTTCTGTAAGAAGCTAACTAAAGAATCATAATGTGTACATGCACTAAAGTTGTAAGCACTGAGTAGTGTTCAGCAGGGGTGTAGATAGAGCTTTTTGAAAGGACTGGCCAAACTGGGGCTCTGGCTTTTACAAGGGTGGCATAAAGTACATGAGCATTCATAAATGAATTACAGTTATTACCCTTTATGTCTGATCAAAAACACATGAGATATGTACATTTAAGTATCATAGATGTTATAGTCCTCTATACACATATTACTTAAACCATAACACAATAAAATAGTAACTTAAGTCTTCGGGGATCAATAAAGTTCTTCTCCTCCTCCTTTGGGGTTTGAAACTTAAGCATGTCATGTTCTGTGGTCATTTGAACCTGATTTTTCAAAAAAGGGAGAACTATTATAGGAATGATGGACAAATTGATAACTTAAGAACAAAGACAAGTCGTAGAGAACCACAATTATCCCTCAGCATATTATGTAAGTTAGTAGGCTGAGTAAGGTCAGTGTGTATGTGTTTCAAAGTCAGGACATGACCATCTAAATTATTTCAGCAATCTTGTAATTAGTGCTGAAACAGTGGCTGCAACACACTTGGATACGAGGTGACAAGTGTGAAGGAGAGGACAAAGATAGAGCTACCAGACACTTACTACAGTACATGAACTCATTAGACAATCTCCAGTGACATTTCAGTGCTCAGACGCAATGTCTCCTACAGTCTGCAACCAGAGTTAGTCTGTCATTTGCTCACCAGGAAAAGAGCAAAAAATATAATTCTGGCCAAGTGATCATTAGAGGATGCTGGTGTGAGCAGACTGCTTCAGGCTAGCTCCCTGCTAATGTTAGCATTCAGTCAGCAGGCTGTGGGCTCTGTATCTACACAATGTCCCATGTTCAGAAAGAGTGACTCACAGGAAGTTTGTCATGGCATGCTGCAAGCCTGAGGGCTGTCCACAGCTTAAAACTCATAAACAAGTTTATTTCTGACTCAACACACTGTCAAATCAGTGTCTGTACCCTCTGAGATTTTTTTTTCAACTGTATAGACAAACAGTTCTCTCACCCAAGTACTCCACAATGTCCTTGACGTCTGTGACCAGGTAATCAAAGCGGTAGTTTTCAGTGGAGAGCGGCAGGTCAGACTCTCCATAGCCCCGCATGTCGATGGCCACCACACGGAATTCACTCTTGAACTCCCGCAGCTGGTAGCGCCAGGAGAACCTGAGGCAAATAAACAGATGTAAAGATGACATCAGTGCTCCTATACTTAAAAAGATGGCCCTCTTTTTTATGGTAGCTACAAGTCATTCATCATTTAGAGAGGTATCTCAGCAACATACACCAATCAGCTGTACCTTTATGACCGCTGAGTTTTTATAGTGGGGTATGTGGGGAAGTCAGAGAATATTTTGCCCTTAAAGTTGACGTGTTGGAAGCAGGAAAAATTCATGAGTAACTTTAGTAAGGACCAAATTGTAATAACTGGATGACTGGGTGAGAGCATCTCCAAATGTATAGCTCTTTTAGGATGAACTCATATGATACTGAAAAGAGAAGAATTGAAGAATTGTTCTATCAATGCTGCAAAAACCAAAGTATTCTGACTTTCAGTACCCCTAAAAAACTGGGAATTTTATCACTCAAAACTCAATTCAGTAATGTTTGTGAGTTAATCCTCAAACTCCAACTCCCTAGCATGCAGCCAAGACTTTCATGTAAACAATTAGCTCGGAGTCCCCAAGCTCAGTCTACATAATCTTGGGTATCTTTGTAGGATTTATGTAATCTCTATTGAGCTACAAATTCTGCAAGTGATTCACAGACTTAGCAGCATTCCCCAGTGCTATGGTGTCCAGCTTTTATGGAGGGCTCTTAAAGTGCCTCTGTAAACCCATGCCAAACATTTTTGAGATGTTGTTAACACAGAAAACTTTTCTGAAGCTCAGACTCCACTTTTCTGAAAAGATGAAGGTCACTTCATTGTAACAAAGGCTATTTTAGATTCCAGACACCCCTTGATCAAGTGGGCTGGGCTGACTCTCTAAGTAAAGATCTTGTCTGCTGTAAATGCTCCTCATCAGGATTGAAATCCCCCATCCACCTCTTCATCGTCAGGGTGTGTATGTGAATGTGTATGTGTGTGGGGGGGCAGGGTGGAATGCAGAGCCAGTGACTGTGATTCTGATGAGTCAGTATAAGATCCCTGCACTCAGCTCCCATCTTAGAATACAGATGAGGTTTAAAGCAAAGTAAGCCCCTCGGACCCCTGCACCCTCCCTCTGATGCATAGATACACTTCTCATTTCAAAGAGGGAATTAGCACGTATTAAGTAAGTGTGAAGAGTTCTTTCCACCCATGTCACTCTCCGCACAGTTCATCATTCTTGTGATGAATATACAGCAAGTGAAGCAGAAAGAGCTCGCCTCTATCATTAATTAATCCCAGTTCAGTCCGCAGCTCAGATTTTATGTTTGAGATATGGACAGGCTTACAGCTCCTGACAACCTCTCTGGCCCAAATCCAGGAGCAATACTAAATGTCATTTTTCATTACATATCAGAAGGGAGAAGTCTAGATTGCAGTGAACCATTTCTCCTGATTGCAAACCATATCCCCTTGGATAGATGAGTGTTTTTTTTTTTTTTTTTCAGCCCAGGAGACGGAGTACAGGGACTAGACCCTAACCGGGAATCTCAGGGGCATGGAATACTCATGTAAGTGACCAGTGCAACAAATATCAGGCGGCTGAACAAGCAGAGTTTTACAGATGGGTTGTCTGCTGTGTCTGAGTGCAGTGGAGCTCGCTAATACTGTTACCGCAGCCCCCCCCCCCAACTTTCCCTGTGACCTACCAGAACTCAGGGAAGCCATGTAAGAACAGCATGAGTGGCTTTCCTCTCTCTCCTGCAGCAACATAGTGAAACCTAAGACCAGACTCCTGGGAGGGAGGAAAAAACAATGGCATTTAAAAAAAATGTTTGAATGTTTACACTTTCAGGACACAGTGAATGAAGTCCGCACATTGTAATGTCTTTGCAGAGTAGCGTTAAGTAGCTTTACAGAATCAAGGGTTCAAAAGATTCTTCAGTTATCTCACTTATCATTTCAGCTACTGTCTCTTTAAGCCTCTTCCCAACCCATTGCACTCTGGAAGCCTCCTCCACTGTTGCAATGCTGTAATGTTATTGGCAAAATGCCAAGTTATGACATACATTTTTTGTGCAAAAATCTGACCTCGAAAACTTGGAAAGAGGCAAAAACATCAACAGATAAGTGTTGTATTAAATATGAAAAAAAAAAAAAAACATAATACCACCTCTTTAAGTGTAGCTGCATGGATTGAGAATATAAAAATGTAATTAAAGTGATGTCTTAGTTCTTTTGGATCAAAACACAGATGACAAACATGCAATATTATGCATGCTGGACCAGTCACTGTGTTGTGAATTTGTTGTTGCAATACACTGTTAACACAGTTAATGCCCATTTTTATTAACTCTAAAAAAAAAACAAGCTTTGGTTCTATTTGAATTATGTGAGACTCACACATAAAACCAAATATGGCCAGAACTGAATTATCACTGCTTCAATCTTTGGTTTTGGACAAGTAAATATCACAATATTAGCCGTTTATTGTATGAAAACAATAGCTATGGTTATACTGTATTGTAACAATGTCCAGCCCATATTTATCTACATATTTCCTGATTATTAACATGTTTCTTATTGTTTGTTTCTCAGACACAAAAAGGTCCACTTTCTCTTTGACTGCATTGTATTTTTACAGTGGCAACAGTGAGAGGATACACTACAAATTTAGTCAAATACTTTACGTGATTGAATTGTAAAATGAACTACAGTAGTTGAAAATGCCCAACAGAGAATGCACAGAATTCACTAAAAATACACCTAATAGCCATAAACCATATATTTTGGATCACCCATAATTGGTTACAGACTAATTATATAAAACTGACGCACTGATGAAACGGAATTTGAACCCTTTTGGTACTTGATGTGTCATTTACTCGCTGTACACAACATGTTTTGAAGTGCAGGACTTCAACAGCTGTACACTCGGTACTTTGACTTTTCCAGTTAATTTAAGCAGAAGCCCGGCAGACACGGGGCTTCAGCAGGTTCTTGTGACAGATATGCCCGGGTGTTTAATTGCATAATGTTGAGCACAGGTTGGTAGTTAAAGGCTGGCAGCTCGCCGCATGTAGAGGCGGAGGAGCTGTTCTTTCAGCACCACCTGAGCGCAGTACAAGCGACCAGCGAATCCACCGAAAACGTCTCCAAAAAATAAACAGTCGCTTCCCAATCTGACCACAGATCAGGCCTGTTTGTCTTTTCACGACGCAACACTGCAAATCAAGGTGTTGTTCCCTCTGAGCATCCTAGCATGCCAGGCACGCTCATAACACACACAAACGCACACAATGGGCTTTCCCCCTCTCACAGTGACCAGACAACCTTTCATGTCCAAGTGAATGAGTGCGTCTTACCTTGATCCTAACATAACAGTGGGTTCCCAAGGACGTGTCATTCAGACAAGCCGGGGGAGTTTCACGAATCACCCATTGGAAGGTTGCCGTCGGCCTCAAGATGATGTTCCACCAAAGTTTCAGCAGGGCTACGACGGTGCAAAGAGCACAATAACCGTATATCAACGACCAATACCCCAAAACTCTGATTTTCAGCGCAAGTCTGATTAGAAATAACAGCAAGTTGTGGAGCACTCTCGCCATCTTTACATTGCCGCAGAAAATCAATCAAGATCAAGTTCCCTATTGATCTCTCTCTGTTAATCGGTGGCTTGCGTTTAAATACTGCTCTGACAATGCCGTTGTGTCGTTAGCGGCGCATACGCACGACTGTCTGAAGGGAGGATCCCGAGAAACGTTTGAATGGGACGGTGGCTGGAGCATCACGTCAGATTTCACGCCTGCGTGTGACAGCAGTGGTTGTTTAGCAGGAGACGGTGTTGTTGACTATACAAGGCAAGTCCGAAACCCAGCAATAAGCCTATCGATGCAGTCAGTGATTCACAGCGATTTCAGCACAGCTAAGAGGCGCTGTTAGGCAGAGAGAAAGACTCCTCAAATCACTGCAAAGCACGGACGCTTTCATGGAAACAACACTGCTTTAAAAAGACAGCATGACTTCTGAATTCATCATTGGGCTTTTTCCTCTAAGCTGTATTGATTAGTCAGTCAGATTTTAAACAATAGTTTGCCACCACACGACTGTGTAACAGATGTTTTGATACTGCGCATTAATATTTCAATCAGATGTGATGCGGTCTCAGGTGCGCTTTTACTCAGCTCTTTAACCCGAGCAGTCATTTTGTTAAAAAGCAAAACTTAGCACACATAAAGATAGCACACATAAACCTTTAAACCAGTTAACCAACTTCAGATTAATCTAATCCCTCACGTGACTGGATACATTACAGATGACACATTTACAACTGTCTACAAGTGCTCTCGGTAATTTATCTACAGAGGTCAGTCTTGTTTATCTGTATAAACAGTGCTTGGGGGAGCCTGAAATCTACGGTGGCGCTGGAGGTCAACTGCACAGACATTTCATGAAACACATAATGCAAAAGTCACTCTATGGAAGAAAAAAAAGATCAAACATGAGTATTAATAATGTATAAATATATTTCAGAAAACACCAAAATGTTTAATTGAATGATGAATTTCTTGTGGTCAGGGGGCACCAATGGCCTTGTTGTCCAAGTGCACCCAGCAAATCCAGGTGGCCCTGGTTTGAGTCCACCCTGAGGTCCGTTTCCTGCATATCACTCGTTGCTTTCTCCTCTGTTTCCTGCTCTATCCACTGTCCTTACCTCTGCCAGAAAAAGACAAAAAAGCCTCAGAATAATGCAATATTTTTGCAGTTGACCTAGAGGTCAGGTACAGGACCGTACAAAGCTCAAATAGTGCTTGAATTAAATGCATTACTGTTACTGTTGTACACAAAGAATTGACTTGATAATTTCAAATGACCTCCCTGTGCTTAAGCCCTGAAATACAGAGCCCTGATGCTTACAAGATTAATTAAAATAATTACCGAATTAAGGAAAAATATAACATTGAATTTCATTGGGATGACTAAGGCTGCAGAGGATCAACCCTGTGCAGGAGGTTGGGTACTGATTTAGATGCATGGGTTTGCAGGGAGGGGGATCAATTCTTGAAACCACAACCCTATGCAGTGAGTTCTATAAGCAAGTATAGTAGCTGTATTTACTGTAAATAAACCAGTTAGAAGGACAACTGTTGGGTTACCGTGTTGTGACTGATTATCTTTGATTCTTTGATCAGGGAAATGGTTATGGTAGCTGGTGAGCAATGTAGAAAGGACAAAAGACTTTTCCTGCAACATTTTCCAGACCCTCCTTGAGAATCACAAGACCTTTGAAATGTATAAAGGATATGACCCTCCAGTCTACATTACCATCTCCTGACAATTAAATATGCAACTAAGGATTCCATCCTATGAAGAGGTCAAAATTTGCACATTTATGTGAGTAATCTCAATGTTTTGGTCTCAGCCATAGATGTAAGCTGGAGTGTTAAGCGTACACAGCTGGTAAATGAAAAGCTTTTGCTGACAGACTGAGCTTCTCTGTATTACAATAGTCCACTTTGCCCCTACAATTTCTGCTGTTTTCTGAAGCAAGCCATCTGTGTGGAAGGAAAACCTGAGAAAACTACAACAAAAGGGGAAAAAAAAAAACCCTCATCGCTGCATCTTAAGAGCCCAAAAAATCTCTAATCCTGTGACAAAAGCTAAACCTGGCAAAGCTTAGTAACCACAGATATTTCTGATTTCCTGCTCAGAATAGCAACACAGCTTTCACTAGGATTAAAAAATGTACCTGATGGCTCAAAACACAGCATACTCTTGCAATACATCCCCCAGACTACCCATGGGGATGTGGTTTTAATCTGTGTACACATCCATAAAAGACGTAGAGAATCTCTCATAACCCAACCATTAAGCCTGTGAGGATAAAGGCCTGTTGCCTAATTCTCAGCACTTTTGTACAAGCATTCACAAGAGGACCAGGTAGTACTGACACTGGAGTATGTGCTTGGTTATCATTGTCCTCCTGCCTGTGAGTTAAAAAAATGTCAGCAAAAACAGCAAAACAATGTGTAGAACCCTGTGCATCTATTTTACAGCCCCTGTGTTAAGCATTTAGATTTATGATGCTGGGACAAATGGAGAAAAGCCTTTGGTCTCCTTTAACAAAAAAAAAAAAAAAAAAACCACGACCCTAATCTACCATGCTGCAGACACTGTTTATGACCAACTTTGAGAGTTAAGAGTCTTCTACTTTTGCGCATCAACATGTGGTGTGTTACTAAAACGACACTTTAAAACTACCAACCCTGCCAAGTGTATGAGCTACACGTACAATCTTTAAATTCAACATCCTCCACAGAAGGTAAACTGGTTAAAGAGCTTAAATGTTTCCTCTACCACCCAACACTACCTTCGGTTGGTGTCAGCAGTTCTCCTCAGCCAATCATAGCCTGAGCCAAACTCAGCTTTCCCTTCCTGAATCCACTGATGATTTGCCAGGACTTTGCTGAGGCCAACTGAAACTCTGCCACCTTGGTTTTTGCTGACAACACCCCTCCTGGCCTTATGTCATCCATCTGCTGGTTTACAAGACCTGTGGGCCAACCCTTTAGGGAAGGCCAACAGTTTTCTCAGGTTGGCACCACAACAGATACACATGACCTTTTGACCACAGCTTTGTGAAGGTGCTTACACAATGTCCTCATCTGCCCCCAGGGTTGTGTATGATATTTGTCCCTTGACAGGAGTTTAAAATGTCCTCATAGTTTGAGACAGGCATTGAGAGTTTATTAACTGATAGTCATGGATCTTCATAAGCTATAAAACATACAAGCATTAAGTCTGACTGTTTCTATACAACAGTATTTTAATGCTTTAATATCCACTATGAGAAAATACATTTTGCTGTTAACGACAGTTAGCAGCTTGGAAAATCATTTAAACTGAAAAATGTTACAGGTTTACTATAAATACTGCCCATAATCATTTTAAATTTAATGCCAGAAACTGATTTCAAAGTTTGGGACAGCATGTTTACCATTGTATCACATCACCTCTTCTTATAACAACACTCTGCTAACAACTGGGAACTGACACGACCAGTCTCTAGAGTTTTGAACAGTTTGGCAGACCAGTTTAGCACTCTGACTTTTAATAGCATAGACTTGTTGATGGACTCTGTTTGAAGACACCAGACTGGTTTAAAACCAGTGATCATATCCACAGTTTGACATAGATCATACTCAGTCCTTTTACACGGCTTCACTTTATTTATCTACCCAGTTGCTGCCATCACAATTTTTTTGTTATTACAACTTCATTTAGTAAAGGAAGTGATTCAGATCACTTGGTGAATAGCTTTATTTTGAAGTAAAAAAAAATATAAACTGTAACATACAGAATAAGTTAATAATTTCCAAACAAAACATCAGAACATCCAGAACCGTATGAACAACAAAGTGCAGTGAGTGTACAGTAAACATATTTTTCAAGTAGTCAGACACACCAAGAACTGAGCTTATCTGCCATTACATTGAAAACTTTAACATATACCTTCCCATCTGTGTTCCACATACAACTTTACCTTTGTGAAGGAATGCTTTTTAAAGAGAAAGGTATGCATACATACACTTAAATGATAAAATGTTTATCTTTGGTCCTATATTAAATTTCGATAAACTGAAATGTGGTGGTAGTGGTTTATCAAATGGAATAACAACACAAAAACAAAAACAACACTGAAACCTTAAATAGTGTATGGGTGGATTTATAAGCTTGTAATACACAGCTGTGGGGTGCAGGTCTGAGCATCTAGACATGGGAAATACCAACAAACGATTTTATATAGGTTTGAATTTTAACAGTGCTTCATCCTGATCTTCTCTTATTCAAGAGGGGATCAGTTCACATTTAATGAACAATTAAAGTACTAGCAGAAGGCAGGACCCATGTCAATTTATTTTGGGCATTAATTCTTAATTAATACTTTATTTTCTGTCTCCATAACAACCACAGTTCAAATGAAGTGGTCTTCAGTGCCAAAGAAAGTAAGAGGTTTCCATGGATATGAGATGTAAACCTTCCTTTCAAAGTGCTTGTTTCTCCATGAAAACCTTGTCTGTTTTCAGTCCAGGCTCAGCTCAAATGCGGTCATAATCTCCCGCTGCCAAGACATGTCAATGCTTGACATCTAAAAAGGAAATAAATCATCAAGAGACATTGTCAGAGAACTATTTCACTTAAAACTTCAACTAGAACTGGCACTATTTAGTACTTACAGCCTCTTGCCTGCGACGTTCCTGCTCCTTCCTGCGGGCCATCTCTCTTTCCCTATCTACCGGGAACTGTGTGGTTTCAGGTTGTGTTTCCAAAGAAGACTTTTTCTGCTCTTCATTCATTGGAGAGTCTACAGAAGCCTCTGTGCAAATGCCATGTGGTGAATCAGGCTTCTCTTTGATGGGCCGTTCTTTAACCTGAGCTTTACATGGGCCAGGAAAGCTAGAGGGAGACATATCTGTATCTGTAATTGTATTCTTTTATCTTAAGTATTCTGACAATCTGACTACGAATCAAGTCAAAGTGTAGCAGTTTTAGCCTGAGGTTCACACACAAATTTAATGAAAGGATTTGATTTATTTGCTCATAAACAGTTTCAAAGGACATTGTTATTTTAAGGTTCTGTGGGTGTGTCACTGGGGCTTACCTATTGTCTCATAAATGTCACCTGCACCTGCTTGTGAATTTGCTTGACACAGAAAGAAAGGAGGTATTTGATATTTCTGCTGACCACTAATGCTTTTTACCATCAAATAGTCCGGTTCTGCAAGTACACCTACACTACAGGCCAAAAGTTTGGAAGCAAGATCAGATTTGTACAAAAAAAGATCATAGTTTCATATGTATAATATGCAACACAATAAACATGACTATTGTGTAGAGAGTAACTTATCAGAAGACATTTTGACTATAATTATTAGGTATTTGAGTTATTGTTGCTTAGACTGTGCTTTCTTTAAAGTAACCTCCTCTAGCTTTAACAACAGCTTGGCATATACAAGGTATTCGTTCCACAAGTTTTTTAAGGTATGTTCCAGAGATTGCATTCCAAGCTTTCTTAAGTTCATTAAAAGAAGACTGATGATTCGTGGGACGCGTTTTTCTGACCGATCGATCCAATTCATCCCGCACAAGCTCTATTGGAGAAAGGTCTGGAGACTGAGGGGGCCAAACCATCTTTTGAAGAACACCTTCCTCTTCTTTTTTGTCTAGGTAACCCTGACAGAGCTTGGCAGAGTGCTTAGGGTCATTGTCTTGCTGCAAAACAAACTTATGAGCCACAAGTCTGAGTCCAGATGGAACAGCATGGTGCTGGAGGATGGAGTGGTACTGTCCCTTCTTCATGATACCCTTAACTTCAAACAGATCTCCTACTCCATCACCTGTAAAATATCCCCATACCATGGAACTACCACCTCCATGCTGAATTGTGGCTGTAAAACATGGTGCTTTCAGACGTTCACCTGTTTGTCTGCGGACACTGACTCTGCGTTTTGAACCAAACAGTACAAACTTGTTTCTAGTCATTTTAAGTCCAATTTTTGTGAGCCTGCAATGGTCACAAAATAGCAATGGTCTGTTAACATCAATTTATATCTAAAGGTAAATGGAGTAAAATGGTGCATATGTATAAAAGCAACATCTGATCATGGAGTAAATACATCCCAAAATACATAAAACTCATGCTGGATATAAAAAAAAGCATTGTGAACAAAACTTGAAGTTACTCCCAACTATTCGGCCTGTAATGGCCTTGCTTCCAAACTTTTGGCCTGTCATGTACATAAAATGTATGTTTCTAAGTATAATTTATTGAAAGAGAAGATAAAAACCCTTGGGCTTCATGTTTCCTCCTTGGATTCAGCGTGTTACACAGATCCCTGAGTTCCCCTCTCAGTGACTAATTTACTTCTGATAGTCACATTACATGAGCTTTTGAAAAGTTTTGGACAAACTATTAAGACTTAAGGCTTCTGTTGTATGTTCTTATACAGTTTCTCTTAACTTTTTCAACACCCACAAATTCCTTGTAGGTAATTTAAAAGAAAACTGGTTGAAGCCATTGGCTTCCATAAGACGCTATGCCAACTTTTAGTGTACAGTGCAATGCATCCTCTTCTTACCTGCTCTTACCAGGAGTTTGTCGCTCCATGTTTCTTTCCTCCCCTTTCTTCTTCAATGCTTTCTCACGGTCTTCCTTTTCAACGACAGCCTTCTTGAACTGCTGGAAGCTCTCTTTTGAAGACTTGATCAAAGTTTGAGTGCGAGACTGCCTCACCAGTTTCATCCAAGACACTGCATTTTTTAGAACTATTTCCTAAATGACAGAAATTAATTCATCAGCATTAAATTATTAAGATGCACAGAATTATGTCTCGTTCGTAAAAACAAAGAAAAAAAGATTAACAAAGTAACCTATGTGTGTTTAAGTTGTTATACAGTGGATATAAAAAGTCTACACACCCCTGTTCAACTGCCAGGATTTTGTCATGTAAAAAAATTAAATCAAGAAAAATGATTTCACAACTTCTTCCACCTTTAATGTGACCTATAACCTGTACAACACAACTGAAAAACAAACAGAAATCTTTCAAGGAAGTTAAGTAAAAATAAACAACTGAGATCATTTGGTTGCATAAGTGTGCACACCCTTTTATAACTGGAAATGTGGCTGTGTTCAGATTTAACCAATAACATTTAAACTCAGGTTGAATTGGAGTCAGCACACATCTGTCACCAATTAAAGTGCCTTTGATCAACCCCAAATAAGTTCAGCTGTTCTAGTAGGCTTTTCCTGACATTTTTGTAGCCACATCTTCCAGCACAAGCCGTGGTCAGCAGAGAGCTTCCAAATCATCAGAGGGATCTCATTATTCAAAGATATCAGTCAGGTGAGGGCTACAAAAGAATTTCCAAGGAATTAAATATACCATGGAACACAGTGAAGACCATCATCATCAAGTGGAGAAAATATGGCACAACAGGACGTCTGTCCAAAATTGATGATAAGACGAGAAGAAAACTGGTCAGGAAGGCTACCAAAAGGCTGACAGCAACACTGAAGGAGCTGCAGGAATTTCTGGAAAGTACTGGCTGTGTAGAACATGTGACAACAATCTCCCACTGTCTTCATATGTCTGGGCTATGGGGTAGGGTGGCAAGACAGAAGCCTTATCTTACAAAGAAAAACATCAAAGCCCAGCTTAATTTTGCAAAAAGACATCTGAAATCTCCCAAACGCATGTGGGGAAATGAGTTATGGTCTGATGAAACCAAAGTTGAACTTTTTGGGCATCATTGCAAAAGGTATATTTGGCGCAAAAACAACACTGCTCATCATCAAAAGAACACCATACCCACAGTGAAGCATGGTCATGGCAGCATCATGCTTTGGGGCTGTTTTTCTTCAGCTGGAACGGGTGCCTTAGTCAGGGTGGAGGGAGTTATGAACAGTTCCAAATACCAGTAAGTGTTGGCACAAAACCTTCGGCCTTCTGCTAGAAAGCTGAAGATGAAGAGGAACTTCTTTTAGCACGACAATGACCCAAAGCACACATCTAAATCAACAAAAGAATGGCTTCACCGGAATAAGATTGAGACTTCCTCGCCACCTCACCTTGAGGCCACCTCGCTTGCCCTGTAGAGGAGATTGACCATCATCTCCACGCCACCTTCAGTGACGCCATGAGGGACCACGAGCTCGGACCTTGTAGGGAACTGGTGGAACCACCAAAACCAGGGACCCAATTCAACAGCGCTGAGCCCACCCTGAAGGAGGTAGAGGAAGCTGTCAGAGCTGCGAGATCCAGTTCTGCTCCTGGCCCCAGCGGTGTTCCCTACAAAGTTTACAAACAGTGCCCTCAGCTCCGCAAACGTCTCTGGAAGATCCTGAGGGTGATCTGGCGGAGAGGAAAGGTCGCTGCACAATGGAGGTATGCTGAGGGAGTCTGGATCCCGAAGGAGGAGGGCTCTTGCAAAATTGAGCAGTTTCGCATCATCTCGCTGCTCAGTGTCGAGAGCAAGATCTTTTTCAAGATCGTGTCCCAGCGTCTGACAAACTTCCTCCTGAAGAACACCTACATTGATACCTCAGTCCAGAAGGGAGGAGTCCCAGGAATGCCTGGATGCATGGAACACACGGGTGTGGTGACGCAGCTGATCCGGGAGGCAAGAGAGAGCAAAGGAGACCTGGCAACCCTCTGGCTTGATTTGGCCAACGCTTACGGATCTATCCCACACAAGCTTGTCGAAACCACACTGGGAAGACAACATGTTCCAGACAAAATCCGCAAACTCATCATGGACTATTACGACAACTTTAGCTCACGAGTCTTTTCAGGCCAAGTAACATCTGCCTGGCATCGCCTCGAGAAAGGGATAATCACCGGTTGCACCATATCGGTAACCCTCTTCTCACTGGCCATGAACTGGATCGTTAAGTCTGCCGAAGTGGAATGCAGAGGGCCCAAATCAAGATCTGGGACTCGGCAGCCCCCCATAAGAGCCTTTATGGATGACTTAACGGTGACAACAACATCTGTTCCAGGGTGCAGGTGGCTTCTGCAGGGGCTTGAAAGGCTCATCTCCTGGGCAAGGATGAGCTTCAAGCCCGCTAAGTCCAGGTCCCTGGTCCTGAAAAAGGGTAAAGTGTCCGACCAGTTCCGCTTTGCCCTGGGAGAGACCAGGATCCCATCAGTGACCGAGAAACCGGTCAAGAGTCTGGGCAAGATCTTCGACAGCTCCCTGAAGGACTCAGCTGCCATACAGCAAACCAAGAGTGAGCTGTCCACCTAGCTCACAGCGGTTGACAAATCTGGCCTCCCTGGAAAATTCAAAGCCTGGATCTACCAGCATGGAGTCCTGCCAAGAATACTCTGGCCCCTGTTAGTCTACGAAGTACCCATATCAACGGTAGAGGCTCTAGAGAAGTCCATCAGCCAGTTTCTCAGGAGATGGCTGGGGCTCCCTCGGTCCTTAAGCAGCATCGCCCTGTACGGCCATTCCAACAAGCTGCACCTTCCCTTTAGTGGACTAACAGAGGAATTTAAAGTCACCCGTTCCAGAGAGGTGATGATGTACAGGGACTCCGCAGACACCAAAGTCGCAGCAGCAGGAATCCTCGTGAAAACCGGGAGGAAGTGGCGGGCACAAGAAGCCGTCACTAGAGCCGAGTTGCGACTGAGGCACAAAGTGCTGGTGGGCTCTGTGGCAACGGGACGAGCAGGTCTTGGTTCCTTTCCTAAGCCACGTTATGATCTGGCCTGTGGAGAGGAGAAGCGCCGACTGATCCAGGACGAGATACGTGCAGAGGTGGAGGAAGAACGCAGCAGTAAGATCGCTGGCATGTCCAAACAAGGAGCGTGGACCAGGTGGGAACAGGCTGATTCCCGCAGAATCACCTGGGCAGAGCTCTGGAAAGCAGAACCATCTCGCACCAAGTTTCTCATCCGGTCAGTGTATGACGTCCTCCCCAGCCCGGTCAACCTACACACCTGGGGACTGGTAGACACTCCCGAGTGCAAACTGTGCCAGAAGAGGGGCACCCTGGAGCACATCTTAAGCTGCTGCCCTAAAGCGCTAGGAGAGGGGCGGTACCGCTGGCGCCATGACCAAGTCCTAAAAGCTTTGGCAGAAACCATCAGCACAGCGATCCAGCACAGCAAGACCCAGGCAGCCCCCAAACAGGCAATCACATTCATTAGAGCAGGGCAGAAGGCACAACATCACCATCCCAACTCTACAGGGGGGCTCCTTACCACCGCTCGCGATTGGCAGCTTCAAGTCGACCTCGGAAGACAGCTTAAGTTCCCAGCCAACATCACAACTACTTCTCTCCGCCCAGATGTGGTACTAACATCGGAGTCCACCAAACAAGTAGTTATCCTGGAACTAACAGTCCCCTGGGAAGACAGGATCGAAGAGGCCCACGAACGCAAGAGAGCCAAGTATGCAGAGCTCAGCACAGAGTGCCGGAACAATGGCTGGAAAACCCGCTGTGAGCCAGTCGAGGTCGGGAGCCGAGGCTTCGCCGGCCAATCACTTCTGAGATCCCTCAAACTCCTTGGAGTAAAAGGACTGCGATTGAAGAAAGCCATCAGAAACATCCTAGAGGCCGCAGAAAGGGCCTCGCGGTGGCTGTGGATCCGTAGGGGGGATCCGTGGAACATCACGCCACTTGGACACAAGTCGGGGACTGATCACCCCCGGCTGGGTCGCCCGGGTGAGGGTGTATGAAGATTAAAGACCCGAAACACCCTATGACCCCGGGTACTTCACTGATGACGTGTCCAAGTAGCACCAGCAGGTGTATCCAAATTCTAGACTTTGGAATGGCCCAGCCAGAGCCCAGACCGGAATCCCATCGAACATTTGTGGAGTGATCTGAAGAGGGCTGTGCATAGGAGATGCCCTCACAATCTGTCAGATTTGGAGCGGTTTGGCAAAGAAGAGTGGGCAAATATTTCTACATCAAGATGTGCCACGCTGATAGACTCCTACCCAAAAAGACTGAGTGCTGTAATAAAAGCCAAAGGTGCTGCAACAAAGTATTAGTTTAAGGGTGTGCATATTTATGCAACCAGGTTATTTTAACTTTTCTATTTTTTATTTTTCCCCTTTAAGGTTTCAGTTTGTTTTTCAACGGCATTCTACAGGTTATAGGTCACATTAAAGGTGGAAAAAGTTGTGAAATTATTTATCTTGCCGTCATTTTCTTACATCACGAAAACCTGGCATTTGAACAGGGGTGTGTAGACTTTTTATATCCACTGTAGATGAGGATTGGGTGCCATCTGGTGGAAAGAGATTGACTGCATAGTCAAGTTGGTAACTTTATAACTGTTTAGTTTAGATCCCAAATGGAAATGACTTACCTTCCTAGCTATTTCGGTTTTTTCCTCCTCAGTCGATTTACCTGCTGTGTTGGTGGAAAGCACACTGGTCATCTGTCTGTCTGGAAACTCCTCAGGGGATCTGGAATCTGGCATAATCATTTTTTTGATTGACTGTGCTGTAAAAGTGTTATTAATTTTGAAAAATTGTGCTGTCAAAGTCTGGATAGACTTTGTTTAGTTAAATTTATTAGGATGCATTGTAAAGATAAAAATGTACACACAACACTTCACAAAACAGCTCACTTCAGGATACATAACATTACAACATAGACAAGTCCAGACTAGGACATCCATACAGAAAAGTCAAGACTGACTTACTGGATCTCGACTCATCTTTGGACTGAGGTGGTCTTAGGGGGGACAGCACTAGGTCCTGCTGCAAGTGCAAATAGTTAGACTTTAATGTAAATGCATAACCATAAACAAGTAAGCATGTATCATACAGTATATTAAAGTGGAACTGTATGGGGAACTGCTTGCATAGGTTAAGTTGCTATTTCTCAAAGACCTTGAAAACCTCTTGTGATGTGAGAATGCCATCAAACTGAACTGAAAAAGCTTCTTGCTAGTTAAACTGAGAGCAACATTTTTATGATTTAGACCATCTAAAGGAATATATGACACATGCCTGCTCCCCCTTTCTTAATTTACAGAACTAATTTTGACAAATAGAAACCCATGACAGTAAAAAGAATAAAAATGCTTTGTGTGTGCTCATTTATGAAATGCAAGGGAGACAAAGTGGGTCTATAAGGATGATTTAAAAGTCTCTAGGGCCTGTGAGGCTCTAATATGGCCAGGTAGACTGTTCCAGAGTCTAGGGGCAACTGCTGAAAAGGCCCTGTCATCTCTAGACTTAAGTCTGGTTTTGGGGACATCCAAAAGCAACTGGTCAGAGGACTTTAAGGCTTTGGCTGGGGAGTGGTGATGCAGGAGCTCTGACAGGTACAGAGAGGCAAGACCATTGAGGGCTTTAAAAACAATTAAAAGAATTTTAAAATCAATGCGAAAGCAGACTGGGAGCCAGTGAAGGGTCACTAAAATTAGGGTTATGTGGTTGCGCTTTTTCTTGCCAGAGAGGAGTCGAGAAGCAGCGTTTTGGATGAGCTGAAGGCGGTTGATCGATGACTTGTCCAAGCCTGCATACAAGGAGTTACAGTAATCTATTTGAGATGTTATAAAGGCTTGGATAGTTTTTTCAAGGTCAGCCTTTGAAAAATAATATTTAGTCTTTGCTAAAGACGGAGCTGGAAAAAGCTTGTTTTAAACAACAACACTGGTCTGCTTATCAAGTTAGAGCTGGTAGTCAGAAATAAAGCCAAGATTCCTAACACAATCACAAGTACTTTTAAAAGAGTTTCAAAGAATTCCCTCTATTCTAAAGCAATCAAACTAGCTGTCTGTGATGTATTAGTGTCATCAGGAGTACCTCAAATATTGCCCCAGCCCAGTTCAGCATAACTCCCGGTGATACCATGGGAGACAAAAGGGTAGACAAATCTGTCAAAAGAAAACAACGCACTCAGAAATGTGTTGCAGACTTAACTTTGACATGATACTTGAATAAATGAAATTGAGTTAATTTGCATTCAGACAAGCATACAGTACAGGCAACTGTGTTGTTTAAGTCAATCAAAGGAAGAAGGAGAAGGAAACACTTTCCTTAAAACCTGGCTTGAACTTTTTAGTTTCTCAAGGACACTGAGCACAAATGAAAAAGAAATGGGTGCAAACACCCTCAGGTAATGGGCCTTGAAGACAAGGGTTTCATTATATATGTTATTATAGGATTTATGATGTAAGGCAACTGGCAGTGAGAATGCTAATAAAGCTGATCTGTCAGTTCAGGATTGATGCTGACACGGCACCAGGACAAACAGTGGGGAAAGGTTGGGAGAGAGGACAATGTAGCTTATACCAGTGAAATCCTGACATATCCAGTATAACCCAGTTTCACAGTTACATAGGTTTTTACTTTGCTATCAAAAAGGACAAAGGGTAACTGAAATTTAAATCAAGCATGAATGACCCAGATTTTCTCTTTATTTTACGTAACTGTTAATGTTAAAATAAAAAAAAGGTTTCGTAAAACCTGGTACCTGGAGGTGAAAAAGTCAGCCCATCACAGGTGGTTTCTGATTGGTACACAGCAGGAGAGGGCTGAGATGTCTTTGCTGTGGTGTTTGTCAAATCTTTTGTCCCTGATATCTGTTTAATCCCAGCAGGGTGAGACTCACTCAACTTTGTCTTCTGGAAAGATGTTCTTTTTTTCTTCTTGGTCTTCGGCACTAGAAGAAAAGATTATTAATAAATTAGAGCCTACAGAGTCGGGCAGCAGACCTTTGTACCCCCCAAACTGTTTACATCAATTATAAACCACTTCATCATGTTTCTTTCAAAAATCTCGTAAAATACGACCATAAAATGTGTGACACTGTCACACATTAAAAATAACTAAAATAATTTTTCAATCTTAGTTGTGAAATGTAATCCTACATGATCTGGTTTCAATACCGAGCCTGGAGTGAGGAGATCCATCCAATATGGTGGCAACACTGGCTTATGCTCCAACAAGTTATGAGACGTTTACATATATAATGTCTGTGGGTTTAAATTACTGCTTTTTACAATGGGAGATAATGAATATTGAGCAGAAAGTGGTTGAAGTTATTGTTGGTTCAGCCCTCCAACACAGTTCAGGTTTCTCATGTGGCCCAATGTAAAAATTAATTGCCTACCCCTGCTCTAGGACATATGTTATTGTTGATTTAAATGAACTTAAGAAGTATACATATATACTTAGAATACTTGGTGATGCAGAGAAAGGTGTGACACTGCTTATATTTTTAATCACACTGGTGTATTAACTTAGATTTCTGTAAATGATAATACTGAGGGTTAGCTCTGGAAATTCTTCATGTATCTTTAAAGGGTCAAGAGGTGGGCTTAAGTTAATAATGCAAAAAAATAACTCGGCAGACATGAGAGTGCAAAAATACACAACATTCAAGATAGACATGGTATTAAACATGGTAGTAAATCCTCAAAGTGCACTGCAGCAGTACATGAACCCCTTTTAGAATAGTAAAAGTGGAATAGGTTTAACGACAGCAGATGAGAGGAGAGGTGTTTGAAAAAAGAACGGCTAACCTGCTTCAGAATCACTGCTACTGGTATTGCTGCTGCTGGGTGACGAACTGCTGTGGCTGCTGTTATCAGTGAGGTGTGAAGGATGCCTGAGGTCAGAAGATGGACTGGCTTTGGCTGTTTGAAAAAAGTTAGAGTCGATGCCTCACGTTTCAAATTGTGACTGTGATGAGACTGATAACCTAGTTTGCAGCTCTTACCTACTGGCTTATTCTTCATGAAGTGCTGCTCCTTACTGCCAACCTCAGGCTTTTCAGCCTCCTTTGTTTTCCCAGCTTTTGAACCTCCTGAGGACTTTACCTGCTTTTTGTCTTCAGGGCAGTGAAGATAGTACCATTCTACTCAGAAAAAGCTTTTGAAAACCTTTAACTTTCCACACTTGTTACTTCTAAATAAATGGTTTACTGGCGGATGAAAGCTTAAGATTTGAGCAGTACTTACTGCCAACATTCTTGTTCCTTTTCTTCAGACATGCTCCAACAAACTTCTGCAGGGCTCTCAGTGTGGAGGACTTGAGGAGTTCAAAGTCGACCTCAATTTCCTCAAGAGTAGAATCTCTCAGACACGACTCCCTGGCGTGAATGATTTTCACCAACTTGCCCAGCTTATTACCTGACAGCTTGGTGACATCTTCTTTTAACTTTCTTTTCTCCTGGTAAGTCACTGGCTTTGATGAGACCTCAGTCTTGCATTTTGGATGTACTCCATGGATATCATGCCTGTTGCCATGCCTACAAACAGATAAAAAACCATCTATTATTAGCGAACCACTTTGTGAAAGACCATGTTCAAACAGGTAAAGGTGCTCACTTACACAGCTGAGCTCCTGATGTTTGCCACTTTTTCAACTATGCGTTTGTATTTGCTGGATTTGTGGGTTAATTTAGCAATGGACTTTATTTTGGATCTTTTTTCCTTTTTCAACTTGTCTTTCTTCTTTTTTTTCTGCTGGGGCTCTTGCATGAGGCTCTTCAGTTGGTCACTCACAGCTTTTAACTGAGGAGCCAGCCATTAATGACATAATTAGGTAAAATGAACTGTAGTGAAAGAATTCTCAAAAGCCATGTGCATATTTACTGGCATGTATATACCAACCCGCTCCCCTAGGCTGGTCAGTTGTACAGCCACTTCTTCTGATGAACTCTCAGTCTCTGAGGAGCTTTCACTATCAGAACTTGCTGATGTTGACTCGTTTCCAACAGTGTGTCCTTTCCCCGTTTTCACTTGGTGATGAGGTGAAGGACCAGCCTCTGGTTCTTGAGGAACCTTTAGAAAACGGTCCTCAAAAACCTCCTGTTGACATAAACAGCCTGTTTTTATTAAGGTGTGCTTGCTGGGTAGATCTCAAACACTTCATCTGCAACCAAAATCACAAATATCATAATCAGCAGAATCTAAAGACAGATATGGTTCATAGAAACCCTTTAACCGCATAAAATGTCAGTATTTATGGAACTTTTTACTCCCTATACACCTTTTAGAGGTGACTGATTTATTTTATTTTTTTAACAGACTTCAAACAGTTTCATATTCCTACTTCAAATGATAACTCAGGATCAAGCTATTTGAATAATCTAAAAATCAAATCATGAAACACAGACGCACACAAAATCCCCAAATACCAAGCTTTTCAATATGTCCATAATAGTCTGTCTCCTTATTAGTGTTTAGGTTGGCTTATGTCTTAGAGCAAGTGGTGGCCAGGGACCATACAATGGGATTTATGACAGCTGCTTATCCTAACAAGAATATATGAATTAAGTATGTATTTACCTGCATAATCTAGCAGCTATGGTGTCAAATCTCTAATTAGCATTCATAACATATTGACTTAAGTGTGAAAAAATCCTTTTAGATCATCTTTTAAAACTTTGTATGAGCTGTACAACTTTTTAAAAGTTGTCGTGGAAACAGATCTCATACTGTATGACTAACGCAAACATTAGCTGCTTGTATTGAGTACTTAATTTATGTGCTATGTTTATCTATATTGTTCTTTTATGTTTTTATATGTTTTATGCTTTTATTGTTTTTATAGTTTTTACTGTCTCTGGCTATTTTACTGTAAAGCACTTTGGTAGGCCACTGGCTGTTTTTAAATGTGCTATATAAATAAAGCTGACATTGACATTGACTGAAGCTGACATTTTCTTTGACTTATAATGGGACGGAACTTTGACAACTGTCAGCAAAGTTTCTTTTGAAAAACTTCCACACAAGCAAGTTGGATGTCAAAGGTTATGACTCTATTTACAAATATCAAGTGCTAGCATCACTACCCTGTAATGTCAACAAACTCTTACAGTGTAGAGGCTTTGTTAAAGTACCATGTGTGGTAGGGCTGTTGTATTGGACTGCATTAGAGTGCACAGAAGGTCATAATGACTGACTGCTGTATATCTGCAGTTTAGTGTTGCCCTAAGGCTCTCTGCAATTTTCCACAAGCAAGAAAGTCCTGAAGCTCGGGAATCAGCTCACAGTCTTGCTTTCACTGTACAGGAGGATGCAGTCAAGCCAACCATTTTCAGACATGCCAGAAATTCATCCTACCGGCCAGAGGCAGCTGACTTATTGTAGGCCCTCTTACACTACACAGCAATGACATATTCAGGCAGAAATTTGGCCCAGGTTCAAACACAATGATACCACTGAATGACTGGGTGAGAATCAGCTCAAATTGGCAGAGTCTACACCTGACTTTACCTAAGACTTAGATCTTTCTGTGAAAAGATCCCTAATGCTGTGCACTAAATTTAGTCTCCACATTTGCACCAAAAATGCTTTGAAATTGTTAGCACATCTTTAATGCTAGACCAAGAAATGTTTCAATGTTTGTGTTATTTCTGATTTTGATTTGATTTATGGCCCTGGGAAAATAACATTCTGATAGGAAACAAAAAATAAAAGTGTAATATGCAAATGTATGAATGAAGTGCTATGATTTTGTTATTGCGTCATACTTTTATTTATATCCCCAACCTGCATGGGCTCCATTTGCCATATTTGATTGATAGAAAAACACATTTTATACCTGCAGTTTTCTTGCCATGTAGACCACCTCATGTGCAGGTGGATTATATTTATAACAGTTGGAGAACATCAGCCGAATGTCAGCAGCAAACTCCTTTGCATTTGCATACTCTCTGTGATCCATCTTTTTCTGAGGAAATGACAGTGAGAGGAAAACATGTACAACTTATGAAGGAAATCATGTTATAAATCCCATGTAATCAGCAGCTTACCTTTATGGTGCTGAGATCCATAGGCTGCTTAATGATATCACAATAGTCATGTAAGCCCAAAGCAACTGCATCAACTGGGGCATGAAATGGCCATGCATACATGTAGTGCCTCTTTGACAGCAGCTCCTTCAGAATATCATTACAGCACCGGAGCTGCTCAGACAGTCTGACCTTCCTCTCGTCAAAGGATGGTAAGTCTTTCTTGGGAGGTTTGATGGGTCTTCCACTTCCTCGCCTGGGGATCAATGTGCAAGGTGCTGGATGATCCTCAGGAGGAGAAACCTCACTGCTGGTGATCCCTGAGGTGGTGGTGGCGGCAATGAGTTCTGCTTTCCTCTTACACCCGTGTTTAATCTGAATATTTAGAGGGAGGTTAAAAAAATTGTATCATATGGTTAAAGTAGGATATAACTTGAAGTAGGAAAAAAAATTGGTTTAAGGAATTTACAGTACGAGTACAAACACAGGTTATACATGAAAGCATCAGGTAACTCTGCTGTAAATTTTTTAAGTTTTCCAAACTTGAAGAATTTCCTTGGAACGTAATAAGTGTGTCATGCATGTTTGTGTAATATCAATGCGGTTCTGAGTTGACCAAGCTTTTTCAGCCATGTCATTTGTTTTTAATTGCTTTTTTACCAAAATGAAAAGACATGCACAAGAACCAAGGTGTATCTTGGATTTATCTTGAATGACAATTAATCCAAAAATGACACCTGGAGGGTTTTATTCACAACATCTTTTAAGATCTCATGAAGCAACGTTGATGTCAATGACTTTTTAATCACTCAAAACTAGGTTATATTTTATAGGTTTTCTTAATTTTATTTTGTCGTTGAGTTTGTCGGGACTCATTCTGCACTTAAAAGTATTTTTAAATCTATGTCCATCTAACTTTAGCAAATTTACATGTTCATTCCCTCTGTACATAGCCTGAGTCTAGTCCACCACCACCACAACATTCCTTACAACCCAGATCAATACAAGAGCATACAAATTTTTAAGTTAGGGTATTTCAAGCCTATAGCAATTCTAAATACTATTCAAGTTGCCTGTTAACCACTTATTTACTTACTGTTGCATCAATGTGTGAAGGGAGCTGAATAGGTTTTGTGAGCTGAGGCACATCAGGAGGTATGACTGTCACCATCTGCTGGAGAACAACTTCTGACACAGGGGATCTTTGCTTGATTGCACCTGCATGTACAAGAATCAGGCCCGAGTGAAAGGAAGTACTATCACTTTCCAGATCACATTACAGCTGGTGGATTTGTTGTTGTAGGATACATTAAAATCTTTCTCACATGTATCTGCAAGAATGATTTTAATGTATATGCAAGCCTAGTGTTTAACGATAAATCCCTTTTACATACATATCACAAGTAAGAACATCTCAGTATATAAGATTACATCCTGTAGGACCTGTGTTTGTCTTTCTGCTTTTTGCTGGTTCCTTTGCCGTTGTTTCTGTGATGTCACACTCTTCCCTTGGCATTTTGGAAATTTTCTGCAAGAAAAGCTTCTCCATGGTCTGTGCCATAATAACGACATCGTCCCCAGGCTGCAGAGACAAACAGTACATCTTATACTCAGTTGACAGCACCCAAGTCAACTGGTAATGCTATTACAATAAAGAGGAAAAGTGGCAACAAAATTAGCTCACACAGGCTACTAGGGGTGGAAATCACCAATGGCCTTTCGATACGATATAATTAAGATACTTGGGCCACAATACGACATTATTGTGATTTTTAACATTTTGCAATACAGTGATTATTGCGATACAATACATTGCGATTTATACCATTTTTTCAACTGTTTAGCTAATTTAGCATTTGGCTTTCTTTTATTTTTGTCAGCAAGGTCTATAATCAAACTTTTATATAAAAACTACTTCAGCATGACAAGATTTCCCTGATTTTTCTTCTTCAGTTTGATGTACACTTTGAAACTGTATGTCCACTGATTTTACAGCTCTAAAAATAGTATTTTCTTACCTGATTGTAAACATAGCAGTTTGTGAACATGGTGTTAAAGTCTTTGATGCAGTCAAGCCCTTGCCAGTAGTATCTGTTCTGAAGACGTTTCTTAATAGTGCCCAGATCCATAGGATTTTTAATTATGGTATAATAGTCCTGGAAGACAACAAAGACACTTGCATAAATACACCAAACACAAGTCTTTCAAGTACCAACATATTTTGAACATTTATACCAGAGAAAAGCTGGAGTTCAAAGAGAACTTGTAATTTCTCAGCACAGCTAAAAGATCTGGTTTTGCAGAGAAGCACATTTTTATTACTTACGGGAAGGCGCAGTGCCACTGCATCAACTGGCTGGCGAAAGGGCCATGAAAATTGATGCCGCCATAAAGCTTTGATGACCACCTTCTCCAGATACTGTAGCTGATTGGTCACACGACCGGGCGTCTTAGAATTTATGACCTCTGGTGGAGAAGGATTTGCACTCACTGTGGGACGGACTTTCACATCAGACATTGTGTTGTCTGAAGGCCATAAAGAGAGAGAGAGACTGTCTTTGCTCCAGCCTGTTGCTAGTCGTCACGTTTTCCTAAATAAGAAGTAAGAGGTAGGTTCAGTGCTTGTGTAAAAACATCACATTTTGATGATATCTGGTGGCTCCTCAACAGCCTAATGCAAAACTATATTCTACTTCTATTCCTTACATCTATAAACTTTATACTAATGCCTTTCTTACCCAGAGTTCAGTCCATAATTTGAATGGGCTATGCTGGCTGTGGCTAATGTGGCTTTGAGCTGCCTGTCTCTAGAAGACGTCACAAGCAGGCTACACAGATCTAAAAAGAATCACTTGTTTTTCTCGCCACATCCCCAATAAATTTTCAAACTTTGAGTCTGCAACCCAAAAACATAATTTTAATGAAAGCATATCTCTAACAACTCACACAGAATGAGAAAAGGGTTTTTTAGAAATGTTTTTCTTCTAACTTGCAGAGATCATGTGAAATATGTTGAGTATTTCTGTAAGTATAGCTGCTATTCTATTTTACAATTCTACATGGCTGCTTAGTTGATTCATCACAGATAATTCACATTCTTACCCTGACATCTTACCTAAACAAAACACAGAATATACAGTACTGGCCAAAAGTTTTGGACACACCTTCTCATTCAATGCATTTTCTTTATTCTCATTAGTATTAAAATTGTAGATTCTCAGTGAAGGCATCAAAACTATGAATGAACACATGTGGAATCGTGCTTAAGAAAAAAGTGTGAAATAACTGAAAACATGTATTATATTTTAGATTCCTCAAAGTAATCACCCTTTGCTTTTTTGATAGCGCTGCAAACTTTTACTGTTCTCTCAGTGAGCTTCATGAGGTAGTCACCTGAAATGGTTTTTACTTCACAGGTGTGCCTTGTCCGGGTTACTTAGTACTGACAGAGTCAGTCACTAAGTACTTCTGTCATCAAGAGCAAAGGGTGGCTATTTTGACATGACAATGAGAGGGTGTGTCCAAACCTTTGGCCTGTACTGTATATGTTTTCAACTATTCTGAAATAGAGAAGGACAGGACACACACACACACACACACACACACACACACACACACACACACACACACACACACACACACACACACACACACACACACACACACACACACACACACACACACACACAAAATCCCCACCAGCATCTCTTAAAGCCCCAGAAGATGCTTTACTTGATCCATTCTTTCATGTAAAAGTTAAGAGGTCTACAGATCATATGGTAATAGCTTTAGTGTTAATTGCTGAGTTTAGCTATCTTGCCAAAATAGTTCATTTTTCATTAAAACTTAAACCGACGTCTGAAAAATGTAGTAGATGTTCAGACGTCTCCTTTTCTGGTTTATAAAGGAACACTGCCACCTACAGCATTGCTCAGGTATGGTTTCATCTAGCATTTCAGCTCACAGGAAAAAAAATCTTAGCATTTCCCTTTCTTCACTAGAAACCATATCTAGTTACAGATTAACAAAAAAACAAGAAATTAAAAAGTATTTTAATGGTCCTACTCAGTCTAGTCTACAGCTCCATATAATATGAAAAAGCCTGATGTTAGAGTTCTACCTCATGCAAGCTTCGGTCAAATAAACTTTAAAGGATGGAAACTTTTCCCACTGTTGCAGAAAGAGATAACAAGATATTCACTCATTTAAGAAAAAGCTCAGACCAAGTAGCCCATTTGATTTGATCTATTTCAAAAAGATTTTGAAGCTGTTTTTCTCTCTCAAAATTTGAAAATTGAAGATGGCTACTTGAATAAATCTTTTTCTTGCAACACCAAACCCATATCACAACTTTTGCATGTTATTATACGAAACTTTTATTTCAAGTATCATTTGCGTGTTTCACATGAGTTTCCTGTACTATGTGATGTGCAAAAAGAGCAATTTAAAATCCATCATACTCTATTTCTTATAGGTAGCCTGTTGTGCAATTACAGAAAAGCTAGATTGAAAAAGCTTCAAGGACGTGGAAACTGTTTTCACCAAAATGCTTCTGCCTTGTTTCTATGCCATGTCGTAAATTAATGCAAAAATGTACTGTATGAAAACCTTTTAGGACCCCAAAACTGCAGTCAAGGCTCACCTTCTCAGTTCACCCACAACAGTACAGTGACAACAAAAAAAATTGTTCTTGTGCTTTGTGCTCATGAAACTAGTCCACTGATTTGTCATGTCAATGTTTCTCCTGATATTTATGCCATGGTTACACAAAGGAATTTTATTTCTTTTAAAATGATTTGATGCTGTATGGAAGGACAGGATCAGCTAAGGTTTTTGCTTCTTTCTGCCGCTTCTCAAACACAACGCGTGCTTTGCCTCCATGTGGACAGTTGAATGCAATGTTCACATACATGCTTGTGAATTATTAAATCTATGTGGCCAAGTTGTTGAATATGTTCGAATGACACAAGATCAATTTAAATCAAGTGCTTGTATGGACCCAAGTGTCTAGAATAAAGAAATAATGTCCTGTTTGTAAATCGAAACTATCCTATGGTTTAAATCTATGGGCATGGCTGCATGCTGCACTGTTGACAGGACAGGGGCAAACATGTGCTGTCTGAACCACGCCCACCGGCTGCTTTAGCTAGGCGCATTAGAAAAGCTCTGGGAGAGCATGTTGCATGAATTACATGAGAGAAGGAAATTTACAATTAGTTTTAAACATGCTACGCTTTTTCCGAGTGGTCAGATGGAATGATAACAACGCGTTAAAATTTGTTTAATGTACTTTTATTAAAATGTTTGTGGCGGGGGGCTACTTTTTGCTAGCATTGGCTAACAAGCAGTTGGCTCTGCTAAATCGTGTATTTTACTGATTCTTTTTCACAGCTTCCCTTAAACTATCGAGCTAAGCACTTTCCTGTTCTACATACGTTTTCACCTCACAGTGCGACACCTTACCCGCACAGAGTTGGGAGAAACGTTTTTCTAACCTTGGTTAAAGTTAGCAGTAGCCACTTGGGTGCGTTGATGCTGAAGGCTCTTCTAGATTACTAAGATAAGCTTCCACCAATATACCCTTCCCCTACAGGATCACACCGGCTACATAAGTAGAAGTTTGTGCTTTTAAATACCCCCTGGCTTATGTGAGAATGGGGTTACCGTGCTAGCATTACCTGATGGGTTTTCGCGGGCTGTCTCGTTGGACTCCTGAGGAGCAGTCGTCTCAACAGCAACCGCCTCAAATTTATACCCCAATGCACGAGCCCCTAAAAGTGATTGGTCAAACTCTACCTACACGTGCCTGTCAGCTTTTCTGCAAAGAAAACGAATCAAATCTACCAAAAATAGCAGTTCCAGTGCCACCTGCAAGTTTAAAGCAACTTTGACATTTAAAGCATGAGACTCGGTGTTTTTGTTACGTTATCCCCAACAACTCAGCAGTCCGATGTCACAGAAGTATCTATCGATGAATGCAAAAACTACTTGCTTTGTGCTAAGTCACCACGCATACTGTTAATACCGGACGATTAGCAAACAGTGGTTAAATGACTGCCAGAGGAGGAGTTAAGTGTCCGTGTGGAAAGACAAGAACGGAAAACTGGGATCTGGGCGGAGTGGGTGTTTCAGGGGCCGACCCAGTGGAGGAAAATTCAGGTTTACGCAGCAACAACAACAACAAATCCGTTTATACTCTGAGACAAAACTCAGAATCCGACATGATGTCTGTAGCTTACGAATGCTGTTGAGGAGTTTTTTAATCAGAAAGCCACGCATTAAAAAAATGATTAATATTGTGATGATGAATACATAGACGTCTAGATATTCCGAGGGACCACAAACTAAACATGTAGTGACTTCCTGTAGATGGGATGTTTGTAAAACTCTTGTTATCTTTAAATACAGACTAGGATGTCCTATAAAACAACGTTGGTGTTGCTTGTCTAGCATAAATATATGAATTGTAATGAACTAAAAGGAATACTAATCCTGTAGTGACTTTATATAACCACTTAGTCTATTCCAAACCAGCCCAACCCCCGACTGAAGACAAAAGTTATCAAGTAGCCGTTTCATCAGATAGGACATTACATGCATCCTAAGTTAAAGAAAAGCACATATCTTTAATTCAATTTATCGGAATTTGCAAACACAAAATAGTATATATTTTAACTCCTAATAATCTCGTAGATAACAAAATGCAATTAGTAATCTCAGAATTGCCACATTCTGTCTATAGGAGGGTGTTTACGAGTAAACCTGGGAAAGAAACTGGTGTTAATGAGCACTAGTGCAAGATGATTCACAAAAATGGCAAAGAGTATTGGTATCCTACGTAAAACCCGCCATCTGATCAGCTCTGAGGTAGCCACTATGTTGTACTATTCTATGATTTATCTGTATATTAATTATCGTAATATAGCCTGGGCTAGTACCCATCAGACAAAACTTGAGCTTATATATTGTCTTCAGAAACGAGCTCTAAGAATGATAAGTTGTGTACATCCAAGACATTCATCCCTGCCTTTGTTTATTCATTAAGGAGTTCTCAGTGTTTTTCAAGTCAACCATCACCATCTCCAAATTGGTCTATTTGTTCATGGCTCATTGGGGAGAACCCTTCCTTCATTTTTCCATAATTTATTTGGGCATAATTCTCAGGTCCATTATTACCCAACACGTAGCTCGAATAACCTTAGACCTCCATGGCACGTACATCTCAAACTCAATTTAATATAGGCTTCAGAGGTTAAAAAAATTGAATTCTCTTCCATTTCATTTATGGGAGTTGTCTTCTCACCAATTTAAGAAGGCTTTGAAATCACTTCTTTTAACTAAATACTTCCCATATGGTTTGCTTAACGAACCAGGGTCCAGTCATTATTTTCTTTAGTGTTTTTTTTATTCTGTGTCTCTCTGACTTTTTATCTTGTGTTGTGCTTTCGTTGTCTCAGTTCCTTGTTCTATTATCTATAACTCTGTATTCTTTTTACCTTTTCATTCGTATGATATGTTTATTATTGTCTTAATTGTAAAAAGTATATTCTACATGTAATTTTCTTGGAGAATGCCATTTCTCAAGCCCCTGGAGGGTTTTTAGGCACTCTCCTTCACATAATCATTGAATCTTGTAACCTATGTTTTTAAACCTTTTTGTATGTGAAAATAAACAAACCAAACCAAACCAAGGAGAGGGTGTTCATTGGTGAGACCCTGAAACTCCCAGTTACCTCAGGAAATATCAGTGCTGTTGTCTGACTTCATTAACTAAAAAACAGCCACAGCAAAGCCTCATTTTTCTTGAATTCTGTCTGTGAATTAAACTGCAAAACTTAGGGGCAGCTGGATAAGTGCCTGAGCATGTATCAAACTAACTGCAGTTCACATATAGATTAAACTCACTTTACAAACCAGGCTTATACATTACTCCTGTGATCATAAATACAAAAAAACCAAAGGGGTCTAAAACACCCGAAAAGACCAAAAACTGATTAAATTTTACACCTTCTTTTAAATCAATTCACCTTTTGTCCACAAGATAGAGCTATTTCCAATGGTTTGTTGCATAAGCTATCCTTAAAAGACAGAGGCTTGATTAGGTGTGCTTTGGGTGGATTATTGTACTTGAGTTTTTAATACTTAAAGTGATGGACTGAAATATTTGCAGTTTCAAGAAAGAATCTCTTGTGACATAAAGTTATTTCACTCCAAGAAGCAAACACAGGAAGCTGTGTAGGCCTAGACTGTTATGAAGTGTTTAGTCTGATACATTCAAGGACTGTCTGCATGTTGAGGGAAAAGCTGGTGTCCTTTTTTTGCAGCCTTTATTGTAAACTGTGTATAGTTTCTTTTTATACAATCAATCAGCAGTCACTCTCATAACTGACCAATAACTGATGAGCTGTTTGGTTCCTGCTGACGCCCCTAGTTCTTCACTTTCAAGTCATTTACATTTTGTCATTCAGGACAAATTTTATGATATTTCATACACTGATTTTATATTTTTGCTGTGTTGTGTAGATACATAAGCGCAGTACATAATTTTTGGGAAGATTTAGAAAGTGAAAAGGACTTAATGGTAAACCAGGTTGTCATTTGTCCTGAATGACTGTTGAATCAGACCATAAATACCCACACAGTGTCCGTCCCCTGACAATGACAGGAAGCTTGTTCAGAAGGGAGGAGGTCATTTAGGAAAAGGATCTGCCCCCTGATGTTTCAAATGTGAGGAGTAACAACGGGTATTTGTTTTTGAATTGATAAATAAAAACTCCTCCACCCAAGTGAGGGAGGAATTAATCAACACTGACACAAAAAATAAAGCACTACTGCTTAAATAGGGCTGAGTACAGTTATTCAAGTATGTTTTAGTGCTTTTTGAGTCTGTTAGATGCAACAATTTACAGCTTTACTTAGGTGGATGTTTCGGATTAAAGTTTTAACAAGTTTTGTAAGATATCTGTAGATGTACCAGTCTAAATTAGCTCTACTTCAAAACAACTGCTAACACATCAGCACAAAACTGATACAGGAATAAGTTAGGTAATTATGAGGAAACATTTTTGGAGACCTATCTTGCGCAATGAATACTCCTACATAAGATTCTTAACCACATTCAAGCTGTTTCTTTTCTTTGTTAAAATGCAATATTTTTGTCTCATAGCTTAAAATTTAAATGTGTTATGACAGACACGTGTTCATTTTGAATTTAGTGCAACAGTTGTGTTCACAATGTTTACCGTTGTGTTACATCTCTTTTTCCCTTAATGACATTCAGTAAACATTTGGTAACCATGGATACTAGTTTCTGGAGTTGTGAAATGTTCCTACATTTTTTCCTGAGGTTTCCTTTGTAGTATTTTTTCATATAATGCACCAAATGTCTACAGTGGGTAAAGATTCAGGACTGCAGGCAGCCAAACTTTCCTACTTCAGAGCCATACTGTTTTAATATATGCACAAATGGGTTCGGCATTGTCTTGCTGAAAAATGAAGGTCTTCTCTGAAAGACACCATTGTCTGGCAGTACATGTTTTGGTAGCATTGACGGAGCTTTCCTGGGTGTGTATACCATGCCATCAGGGGTGCTGACTTTAATATGCACTCTGATAACAAGCCAAGTGGTTTCACTTCTCTGTAAAGCAGATTACGTGGTGTCCATGATTTCCAAAAAGAATGTCTAATTGTTGTTTCTATGTATATGGTTGCCTCCTTACACAGTTTTTCTGCAGTTTTATCCTACATTTGTGGATGCAGTAACAAATGTGTTCACAAACAATGGTTTTTGGGCAGTAATTTTGAGCCTACACAGTGATTTCTACGACAGAATCATGTTTGTTTTCAATGCAGTGCCACCTGACAGCCCAAAATCAAAGTCATCCAGCGCTGGTGTTAAGCCAAGCCCCCTTTGTGGATATTTCCCTGGCTTCTTAGTATCTTTTAATGATAATATGTACTACAGGCGATGAAGATCTTTTGCAAATTTTCTCTGAGGAACATGATGCTGAAATTATCGAATAATGAACTAATGCAATCTCTCATAGAGTGGTAAACTTCTTAAAATCTTTTCCCCTGAGAGACTTTTGTGGGGTTTTTTCCCTTGTGTAAGGTGCAAGTCATTAGGTTTGTGTCACATGGTCTATAAAGTTAAGACACAAGTTTGGTTAACAGTTTAAGTCACTCCTTGTCCCAGTGGACTCTGGTGCTCGTGTAGTCTCCACAAACCTGAACCTCCTCCCATTTTTACCCCCGTGAGCCTCTCTGGAGTGCTGCTCTTATACCCAGTCATGTTAATAACCTGTTGCATATTGACCTCAATACTTAAGAGATGATTTCTTTTAAGACAGAACACTTTCAGTTTCAATATGTTTTCTTTGCACTACTTTCAGTTAATCATAATGATTTGGAAACCATCAAACTTCTTTTTATACTCACATTTTACACAACCTTTTGAACATTTTTAGAATTGGGTTTGTACCTGCATCAGCACCTCGAAAACGGTTTCCTCTTCTTATCTCTGAATTCCTTCCTCACTGAGTCCTTCAAAGATAAGAAATACACAGAGCCAGATCATGTGTGGAAGGATAACCATGCCCATGTTTGCATTCAATGACTAAATCAAATCCTTGTTGGTTGTGTGGGTAAATATGTTCCTAATTTTTATCCTTTCTCTGCTCTGAGAAAGAACTGTAAAAAAGTGAATTATTAGCTATTGTCGGCACACAT